TAAATTACCATTTTGAAACATTGTAGCACCGTGGACCATAGCAGAAATCGAAGGGAAAATGTTCGTAGCACCATAGCGAAGAAGAAAGAATGGAAAAAAAAAACGAGAAACCTTGGAAGTGAATGAAGAAGAAAAACGGTGGCCGGTGAACGAAGGAGAAAATCGTTGGGCGATGAACGAAGAAGAAAACCCCTGGGCGGTGAACGAAGAAGAAATTCTCCAAGGCGATGAACGAAGAAGAAAATATGGAAGAAAAAAACGAGAAACAAGGGAAGTGAACGATTTTTTAAAAAATGGAATAAATCTTAGAGAGATTTTGAGGAGAGAATTAAGGAATTTGAATTGAGATAATATCTACGGGGCCCACATTTATTAAATAACTGTGATTTTAATTTATGGAAATAACAATTTAATATTTAAAAAAATTTCAAACCCATTAATAAATGAAAATGAAATAAATAGGGGTAAACACGAAATTAAATTAAAATCTTACCAAAAGTGTAAATTTATAGAGATTTAGACATTTATGTAAATAAGTTTCTAAAACAGTCCTACCAAGATATTATCTCTTTAAAAGTTGAAGGTTTTGGGCCTGTAACCTTTCTTGTTCGTCCTTCCTTGGAATTACATTTTTTTATGTTATTTTTGTACCAATAACTGGGTTGTGGATTAGTATTTGTGGAATATTTTGGTCTTGCCATAAACCTATATGCATATAACTTCGTTTCTCAGCAAATCTATGTAGTGGAAGATTCCAAATCTGAGACTTTCTATACTCAAAACATTCTCTTAAAATGAAGGCATTCGTTCGTGCTTTATGGCGCTCGTAAAGGACTCCAAAAATCATCCCCAATAATGTCACTCTCCCCTCCCCAAAGCAAGTGATATAGTTCTAATTTTTTGCAAAGGAAAGTGATATATTTTAATATCCCCCAACACCTTTCCAGTACATTCAAGAGCTGACTTCAAATAATGTTATATTTTATTGCAGGCCAAACAACAATCTAGTTTATGTTTGTATGTATATTTTGCAGGCCAATCAAAAATTCCTTCTATTTGTGTACATATCTCCATTACATATATATTTTTTGCAGGCCAAATAACTTAACAAGTTAGCAACTGTCTGAAGTTTTGGTCCCTTTATCCTTATTATTTTCGACAAAAACAATGATTATGGAATCTTTTTCATAATTTCAGGCAAACTGATGTCTGAAATCCTAGAGGCTGAAGAATGCCAAAACTGGGTTTCAGTACTATATAACCGATGCATCCAATGCAAAATTGTGATTCCATATTCTCTCCATTAATCAATATTCAAAATTTTTGAAGTTTTGGAAGTTGAAAAGACATGGGAATTCTTCACTGGGGGAGAATTCATCTCTTTCTAATTTTTTTTCATTGTGTTTCTTCTTCTGATTGTCTTCAAGAGAGCTTTATGGAATGCTTCAATTCCACAACTTATTCAAAGCATTCAGTTCCCATTTCTGAAGTGGTTTTCACAAACGAAAGTGCTTCCTTCTCCTCTTTGCTGCGGCTTTCCATTAGAAACCTCAGATTTCTCACCAATTCTTCTCCTAAACCACAGTTCTTGGTGACCCCATTTCGTGCATCTCATGTCCAAGCTGCCGTAGTTTGTGCTAAGAAGAAGAGTTTGCAAGTCAGAGTACGGAGCGGAGGACATGACTATGAAGGTCTGATGAAACTACCACTAAACCCGAAAACTTAAGTTGATAGGTTATGGTATATTTAATCATTTATTTTTATTTTAAACCACTCTGACTTGTGAATTTAAAAAATAGCACAAGAATCAATAAGTAACTATATCAATATTAATTGAAGAGGAAATGGCGTTATATAGTGATATAATGAGATTTTTGACTTATTTGTTCACTTATTAATTACTTATTTCTTAAATAATCCTCTAGTTATAGAGTCAATCTCTTGTAATAGGTGAAAATTTCAAGTAGYATGGAAATTTTTCTATACTACTTTCGTCCGTTGTTTACTCATATGAACATAACATTTAAGATTAGTGTACTGAGATGCATGAAATAAAATAATATATCATTTAAGATGTGTCAAAATTATAAATGATAACAATACGTATAGTATTGCAACACTATAAAATTTTCGTAGCATATAGTTTGAAATATAATAGACTCTTTTGGATTAGAGTTCTTGGATAATTATCTTTTTCATTGTTTCTGCACCACAGAGGTTTGATATATGACTTCATCTGATACTATGTTAAACTACCACTAAACTTAAAAACTTAAATTGATACTCAATAATTTATTTATTGTTCAACAGGTCTCTCCTATGTATCATCACAAACTCCATTCATCGTTATTGATCTCATCAACCTTAGCTCCATCCATATCGACATTGAAACTGAAACTGCATCGGTGGAGACTGGAGCCACACTTGGCGAGGTCTACTATAGAATAGCTGAGAAAAGCCCCATCCATGGCTTCCCAGCAGGAAGCTGCCCCACAGTGGGGGTGGGAGGGCATGTAAGTGGAGGAGGCTTTGGAACCCTTTTTCGAAAATATGGTCTTGCAGCCGACAATGTAATCGACGCCAAAATTGTCGACTTCAATGGAAGAATCAGGGACAGAAACTCCATGGGAGAAGATCTGTTTTGGGCCATTAGAGGGGGTGGAGGAGCAAGCTTTGGAGTAATTTTATCATGGAAACTCAAACTAGTTTCTGTTCCTCCAGATGTCACAGTTTTCAATGTCCACAGAACCCTAGACCAAGGAGCAACTCATCTGTTCCAAAAATGGCAAAAAATTGCACATAAAATGGATCAAGATCTCTTCCTTCATGTGACCACAAAAGTTGTAGATCATAAAACCAAATTATCATCTTCCAAAGAAGCATCATCCAAAACAATCAAACTCTCATTTACATCACTGTTTCTGGGTCCAATTGAAAGGCTCATCCCTCTCATGAACACCCATTTTCATGAATTGGGATTGAAAAGAAATGACTGCACTGAAATGAGCTGGATTCAATCAGTTCTCTTCTTTGCTGACCTCTCCACAGAAACCCCACCAGAAATTTTGATGGAAAGATCCCCTCCAATTTCTGATACATTTTTCACAGCAAAATCTGATTATGTCACATCACCAATTTCTCAAACTGGGTTGGAAGCACTTTGGAGTAAGCTCCTAGAGGAAGAAAAATCAGAGCTAATTTTGACACCATATGGGGGGAAAATGGACCAAATTTCTGAATCAGAAACCCCTTTTCCACACAGAAGAGGGAACATTTATGGGATCCAATATTTGGCAGCTTGGGAAAATGCTAATGAAACTGAGAAGCACTTGAGTTGGATGAGGGAAGTTTACTCTTATATGCAGCCCTTTGTTTCCAAGTATCCAAGAGGAGCTTATTTGAATTATAGGGATCTTGATTTGGGAAGAAACTATGAAAGAAATACAAGCTATGATGAGGCAAAAGTTTGGGGTTTGAAGTATTTCAAAGGTAATTTTGAGAGATTGGTGAGAGTGAAGACCAAAGTTGATCCTTTAAACTTCTTTTGGAATGAACAAAGCATTCCTCTTTGCCATCATCATGAAGAAAATGGCACAAGAATTTTACAGGTTAACTCATATTTGGACTCTAAAATTCTTCAAGAGAGATGAAGTAACTTTGATTTGTATACTTCGTGTTAGAATTTAAGCTAGATTCCATTTCTAGACACATACATAAATTTCTAGATACATGAATTGTTAGGTTCATGTAAGTTAATTTATTAAGATACATGAATAGTATGTATACATGTATCCATATATTTTGTGTCTTTTAGATGTGTCTCTTGGATGTTATATAAAGGGATCATTTCCCTCATTTGTAATCAAGCAAGAAAGAAGCAAATTGAAGCATTTCAATCAAGAAAGAAAAGAGAACAATATTATTCTCTTGTATGTTCTTGAGTTTAATAAGAGAACAAATTTCTTCTCTTTAAAGTTGGTGAGTTTTAGAGTGAATTCTAGTGAGGGCTTATCAACGTTTCTAACAAAGTGGTATCAGAGCCAAGTTCAAAAGATGTCATCCAAAAACATGGTGCAGCCTCAACTTCCTCTTTTTGAAGGAAAGAACTATAGATGGTGGAGTCAACAAATGAAGGTTCTTTATGGATCTCAAGGACTTTGGGATATTGTTGATAGAGGATATTTGGTGCCCGAAGGTGAGGATGGTCTTTCACAACAACAACTCAACGAGTTGAGAGATGCTAGAAAGAAAGACAACAATGCATTGTTCTTTATCTACCAAGCTGTAGATGAAAATATCTTTGAAAGAATTTCAGGAGTCTCAACTGCTAAAGCAGCATGGGATGAATTACAGTGTTTGTATGAARGAGAGGAAAATGTAAAAATGGTAAGATTTCAAGCACTTCAAGCTGAATTTGATACCATTAGAATGAAAGAAGCTGAAACTGTTGAAGAATTTTTCAATCGTGTTTTCTGTATTGTTAATCAGTTGAGATCATATGGAGATGCAATTGAAGATCAAAGAGTGGTAGAAAAGATCCTTAAAAGCATGACCAGAAGATACAAGCACATTGTATTAGCAATTGAAGAGTCCAAAGATTTGTCAACACTCTCCATAAATAGCTTGATGGGATCTCTCCAATCTCATGAGCTTAGATTGAAGCGATTTGATTCTACTCCTTCAGAATAAGCTTTTCATATGCAAACTTCTTCTAGAGAGAGATTTAATGGAAAAAGAGGTGGACGCAATGGCCGAGCAAATGGAAGGTCCAATGACTTCAAAAGTTTTGAGTCAAAGAGAAGATATAATCAAACTTCTTCAAATAGAGGTAGGGGAATAAGTTCAAGCAGAGGAAGAAGTAGAGGTGGAGGTTGTGGAGATTTTTCTTACATACGATACTTCAATTGTGGATGCTACGGGCACTTTCAAGTAGACTGTTGATCTAAAAAAATCAATTCTAATCAGGCAGAGACCACTCTGATGCATGAACAACAAAATGATGATCAAAGCCTTCTTTTCCTTGCATTTAATGTCCAAGATATATGGTATCTTGATAGTGGTTGCAGTAATCACATGATAGAAAGAAATGATATTTCTGTAACCTTGGATGAATCTTTTCAAAATGAAGTGAAGACAGATGACAATAAGAAGCTCGCAGTCAATGGAAAATGAGATATTATCGTGAATACAAAGAATGGAGCAAAAGGAATCACTAATGTGTATTACGTTTCAGGACTCAAACACAATCTTTTAAATGTTGGGCAGCTTCTATTGAAGGAACATGATGTTGTTTTCGAAGATAGCATATGCGAGATCAGAGCCAAGAATGGAAGTCTCATAACAAAGGTACACATGACTCGTAACAAAATGTTTCCAATCAAAATGTACTATAAGAAGCTTCTTTGTTTTGAGACTTTAATAAAAGATTCTTCATGGCTTTGGCATTATCGGTATGGGCAATTGAGTTTTGACACTTTGTCTAACATGTGTCAACAACATATGGTGAGAGGAATGCTAAATATTAAAAGGGAAGATCAACTTTGTGAAGCATGTATTTTGGGAAAGCATCATAGAAATCCATTTCCGACAGGAGGTTCTTGGAGAGCATCAAAACCTTTCGAGCTAGTCCATACAGACTTATGTGGACCCGTGCGAACTACTACACTTGGAGGTAATCGTTATTTTCTCACATTTATTGATGACTATAGTCGGAAGACATGGATTTACTTGTTAAAAGAAAAAAGTTCTACTTTCGAGTATTTCAAAACATTCAAAGCAATGGTGGAAAATGAAATCAACTTCAAATTGAAGACGTTGCGTTCTGATCGTGGAGGAGAATATATTGCTTTTGAAGAATTTTTTTAAGGAAAATGGAATCAAGCATCAAAAGATTGTTCGAAGAACTCCTCAACAAAACGGTGTTGCAGAGAGAAAGAACAGAACAATAATGGAGCTTGCAAGAAGTATGTTGAAGGCCAAGAATCTTTCAAATGAATTTTGGGGAGATGCGGTGCATGTGCTGTTTATCTCTTGAATCGTGCTTCAACCAAAAGTGTTCAAGGTCTTACTCCCTAAGAAGCATGGAGCGGATTGAAGCCAATTTTTAGTCACCTAAGAGTATTTGGCTGCATTGCTTGTTCTCATGTTTCAAATGAGAAAAGAAGCTGAAGCAAAATGACAAAGTTGAGAAATATAAGGCAAGACTTATCGTTAAAGGGTACAAGCAAAAGTATGGTGTGGATTATGAAGAAATTTTTGCACCTGTGACCCGCTTGGAGATTATTCGATCGATTCTAGCTCTTGCAGCACAAAATGACTGGAAAGTACATCAAATGGATGTCAAGTCAGCTTTTCTAAATGGGTACTTAGAGGAAGAGATATATGTTGAGCAACCTCCTAGTTTTGTGAAGAATGGAGACAAGGACAAGGTATGTCGATTGAAGAAAGCATTGTACAGGTTAAAGCAAGCACCAAGAGCCTGGTATAGTCGTATTGATAATTTCTTCCTGAAGAATGATTTCAAAAGATGTCCATATGAACATGCTCTTTACACCAAAGAGGACAAAAATGGTAATTTCTTGATCATTTGTTTATACGTTGATGATTTGATATTTTCGGGAACTTAACAATGATGCTTGAAGAGTTTGAAGATAGCATGAACAAAGAATTTGAGATGACTGATATGGGCTTGCTTCATTACTTTCTTGGCATCGAAGTAAAGCAAAGTGATATTGGGATTAATATTTCCCAAAAGAAGTATGCGAAGGATTTATTGTTCAAGTTCAAAATGGAGAATGCTTATCCTGCCAGTACTCCTATGGAAGTAGGTTTGAAACTAAGCAAGCATGATGAAAGTGAAGATTTTGATGCCACCATCTATAGAAGTCTCGTTGGAATTTTAATGTATTTAACTACAACTAGACTTGATCTTATGTTCTCAGTCAATTTATTGAGTAGATTTATGGCATCACCAAAGAGAAGTCATTGGGAAGCTGGAAAAAGAGTTCTCCGATATGTTTATGGAACTACTAATCATGGAATTCACTATAAGAAGAACATTGATAAATTTCTTGTTGGATATAGTGATAGTGATTGGGGAAGAAATATTGATGATTATAAAAGTACTTGTGTATATGTGTTTAGTATTGAAACTGGAGCAGTTTCATGGGTATCAAAGAAGTAGGATGTTGTAGCATTGTCAACAACCGAAGCTGAATACATCTCTTTATCCACAGCCAGTTGTCAAGCACTTTAGCTGAGAAAGGTGCTACATGAGTTGAAGTGTCCTCAAGAAAAAGGAACCATCATGTTTTGTGATAATACCTTATCAATTGCTCTTTCAAAGAATCCAGTTTTTCATGGAAGGAGTAAACATATAAATATCTAATATCATTTCATCAGATAATTAATCAAAGATGGGGAAGTATGTATCAAGCATTGCAAGATACAGGATCAAGTTGCAGATATATTTACAAAAGCATTGAAGACAGACTTGTTCTTGAAAATGAAGGAAAAGCTTGGCGTTATGGAAGTCTAGCTAAAGGGGGATGTTAGAATTTAAGCTAGATTCAATTTCTAGACACATACATAAATTTCTAGATACATGAATTGTTAGGTTCATGTAAGTTAATGTATTAAGATACATGAATAGTGTGTATACATGTATCCATATGTTTTGTGTCTTTTAGATGTGTCTCTTGGATGTTATATAAAGGGATCAATTCCCTCCTTTATAATCAAGCAAGAAAGAAGAAAATTGAAGCATTTCAATCAAAAAAGAAAAGAGAACAATATTCTTCTCTGGTATGTTCTTGAGTTTAATAAAAGAACAAATTTCTTCTCTTTAAAGTTGGTGAGTTTTAGAGTGAATTCTAGTAAGGGCTTATCAACGTTTTCAACCCCTCAAACTTCAAAGCTCCTTTTTTCTTAAAAGAGAACTTCTTTCCTTTTTTTTTTCCCTTCATTGTTGCAAAATGGAAACAAATATTACCATTAATTAACCCCCAAGGGTAACATAAAGTGGGCATAAATTATGAGAATAAATAAAAACAATTAGGTAATTGTGTAATTAAGTGTTACCAATCACAATTCAGCTTGTTTGCAAAAGTATACCTACGTAAACGTATAAATGATTGTAAGGTAGCTGAAATCTATTTATAATTATATTTGTTTGAGATAGCTATCTAAAAATATTAATGTCTTTTTGAAGTTATTACGTTGTTTCATCCTATAAAACCTGATTGATTGATGCGTTAAGGATCCCATTTTGATAAGATAAGGGACCTAACAAGTATTTATAATAGACATAGGATACTCCTCTCATTGCCAATAATTGGTTTTGAGATGAAATTCCATGAATATTGATATAGTATCAGAGCCCAAAAACTCAAAGGAGCACTCGATCCAAAAATGAGATTCGGCTCAAGATTGGTGAACACATTGTCAATTGTAGCTTTGAGATGGAACCTCACCCATGAATATTGATAGTATATGACTGCTAATCAAATAATAAGATTGTGTTGTCTAAGCACGCCTCTTCTCGATTCATATCTAGCCCAAGGATCTTTGATGAGAGATGGAAACATGATTATCCTACCTCTTGATCACGACAAGAAAAATGACTTTTCCCAACTTGAAAAAATGTCAGAAAAAGTGCATAAAAGATTGGCATACCCTCGTCGGGAGAAGTCATTCATGACAACTACTTCATCAGCAAGAGTGCTTTCTCGTATCCTCATTCTTTTGTATGTTTGTCATATACGTTTAATAAAATGTTGTTTCTTTCAATAACAATAAAATAAAATAAAAAAGAACTCAAGTGCCCACTACAGGCGAGACAACCAAAGCGACACATTGTGCTCAAGAAACAAAATGACAAGTATAATGATCATGGGTTGTCAATTAATCTAAATGGGTCGAGGTAAATTCTAAAATATTTAAAAAGAATGGATTCAAACTATGATGCTACCTATTTAGGATTCAATATCTTACGATATAAAGTACGTCTAATAGACAATAACCTTGGGAACATAAAGATTCTAGACTTACCAATACCAAAAACCTTAAATTTGATTCGGTTTCAACTATAAAGGAAGAGATCATATATGTAGGATTATCTAGACGATTGATCAAAGGTCGAAGATATAAGAAAACTAGTCTCTTAGACGATTTCGAACACTCCACAAGTTGATGGATCAAACCAACTTAAATGTTCTAAATTTCTAAATACAAGAAGTTGCAAAAATAGTTGTAAGCTCGTTCAAATAAAGTAATTTTATCAGGATGTGTCGATGATTATTCATGTATCACAATTCGTTCTCTCTATCACTTGATTTTGGAGCTTTCCTTGTCAACACCAGCTCGTGTGAGTTTTTATTTTAATAAATAGTTGTCGAAAATAGTTAATAATAATATTAGCATACTAAATATATGACAATATATAGATTTTCAAAGTTAATTCAATATGTATCATAAATAGTTTACAATAAATTTAATTCACTAGGTTCGGTATTCTAACTTGCACTACCAAAAATAATAATAATAATAATAATAAATAATAATAATCTGAAAAATATAGAATACCAACTAAATAAGTTTCAACCATAAATTAAACCAGTAAATGAGGAAGAGAGAAGAAATTGACATACTAATTTATAGTGGTTCGAACAATACGATCTGTGATGATCCATCCATTTCATTCCTATCAACTGTTAATCAAACAACAGCAAACCAGCAAACCAACGAGATAGAGATAGAACTCTTACGAGAAACAAGAAGCCCCAAAAATTGCAGCAACAATATTTCCAAAGAAGCGCACTGATTCTCCTGATTCTTCTAAAAAAGGAATACAATGAATGACTAACAGTTGAAGAAATTTTACTGGGTTTCTTTTTTCGTTCGCGGGTCGTTTTTCTCTCGCTCACACAAGACTCATGGAGACCCACAATCCAACAATGAATGACTAACATTCATGTTTCTTGTTTCTATTTCTTTTTTTATAAAACAAAATAGAATTGCATAGTCTCAACACCCGTTGATTCAAGAATTGTAAAACTGCAATTTTACTATTTTTTTGGAATAAATAGAAATGCAAATAAGAAACATTCTTGTTTCTTGTTTCTTTTTTTCTTTTTTTTTTTAATAAAGCAAAATAGAATTGCATAGTCTCAACACCCGTTGATTCAAGAATGGTAAAATAGCATTTTTACTATTTTTGGGAATAAATAGAAATTCAAATAAGAAACAAAGAACTTATTTTTGTTGTTCTCAAAATTTTTATATAATTTTGAGAATGTTTCTAAAAAAATGAGAAACAATAAACATAAATAGTTTCTTTCGTTTCTTTCAAGGGAGAAACATAAATAGTTATCAAATATGTATATTTCTTAATAAATTAAATTAGAATGGGAATGTTATAAACGGGCTCTTCCGTTGAACACCAACATATGGGGGTGGGGATTCAAATCTCTAACACCTCGTTTTTTTCTATGTTTTTTTTAGTACGACATGTCGGATGTGGGATCGAAGTCACAACCTTGTTATATGTTAATTACGATTGAACTTTCTTCGCTTTGGCGATTTTTTCTCTGTTTAATTTCTTATCTCCACATTTGTTGTATTAAAAAAAAACTAATTAAGTTATACTCATGTAAATCAAAAAAATAAATAAGCTCCCATTAATAAAGTTTTTTTTTTTTACAAATTCTACTATTTTTTTTAGTACAACATGTAGGCGTGGGGATCGAACTCACACCCTCTTTATTAAAGATATATGTCAATTATTAATAAACTAGGCTGGTTTTCACTACAAATTCTACCCTAGCTTAATAGACAATACATTTATTATATTCTCTCAATCGTCTCCCACGTTTATTTACCTTATCAAAAGCATTGAATTTTCAGAAGATTTACTATATTACGTGCAGCCAAACAAGTATTTGTAAGTATTCCAAACGCATGGCCCACCTAATAAATATCTATTCATTAMTTTTGACTTATATACTCAAGCAAAACTTTAATGTATTAATATATATATAAATATAGGCTAAATATATTAGTCGGTGCCTTTTCTTCCTTTTTTTTTCAGTGCCTTTACTTTTTTTTTCTTTTATTTATTTATTTTATTATTATTATTATTATTATTTTTAACAAAATGCCCTTTCAATTATGATTACTATGTTTTAATTCATCCGTCATAAATATTGTATGTAAATCTTTAATTCATTCGTGGGAGTTCGAATTCAGTACATCTTAAATATTGTATTAAAAAAAATTCACTACATTATATGTAAATGTTTTTTAATTTACTCTCTCAAAATTGGTGAATATTAAAGTTAGGAGTAATGATAGATTCATACAACATATTACTTAGTGAATTGGTAAAATTTTAGAAGAAAAAAAGGTCGTCAASAGAAGATAACTCGAAATTCTACTAATTTCTTTGAAATTTGAAGGAGAAATTAGAAGATTTTCTTCTTTAAATTTTTGCAGTTATATATAGTTTTTTTTTTTTTTTTAGGCCAAAGAATTAGCAGTATCTGAATTTCTGGTCCCGCTATCGTTGACCTCAAGTCTACTATTTGGACAAAAACTTTTGTGATTGCATCTTCTACACAAAACCAGAAGCCACTCTCCCAGAAATTGAGCATTATTTTCTGGCAAATTGATCAAATATAYTAAAGACGAATAGCATAAATTTAATATAACTTTTCAAAATTTTAAATTTTGCTATTTATATAAATGTTTCACTATTAAACGCCTGATGCATTCCATTATTACAAAAGTTGAATTTAAATTGCCTTTTTGTCTCCAATTATAAATCAAACTGTATCAAAAAGTTGAGCAAATTAAGTGAGTTGATGATGGGGATTCTTCAGTATTGGAGAGCCCATCTCTTTTTTCTCTTCTTTGTTGTTTCCATTTTTTTCCCTTCTTCCTCTGATTATTCTCAACCACAAAGCTTTCAGAASTGCTTCAATTCCACKTCTTATTATTATTCTTCTCATTCAATACCAATAATTCCCATTTCGGAAGTGCTTTTCACAAACAAAAGTGCTTCTTTCTCCTCTGTGCTGCAGTTTTCCATCAGAAACTTCAGGTTTTTCAACACTTCTTCTCCAAAACCGCTGTTCTTGGTCACCCCATTTCATGAGTTCCATGTCCAAGCAGCCATCGTTTGCGCCAACAAGAAGGGCTTGCAAGTTCGAGTACGAAGCGGAGGACATGACTACGAAGGTCGGTTAAATTACTATTAAACTCAAAAGCTTAAACCGATAAGTTGCGGTAYGTTTATACTATTTATTTATATTTTTTATATTCTCTCYCAAGAATGAGTAGTTTTYTCGACATTTTTCTTCCTCGCAGACAAAAAGTTGTCTGCCAAAGATCTATTTCCCGACGAAATATAAATCGTCAGGATAGGTCTAGAAATCGTCGGAAGAAGTAGACTTTTCCTAACGTTATATATCGTAGATATAGATTGTKAACATCTATATCTATGGTATATAGAGAGGACAATTATCTGATCAATTGATATGACATTAAGCAAAGTCATGAGGTTTATGTCCAAAGCGGACAATAATTTCATACTACTATGGAAGTATTTGGGTTACTTCCTTACCATTAAACTTGTATTTAATCATTTGTTTATAATATCATTTTAATAGGTCTCTCCTACACATCATCACAAGCTCCCTTCATTGTTATTGATCTCATCCACCTTCGCGCTATTGACATCGACATCAAAACCGAAACTGCATCAGTCGAGACGGGTGCCACACTCGGGGAGCTCTACTATAGAATTGCTGAGAAAAGCCCCATCCATGGCTTCCCAGCAGGAAGCTGCCCCACAGTGGGAGTGGGAGGGCATGTAAGTGGAGGGGGCTTTGGAACCCTTTTCCGAAAATATGGTCTTGCAGCTGATAATATAATCGACGCCAAAATTGTGGACTTCAAGGGAAGAATCATGGAYAGAAATTCCATGGGAGAAGATCTGTTTTGGGCCATTAGAGGAGGGGGARGAGCMAGCTTTGGAGTAATTTTATCATGGAAACTCAAACTAGTTTCTGTTCCTTCAAAAGTCACTGTTTTTCTCGTGCAGAAAACTCTAGAACAAGGAGCAACTCAGCTTTTCCAAAAATGGCAAACAATTGCTGACAAACTTGATGAACATCTCTTCCTTCATGTCATCATAGGAGTCACAGAAAACCAAAACAAATCTCCAAAAGAACCCTCAACAAAAACAATCTTACTTTCTTTTGAGTCACTGTTTCTTGGTCCAATTGATAAATTGTCCCTTATTATGAGCACCCATTTCCCAGAATTGGGATTGCAAAGAGAAAATTACACTGAAATGAGTTGGATTCAATCAGTTCTCTTCTTTACTGGCCTCTCCACCGAAGCCCCACTTGAAATTTTGTTAGAAAGGCCTCCACTTTCTGACATATTTTTCAAAGCAAAATCTGACTATGTTACTTCACCAATTCCTCAAACTGGGTTGGAAGCACTTTGGAGTAAAGTGCTTGAGGAAGAAGCATCTTTATTGATTTTGACACCATATGGGGGGAAAATGAGCCAAATTTCTGAGTCAGAAACCCCTTTTCCACACAGAAGAGGGATTATTTTTGGGATTCAATATATGGTAACTTGGGAAAATGGTAATGAAACTGAGAAGCACTTAAGTTGGATGAGGGAGGTTTACACTTGTATGGAGCTCTATGTTTCCAAGTGTCCAAGAAGTGCTTATTTGAGTTATAGGGATCTTGATTTGGGAAGAAACTATGGAAGAAACAGAAGCTATGAGGAGGCAAAAGTTTGGGGTTTGAAGTATTTCAAAGGTAATTTTGAGAGGTTGGTGAGAGTGAAGACCAAAGTTGATCCTTCAAACTTGTTTTGGAATGAACAAAGCATTCCCCCAACTCTCCACCATTCTTGAAGCTAACACAACAATAATCATTGCCTCAGTTCTACTTRACAAGAAATGAAAATGAAGCCARATCMAAATGGAGTAATAGAGATAAAATTTTAGGGAATGGAAATAAGATGATTAAGTATTGTGTATAGCTGGTTTTGTGTATTAATCTTTTGTTAAAATTAATTCTAAATCAGCATGGAAACTCGTGAGAATGTGTATTAAATATGAACTAATTCAGTGGTTAAATCATCTCTCTATGTACTAATATAAAGTAATTCATGAGAATGTTTGCAATGACTTTTTTCGAAAAAGGTAGCATGGTTTAATCTTCCCTCTTCCCTCTTATATGTAATATAATTTTTCTTTTTAAAGAAAAATAAGATCAAATCAAATACATTAATATTTGAAAAGAATCAAATATAAATATCTTCAATTGCATTTAGAGTCGAGTCAATTTCTCAACAGCTAGTATTTTTTTTGTAGTGTTCTGCTTCATTTTCCAAAGTGACACCYTGCTTTGATGTGAATTGTGTGACATATTTTCCTAAATTGAAAGGTTTGGCTTAACATGACAAATATATGAAAAGTAAATATGTTGGTTTAAAAATATATATTCATGCATGAATATATATTATTGTTTTACATCAACATGAATGCACAAAAAGACCCCTTGGGCTCATGGCCCAAAATTTGAAAAAGAAATACATCATTTAATGACTTATTAGGCACTTTTCTCCCTTCTAATACGTACATTATTAACCTACAACTTATAAGAATAAACATCGATATTATTCATACTTACAACAAACTTAAAAAAAAAAAGAAAAAAAAAACATCCCTATTTGACCAATTAAACTATATTTAAATCAATAGCTTGAGAGATCAGAGAGGATCCAGCATGGGTCGGAAGAAGTTTACCTAATCTAACAAATTATCTCTTTGTCATGGTGCATGGCAAATGCACCTCAAGCCCCACTAGCAACTTGTATTCGACTCTGTATATCATTAGTCTCATGCTATTTTTAATATAAGCTGTTTTTCCTTTTTAATAATATGTCAATTTTTAACAAATGAAATAAAAAATCATAAATTTGTTATTCTAGATTACTTTTTATAGAAAAATTGAAAACTTTCTTCATATAAGCTCGTACGCTACTAATATTTGGAGTGGTTCTTCGATATTTTTAATATCTCAACAGCTCTTTCTGCCAGAGTCGACAATCTCATTTTGGAATATATTAATATTTCTCCCTCCAGTAGCAGAAATGTATTTTGGTGTAACGGTTTTTGTTCAATCATTTGGTATATTTGGCAGGAAAGAAACGATCACCTTTTCAGAGACATTTCTAGATCAACCRGTGGTAAATCTGTGGGAGGACATAAAAATGGCTGCCTCTTCTTGGTCCTCGAAATTGACCTTCTTTTGCAATTGTAGCATTTCCACCATCTCTTTGAACTGGGGTGCTTTTACTTAGTTTTCTAGTATTGTTTGTTTCTCACCTACTTTTTGAATGAATGGTGTTTCTAAAAATACAAATATGTCGATTTTTAAAATAGGAATATATATTCACACCAAATTTTATAAAAGTAATTTTCTTCCTCAACACTTATTATAGGACATTGGCTTGGGAAGAAACCATGGAAGAAATACAAGCTATGAAAGGCAAAAGTTGGGGTTTGAAGTATTTCAATGGTAATTTTGAGAGATTGGTGAGAGTGAAGACCACCTCTGAACTTCTTTTGGAATGAACAAAACATTCCTCTTTTCCATCATTATGAAGAAAATGGCACAAGAATTTCACAGGTTCACTCAGACTTGGACAATTTCACAGGTTCAGACTTGGACTCTGAAATTCTTCAAGAAAGATGAAGTACTTCAAACTTCAAAGCTCCCTTTTTTCTTAAAGAGAGAGCTTCTTTCTTTTTATTGCTTCATTGTTGTAAAATTGAAAAAATTATAAATAATTAACCCTCACAGCTAACATAAAAGGTCTATCGATATATTGAATCTCGTGTCTCCRTCGGGGTACCCAAACCTGATATATGAGGCCTACGGACTCACGTTTTACCCTTTAGAATTATGGTTGGGCTGCGGGATACTTGGGGGTCGGAGGATTTACCGGTCACATACAATCGTAGAACCAACAAACATCCTTCAGGCGAAGAACCAAACAAGTGAAYAGAAAAGTGAAAAGAATGTGCACTGTCCTTATACCCATAGTAAGGGATCATTATTTAGTGGGGTTGCATTCCATGTGACCTTGAATCCAACACTTCAAGGCCCCAAACTATCTCTTGAGAACACAGTAACAAAGATTTTAAATCCTTCATCTTGGTCAATCAATTCAACGACTTTAACCATTCAACCATCRATAATAAGTTATTCAACTCTCCCTGCCCTATTCTCAATCCTTCTACTAGAATCAATGGAAATCAGATTTTGGATTTCAAAAATAATCATGAGATCCAAGAATCTCATTGGTTTTTAATGGGAATCTATATTTGTGTTTGTGCATTCACATATAATGCTTGAATATTTGGCCAACTTCCACAAACCGAAATGTGAGAATCTAGGAAAACAAAGAAGAAAAAAACCCAACTATAGAGAAATATTGGAGGCCTCATTTAAAAGTGCTGTACAAATTTTCACAATTTCTTGCCTTTTAGACRCACCAATATGTAAAACCAACAAAATGCTTTTTGGGAAGGTGTGGAATAAAGAAAGAAAGAACCAACTTTTGGAAGTACTTTTGCAATGTGCTTTGCCAACAAAAGTCATGGCGCTGATTTAGCAACTTTTTCAACCAAAATCCCACAAATAAGTCAGTTGTGTGTCAAAAGTTTTAGTATAATCGAGGAAAAACAAATTGYAGTGGATGGTAAATAGTTGTTACATATTTATAAAATAATAATATTTTGTAAATAGGATAGTTTTGTATTGTATWGCGCCTCGGAAAAATAGGGTCTATCACACAGTATCAGTCRAATCGGATTATTCTTCTTTCTTCGGCATCTGAAGAAGCTGCTGCCACTAGAGAAACGGAAGTCTCAGCTAAAGCCGAATCCGAAGACGCATTGATAGAAGCATACGCAAACACTGGGGAATCCGCTTCACATGAAGGAAGTATCCGACTCATAATCCAAAGATAGAGACGCATCTATTCCCCCTAAATCACCTGAAGCAGAAATCTTCATCTGATGACGCCACTTGTTGTCGTTGATGACTGTTGCAGCAATATCGGTACCGGTCATGCTTCAAAGTKGAACAAAACAGATTGGTTCGACTTTCTATGAGTCGACATGAGAAGCACCGCTCAAAGGTGGCTCATTGAGCCGGTCATTTTGACCTTACATCCATTGTGAAATATGTGTTGATAGAAATTTTTTAAAATTGTGTCATATTTGTAAATATAATTTTTACCTTAGGCTGGATTTGTAAATATTTTGGCATTTGTTTCCATATTGTTACATATATGACTGTTTAAAGAAATATATATTGATTATTAGATTAAAGCCTTAAAATTAGAGACTAAAATATAAAAATAAATTAAAGCAAAGTAATATACTTTTTATTTTGTAAATTTTGAAAAAATAAATAAATCAAGTAAAAATCAAGTTTAGAAAATCTAAACTAAAATCTCCAAAAAATAAAAATAAAAATAATTCGATTACATCCAAAATAAATTCCAATATAATTTTAAGACCTCGAGCCCCGAAACAAGTTATTGCCAAACCCATAATCTTTCTTCTTCAAAACTAGCTATCACTATTTGCGGTGTTGAAAATAATKGATGATGCAAGAATTTGGTTAGTCTCTAGTCTCGATAATTTAAATCTATGTCAACGTTTAAGTCGGCAAAAGCTTTCATAGAGAAAAACAAAAAAAAATCTGATTTTTGAGAGTATATCTCCTCTTATTTATTGAGATAGCCTSTTTAGATTGGTATAAGTACAGTGACTTGATCCAGTTTGAGTCGATTCAGACCTGATCTGGTTGGATGAGACTAGGACAGCTCGAACCATTTGATTAAAATTTGAAGGGTTAATTTCATCTATATAATTATAGTTTTTCCTTTCAAGAAAAAATACTCACCCTCTCATTTAAATAAAAAAATAATAATAAAAAGATGTGGATTAATCCTTATCTTTTTATTTTTCAATTTTTTTAATAAAAAAAAGGCATACATGGAGAAGATGCTAGAACACAATATTCCCCACTTCCAATCTTTCACTTATCTTTTCACAAAGTTGAAGAATCCCACTAATGAAATAATATAATTCTTTAATTTAAAGACCAAAAAGATGAACAAAGATACCTCATTGATTGAAAATATTATATGAGATTGCCATTTCTTCTTTTGTTTGCTTTCTCCATTATTTTATTATTTATTTTTTTCCTTGGACTAAAGTATAGGTTTCAAAGCTTAGGGAGCCGAGAGAATTCGGGTTCGTTTGATAATGTTTTTTTTTCTGTTAAATAAATAAACGTAGATTTGTGTAGCTCCACACCTATAATTCAGAACAATGAAACAATATTTTTATTTATGTTTTGGAATAAATTGGAAAAAAAACAAAAAACTTGTTTTTGTTATTTTCAAAATCTCTAAATAATTTTAAGGATGTTTTTAAAGATAATAAACAAGAAACATAGCCAAATGTTTAGGTTTCTAAATAAAATTGGAAACGAAAAACACTAAATAGAAACATTACGAAATGAGCCATCAATTTCTGACTAAAAGGTACTGAATTTCGAATCTCCACACACATTTATTGTACTAAAAAAGCTTCCTAAAAACTTCCTAAATACAAATATAGAGTAATTATAGTATAAATGCAATGTCAACATGGCATGTGATTCTCTTCGTAATATTTGTTGTACTAAAAAACCGCAATATTCATCCTCTCCTCTCGCTTTCTCATCGTCCAAATATTTTAGAGGTAAATATATACAAGATGTACAATAATCATGTAGCTTTTATTTATAAACAATAAGAAATTATATTAGTAACAAGTAAATTCTTTGGAGGTAAAAAGTATCAATATTTTTTGGGTTAAAAGCTCAATCGGGTTAAAAGCTCAATCGCAAAGTCTGAGACGACCCAGAGAGCGCAATTGAACATGATCAACTTTGTAAGCCTACTAAAACTCTCTATAAAAAATAATTCTAGCTACCCATTGTCATTAAGTTTTATGAATGTTTTAACCATAAACCTAACGTGATATACGTCCTGTTTTATGTTTGTTTGTGTYACGAGTTCATTATGTTAATGTGGACAAGTCAATGAAGTCACCACATGTAGGTGAAATAAATATTTCCACCAAAAGGGGCTAAAATTTCTCATATCTCTTCTAAGGAGTCAATATATTCACATGATTTCTGGCATTTCCCTTCCAAGTTTTCAGTTGCATTGGACATACAAGTTTGAATAGAACACCGACAAGATGCTAATTTTTCTGTATGATATTGATTGTTCTTTAAGGATGTTGGATTATATTGTCTAAGTCAATTTCAATTTGCTGGTTGTTCTAGAAAGTTTTAACATATCAAATATTAGGTTGCAATTCTGGTTTATCTGAATCGTTATACTTTCGAAACGTTCGTTTGGATCCTGTACCTAGTGACCATTTTAATGGTACAAAATTACACTTATAAATTACTTTAAAATTTTGCAAATAAAGACCAAAATAAACTTACGGTAAAAAAGTGACTTAATTTTTTATAACCTGTAATTTTGTACCACTTAAGCATAGGTTATACAAATTATTCCACCTTTTATACCTAAAAAACTTCATTACTCTAGACTTGTTAAAAATGAGGAGCCACAAATATCAACTTCACCTAAATTTTAGTACTAAAATTGTCATGTTCATAAAAAAAAGTACTAAAATTATTTAGAGAGGTTAAGTAGGAACAAAGTTTTAATTGTCGATGTCGATATAGAAATGTCAACGTCTCAAGTTTATAGAAATATTAATGGAAATAAATCGATCAAATGTCGATGTCAATATCAATAAATATTTCTAAAATTTTATAAAAATAAAAATCATAACAAATATTTAAAATAACCAATAGTAATAAATAATTTAAAATTTATTAATATCAATAATATATATATATTAGTGATATCTAGTCGATATTTTTTATATTTTATCAATTTTGTTACAGTGTGGAAATATAAATTTACTCTTTTATGTTAATATCGAACCATGAACATATAGAAATATGATGTGTCGATGGAAATTTAATACTCAGAAGAGGAACTTCGAGTCCAACCACACCTACAGCTTTAAATGATGGGAAGGGGGAATTGAAAGAGAAATGATAAAGTAATTGATGATCTCGTGTCATCTCCTTCTGCAAAATTTTCAAAGTCTTTGTAGTACTCATTGCAGTGACACTCCAAATTAACTATAGTGAACTTAATGTTTCAACTTCCAACCATTTGTGTACTTTGGTTGGTATGATAATTCAAAATGTAAATTCATAAGTTTTGAACTTTAACTGAGATATTAAATTTTTGTGTTAATATTAAAAATATCACTTAATTACATGCATATTACTAATAAAATATTTGAAATTCCCCTGATTTAAATTTGAAAAACATGAAAGAAAAGAGGAAGTAAATAATAGAGCARAATACATTTTTGGTCCATGAGATTTGAGGTAGGTGTCTATTTGGTCCATGAAGTTTCAAAATGAACACTTTTGGTCCCTGAGTTTGAAGGAGGTGTCTACTTGGTCCCTGAAGTTTCAAAATGAACATGTTTGGTCCTTAAGGTTTAAATTAGGTGTCAACTTGGTTCCTGAAGTTTTAAAATGAACAYTTTTTGTCCTTGAAATTTGAAAAATAGTTYTAAATAGTCCCTGAATTTTTTTAGTGTTAATTAACTAATATTAGAATGACGTGTCAAATTACAATTACATTATTTGTTGTAGTTGCTGATGTGGCAAATTATATTAATTAAATAATGTATATGTAGCAGGTGATGGTACTTTCTCTCTCCTCTCTTCATCTCTTCCTCTCTCTTCCTCCTACCCTTTTTTGACGACTACCACGTCTTTGTTGYMGCCGTCARCCATTCATATCGAACATATATCATTTAATTAATATAATTTGTCAAATCACCAACTACAATAAACAATTTAATTGCAATGTGTCATGTCATTTTAATATTACTTAATATAGCAGTAAAAAAAATTATGGACTATTTAGAACTATTTCTCAAACTTCAGGAACCAAAAGTGTTCATTTTAAAATTTCACGAACCAAGTTGACACATACTTTAAATCTTAAGGACCAAAAGTGTTTATTCTGAAATTTCATGGACCAAAGACACCTACCTCAAATCTCAGGAATCAAAAGTTCATTTTGAAATTTTAGGGACTAAGTAGACACCTATCTTAAACYTCAGGGACCAAAAATATATTATACATCATTCTCGTACTTTCAGTCGCAACTATCGCTTCCACAAATATCTTACTTGATCTTTAGATGACTCGGCGTTTACAAAATAAATCCAACGTAAAATTTACTTTACAATAAAAAAGAAAACATTTTAAATGCTTTTCTATAYTTATCTTCATTTTAATTAACATTTTATTCCTTAAAAGTTATAACACACGCAYTGCCCAAGCTTAATTCTTGCCACTCKTGGCACATTTGATGATTCCAAATTTTTATATGAAATCATCATTACATTTCCATAATCATAAACATAACTCTAACTAAGATCAATGAATCAATAATAGAGCATTATAATTTTCCGCTAATAATATTTTACCTCTAGAATCAATCACAAACCAATGCTCTTCTAAATATGTTAATTAATTAAAATTGGAAAAGAGCATTGCTCCTACCATCCTTTTGTATACCATCTCTACTAGACACCCCAAAAAAAAATTATATATTATTTATTTAACTCATTCTTAGAAGCCACATGAATAATCAATTTCTTTCCTTGGAGTCAGAGGTTGAAATCCTACATTGTACTAAAAAAGTAGATTTTTTTGCATTAAATTACAATCAAGAAAATTTAGCCTATAATAAAAGTAACTTAGACAATCACAATAAAAATAGATGATTTAGCCAAAGCGAGCGGTATATATCTCCAACCAAGAGATTGTAAGTTCCATTAAAAAAAAATAGATAATATTACTGAGAATCCCTAGTCTTGACAGGGCTCACACACTCTCATGAAAAGGCAATTGCGTGAATAAATGAAAAATTATTACATACAATAATTGTTAATTTTATAATCTTTTTTTCTTTCTTTCTTTTTCTTTAGATAGTTAATTTACTAATCATTACTAAGTTAATTAAGAATAATTATTGAATTTATATATTCAAGATCAKTAAATGACAATCTAATTTATTTAGGAGATAAGGAGCTTAAGTAAGAAAATAATGTTTTTTTTAGTACAGCAGATGAAGGACCAATCTTTTGAYCAAAAATATATGTCTTAACCAACTAAGTTATGTGCAAGTTAACAAGAAAATGATATTTAAAACTACACAAAAGAATAAGAATTGTTAATTATTATAGTTTTTGAAATTTGTCAAGTCATTAAACGTGAACACACATAATTTTTAAAATTGAAAAACTAAAAATAATAGGAATTTACTCCATCCTCTCCAAATATTTTCTTGGGACTCATGGTTATTAGATAATTACATATTTTTAACTATAAAACAGAAAATTAAAAATAAAATTGTTATGATCAAGGCCTCAAATATTCTCCAAATATTTCCTTGAACTCGTTAAGATCATGTTYTAGGTAATGACATATTTTAAACTAGAAAAAAATGTGATTAACCAAATAAACAAAGAGGATGGTTCACCTAAACAATCCCTCTTCCCCCCTATTTTTTTTCTTTACTCTGAAAAATAACAATCTCTCTCCTCTCTCTCTCTCCTACTTTTCTTGACTGAAATAACAAAGACAAGTATTCCTTCTTTGAAAACTAAATACAAAAGAAAAAAAGAGGAGGATGAGCTAAGAACCATAGACATTACAATTTGAGTTTAAAAAGTCGTGTCGAACACTTCAACACACCCAACACTTTGGACGCATATCAAACACTTGTTAAACACACATCAAACACTTCTTKCTCAGCATAAGAAACAATAGACATAAGTAATAATATAAGGTAATAATAAATTTTAAGTACAAAATACGTCAAAATATCTGTGTTATATCATATCTGTGTTTCGTGTCCGTATCCATGCRGAGAGTAAAACTAGAGAGTAATCTCACAATTGAAATGAGGCCGTCTGATAAATTGATTTCAAAATTTTCATGACGTTTGCCTTAGCTCAGGTACACGTTTACCATTCTCAACTCATCACATTCACAGCTATATATAGCAGTTCAGTTCTTTAGACCATCTCAATCCTCGGCCCCAAACTTCACTGCTTTATAGAAAAAAAAATAAAATATACCAAATTATGCTGCCTTCTTCAGGCTCTCCCATTTTCCATTTAGTGCTTGCGTTTCTTCTCTCATTTTCACTTTCAAACTCGGCTCCATTGGAGCAAGCTTTTTTCCAATGTCTCTCTGTCAATTCCCAACTTTCTGCCCCTCCCTTCTCGGTTTGTGATCCAAACAATGCTTCATTCACCACTCTTCTTCAGTCCACTGCGCAAAACCTCAGATACTTGGATGCTTCAGTTCCGAAGCCGGAGTTTATCTTCATTCCACTCCTTGACAGCCATGTCCAAGCAGCTGTAATTTGCTCGAAGAAGCTCCGAATACATCTCAGAGTGCGTAGCGGTGGCCATGACTACGAGGGTCTCTCTTATGCTTCGGAAATCGAAACCCCTTTCATTGTTGTAGACCTCACCAAACTCCGGTCGGTCGAGGTGAATATTGAAGATAACAGTGCTTGGGTTCAGGCTGGTGCTACGGTTGGTGAAGTTTACTACAGAATCTCAGAGAAAAGCGAAGTCCATGGCTTCCCTGCTGGCCTTTGCACTAGCTTAGGCATTGGCGGGCACATAACAGGCGGTGCATATGGCTCTATGATGAGAAAATATGGCCTCGGTGCTGATAATGTCATTGATGCTCGGATCGTCGACATTAATGGCAGAATTCTTGACCGAGCGGCCATGGGAGAGGACCATTTTTGGGCCATAAGAGGGGGAGCTGGAGGCAGCTTTGGGATTATTCTGTGGTGGAAGTTGCAGTTGGTTCCTGTTCCAGAAACTGTGACAGTCTTCACAGTTCCCAAGACCTTGGAGCAAGGTGCCACTCAAGTCCTATATAAATGGCAGCAAGTTGCACATAAGTTAGATGAAAACCTGTTCATCAGAGTCATAATACAACCAACAAGTGATAAAGCAACAAAAAAAAGAACCATTACAACTGCTTACAATGCACTTTTTCTTGGAGATTCCAACAGGCTCCTCCAAGTTATGGGAAAAAGCTTCCCTGAATTGGGTTTGACACCAAAAGATTGTATTGAAACCAGCTGGATTAAATCTGTTCTTTATATAGCTGGAGAACCCCCCGGAACACCTCCTGAAGTTCTTCTGCAAGGAAAGCCACAGTTCAAGAACTACTTCAAAGCTAAATCAGATTTTGTTCAAGTCCCAATCCCAGAAGCTGGACTGGAAGGTCTGTGGAAAAGGCTGCTAGTAGAAGACAAGCCATTAACGATCTGGAACCCTTATGGAGGAATGATGAGCAAGATCTCAGAGAATGAGATCCCATTCCCACACAGAAAAGGAAACTTATTCAAAATTCAGTATTTAAGCACATGGCAGGGTGGAGATACAGATGCTGCAAAACACATAGAGTGGATCAGAGAACTTTATAATTACATGGCTCCATATGTGTCCACATCTCCAAGAGCAGCATATGTCAACTACAGAGATCTTGATTTGGGTATGAACAAGAAGGACAATACAAGCTTGGTTCAGGCCACTGAGTGGGGGAATAAATATTTCAAGGACAACTTCAATAGGCTTGTGAAGGTAAAGACAAAAGTTGATCCTGAGAATTTTTTCAGGCATGAACAGAGCATTCCACCTTTGGCAGGCACTGCATCATTTAAAAGAACTACAAAATACAGAAGAAGAGGTTATAACTAGTAGTCTACCCAAAACAATAAACCTCCAGTTAACTGAATTATCTTCCTTCTTACAAATATCAGAGCTGTCTAGGTTATGTGGCAGAGATATGAGGTCAAATACTAACTTCTGTAGAAGTATGAGCAATAGTTTTTCACTTTTTTACCTTCTGTTAAACTGAGGGTGAGGATGTGTGTGGTTTGTTACTTGCTATGTCTACTGAAGAGGAATTTTCTTTTCTGACTGCTTATCTTTCTATATAATACGAAAGAGTGGATTTTGAATCCTATGGAGTGGGTTTAGAATTTTAGTCCAGGAAGGAAGCTATGTTGGACAAATAAATTCATAGCAAAAGAATAAAAGTGATTGGAAAACAATAATACCAAAACTTATATAGTCATCTCATCTTGTACTACATCCTAACTTCTACAGTCTATAAATATTACACATTACAAGAGATAACATAAGAGAATCTCACAAACTCTTACCTTTTAAGAGACGAGCATCATGACACGACATCAATTTGGCACTGTCCCAACATGGAATGCTACAATTGTATGACTTAATGTTTTCTTAGATATGCTGATTTACGCTGCAGTGCCCCATGATAACTTTGGACTCCTTTAGAGTGATTTAGCTCTACAAACCCAACAGTCTCCACTTAAAAGATTAATGAGTCATCTTCAACTTTCCCTACATCCTATCTGCTCGTAATTCCAAGCCTTTCCCCCACGCACTCAACTAAATTGAATTAACTAGTCAGAACAAGAATAGTACATCTGCCGAATTATTTGATTTATATATTCAAGACAACTACCAATACTTAGAAATCATCACTGCAACCTAACCTCTTCTCTTCTGAGGCCGGCCAATAGATGGGGCCAGTCTGCAAGCTTTAGGCTGGTAACCGAAGGAAGATCTAGATGGCTGGTCATTTGTGTCCCCTCCATAAGTGCTACTGTTCACAAATTCCAAGAACAACGTGCAAACTGGGCTGATCAGAAAGCGACAACACATTGCACTTCTGCACTATGATTTGTCGGTGACAGTAATAATAACTGTAGACACAAATTAATCACAATTAAGGCACTCTTGAACTCCTTGTTTCTTTGTTATTTGAATAGTAAGAGTATATAACCACAAATCCGACAGAAGACCACAGATGTACAAATCAACTTTGTCGTTAAAGTCAGCAGGACACTGCAAAACCAAGGAAAATCTGGCGAATCAATATGTATATGGTTGAAGGGAAGAAACTGGAAATTACTGGGATCATTTACAAAACTTTACTCAGATATTGCACCTGTGAAAACAGTACAAAATCTATATTGTATTGTATCCTCCACTTTAAAATGTAAGAAAAATATACTAAGCTACAGGTATGCACAAATCCTCAATTTCCTAACTATCAACAGGTAGTTGAATCCTAAAAAATTGGTTGTGATAACTCTTACTTGTCCACGCCTCCAAAACAGGTTGCAACGTCAGTTGGGTTAAGCTTGCGTCAAGAAAGGAAATCAAATTTCAGCTTACATCGCAACAGAAATTTGTAAAATGTTACATGACAACTCTTTCTGTTTCGAGCTCAATAAAGAATACCACGTCTTTATCAAGTTAACCTCAACATATTGACTCAAAGAGGGTGGATAGCTTCCTTTATCTTGAACGATTGTTTCAAAATCAAAAGGGAGAAGGCCTAACAGGGCAGAAACAATAGCAATTTGAACACAAAGACCAGATTTAATGGTAGTGTCCAGGCAAAGAAATTCTGATAGATTAGATCTCAAGATTTTAACTCCTCCATCTTCAAAGCCTCCAGAATCCACGCCAAACCTACAATTAAAAATTGAAATTTTAGATAATTGGTCACAAATAAAATTTCCATTCAAATGCCAGCTTTGTCAAACAGTGAAACTGTGTCCCCTGTAGTACAATTGTGCATCCATATACCAGTGCATTTCAAATAGCAAAATAAAAAACAAAAGTAAACAAGACAAAAACAAAGTTCCATAATGGGAGGAGCCAAGTCTCAAGAAGATATACATAATGGGGGATAGTACAATGTTGGTAAGGAGAAAATGCTGCAGGGCCCTATTTAAGATTTTAGCAAGGAGGAAATGCTAACAGTTTTAGGTAGGAAGGAAACAGGTTCATCATACGTATTTATGATTAGCAGTCCACTGTTGACTTATTTGGATGGCAAAGCGTCTATGATCTAAAAATGTCAGTGTAAGCTAGCTAGTTTTCATATCAGTAATTCATCTGACACAGTTAAATTTTACCACACACTGTCAGAGTCCCATATCATGTTAGGTAATAAGCTTTCTTTTGGTTTTGGCACACAAGTTTCATGTCTAATATGTATTTAGAACAAGATTTAACATTACAAATGAGACTAGAACCTGTCCTGCATTCAAGCTTCAAGAGAAGCTCCACTCGATTAAAAGGTGAATAGCCACAAGAACAAAAACAAGCACAAAATATTTGGTACTATTGACAAGACAAAATGAACCAAAATGCACATCATTTACCTCCCAAGTTGACCTAGAAGAATCACAATAGCAAGACTCTCCTTTACAGATGACTTCAATAATTCCAGCAGCTGGGAGATAATGTTAACGCATGTCCAATTCCAGCTCTGCAATTGAAAAGCAAAACAGAAGCAATCTCAGGTTCGGTTCTCTCAAGATAAGCAACATCAAGTTCAGAACTCTCGAGATTAAATATCAATTATCATATATTGAAATGGACATGTATAAGAACTGCAGTGTAGAGGAAAGTAATCCACTTTAAGATCCAGGGATATTATTTTAAGGTTGCTACCGTTGTAAATAAACCTTAAATGTGACTTTTACAATTACAAATTGAAAATATAACGTCCATATACCTAACAGACAATAACAACTAAAAGAATAACTCTTAAAAAGACGCTCCCCATATGTGTATGTGTGTCCGTGTGTACCATACCACTATAGAGAGAGAGAGAGAGATCAAACAACAATATCATTGAGGATAAGCATACAACAGGAGCAACTAGCAAGTCAAATCAAATACCTCTCAATAATTTTGAACCCGAGAATCAAATACACTGTGAATAGTCATTTATGTCATATAATACAGCCGAAAAGTTGTATTTCATGGACAGAGGATACAACCAGAAATTCTTTTTTAATTATAGCCTACACTTCGATAGTTAGACTTCGATAGTTAGAAACTGGCAAGCCGCCATTGTTTAGTTTCTGGGAAGGGTGATCTCAACCCTCAGCCCTTAGGTTGTCTCTCCCTTTTGGGTTCTTTGGTTCATTGAACCCCAAAAATAAAAAATAAAAATACAACAATACAACAATATGGAAGCTTGATTCATCTGGGGATTCTTCATCTAAACCTATTCTTTCTAAACTAACAATTTTTAAGGAAGCCACAAGAAAATTTCCTGAACAATCTAGCAGGTTCCAAATAAGATAAATTTTCTATTGGTCTTTGTTTACAGAGCATTGATGTACAAAGGTTTCAAAGGAGTCCTAATCTGAATTTAATGCCAAATTGAGGTGTTTTATGCAAGAAATTGGAAGACACTAGAAGAGTAGAAGTCATTCGTTCTTCTTTTGTGAATATAGCAGAAACTTCTGGATTTCATTAGAGGAATTCCAAGCCTCCTGGGTATATGATCCCTCGTTGAAGAATAACTTGGTTCAGATGCTATGTGGAAATGGTCCAAAAGTAAAACCTAAAATCATCTATATGAAAGTTGTCAAAGCATTTCTATTGGCTATTTGGTTAGGAAAAAGAAACAATAGGACATACGATGACAATTGACAAAGATAGAGATCAGGAAGACGTTTCTTATTTGGCAAAATTCCATTGTCCTTTTTTTCTGTTCACTTCCTAAATACACTCGACAATATTCCAACATATTCAAAGTGACCTGCTGAACCAGGAAGCCGGTCCTCATATCAGTGAAAGACTAATGTAAAATTACTAATAGTGATATGAAAAGGTGAGAACCAGTACCATGTAGCATGCTATCAGTTCAACCAATGAGATCGCGTCGCTAACATCACACAATGTTGGGTTGAAGAAAAAGCATGGTTGATCATCAGACACCTTATACTTCTTCAAACAACAAGATGCATCACAGTCCAAATACAGTGCTGGATGGACCTCTTTACAACTAGAATTTTCACTTGGAATCTGAATATTTCTTTCAAACAAGGATTTCAGATTGGATGAACTGGTAGCATTTTCTAAATCTTCAGCCATAATCCCATTTGACATATTTTTCAGGATTAATTGCAGTAGAAAAGACACAACCATGGGCATTGACATTACTTCCTCTGAGAAAGGGCAATTAGCACATTGAACAAACTCTGTTCTGCAATTTCTTTTGGGTAGGGTGAAAGTAGCATCATCTGATGTTCCAACCAACTCAAGGTGCATGATTATTGATTTCAAGACAGCCATCAAAATAGAGTAACCTTCCAAACTGAAAAACTGATCTCCACCAATATGTGCAAAAATATGAAGCATAGTTAACATCTGCGATGATTCATACCTGCAGATCCTTAAAATACTATATGACACCTCCCAAAGAAGGCCAGTACGATCAACTGCTTTAGAAATTGATGCTAATATGGAACTCCCTGCAATCAAATAGTCTGCTGATGCTGGTACAAACGACAATGTTCTGTCTACACCATCAATAGGGATGTTAACCCTCACACCACCTTCAGTCAATGTCTCGAAAGAGGCATCAGTACATGACAGGACCCGTCCATCTATTATGAAGTCTTCTATGAGGGCAAGTAACTCGTCCAAACAGCACAATTCAGCAAACAAGCTTCTTGTTTCCACATTAAGCATTGCTGCCAATAGGAAAAAAAATATAATTAAAATTAAATAAAAAAACTGAAATATGGAAAGTATCATTAAGATGAAACCAAAAAAAAACAAATAAAGTAAATTCATTAATCCATAAATTACTAAGAGGAAAAGAGTAAACCTTCACTTATGTGCCCCGAAAAAGAATCCATGCAGGTCTTGCAGTTCAGAAAGTTCCCATACCTATGCATAGCAACAACGGTGAAGTTGAGCAGCACCAAGGAAACGAATACACAAGTCTTCTCCCTGAAAATCCATTATTAGTACTTCAATTCTATTACAGAGCAAGCTCTTTCTGAAATTTTAAGGATCTCTTTTAGTTTTGGGGTAGGAGGGGATCATAAAATATAAAATATTTTCTAAAACCGATAACTATTTGCACTGATACAGATAACAAAGATGCAAAAATGAAACACTTACTTTGGTAAAAGTCTATGCTCCATGTTAAGGGCTGCCAAAATCTCTTGCACCATCCACTCTTTTTGACTAGTCAAAGAGATCCTCTTTATACAAGCCCTAGTTGCTGAAAAAATCCTGGAAATGCTGTGGCAGTCTTCTGCATTAGAGAAAAGAACACAAAAATCAGGGACAAAATTGTCCTGGGATCCAGATTTAATTTCTGACGTTTCCACCCCTTCACAACCAGAAAGAGAGAATTCTGTCCCAGGCATCTCTACAATGACCCCAACCTTATCCAGACAGATCTTTTCTGCCTGTACAATATCACAAAGATCACTCCCATGGCTCCCTAGCATTAAACACGGATCAACTTGGCGTTTACTGCTATGAATATCTCTTAACAAGCCAGAGTTGCAGGATTGGGTATAATTGGACTTAATCTCAACATCGATAACATCATAGCTATGCGAATGTGGCTGACCTTTTTCTTTTGGCAATTTTTTATGGAACTCGTCTACTAAAGGCTCAAAATCATTCAAAGCAGATGTTTCAGTGCCAGGAACACAAATATCTGGAAGTGAAGGGGAAAGTGGCATTTCCATTGCTCTCCTGTAGCATTTCTCGTCAGCAGCACTATCCAAATCTAGCAATTTCATATAGTCCCCACCTGCTATGTTCCCAAAAGTTTCCAAGATTTGAAGTTCACTTATGACAGAATTATCGAGTTCCTCTAGGCATGGCTGACAACTGTCTGTAAGTTTGCTGACGGGTTGAGAGGGTTGTCTACTAACACTTTCAGGCACACAAACTTCAGTATCAACTTTATTCAACTTTATCTCATCATTATCAAGTAAACCTTGCATCTTTATTTTCTTCTGATACAAAGAATTTGTCTTCTTCCGAAATTTCTTATCAGCGGAAGAATCTTGAGGCGGGTTTGATATTACATCTTCACTCTTTCTTGAGGGCTTCTCAGTAGGGCGGTTTAAAGTATGCAAAAGAGACAACTTCTCTTCAATCTGAGAATGCATTTTCTTACTTTTATGATACAAATATTCAATGGATTCAACAGTTTCAATGGTCCTTTTTCTCTTTTTTTGTTTTTCATTAGCTCTTCCAACATGGTCTTTTATAGGACTTCTGACACTATTTTCAGCCACCATAGCAAGATTTTCATTGCTTTTCATCTTACTAAGTTCACCAGTTAAGTTGGATACTTTTGGTTGCACGTTCAAATTCTCTCCAACCAATTTTGCTGCTGTCAAACAAAGGCCAGCCTTATCCTGTGAGCCGACCAACTGACCGTCAGAAAAAGATGCTGTACTGGAATTGACTGCACAACTTTGCAACATTTTTCTGTTAGAGCCTCCAGGAAGAGACTCCAACCTAGATTCGATACCTGATACAGATGTGACATGATTCCCTTCTGAAGAAAGCAATGGAGCACCGTGTTGTGGGATCATCCGCCTAAAATTACTTTCAGGCATCCATGTCTGGAATGGCTCTATAGCCTGTATATGCTTCTTAGAGTACAACCTGTGCAAGTTCTCAGCATTCCTAGTCTGTGAACCATTCGACAAAAAATGAGTTTCAACAAAAGTAGGTAGAGCATAGTAACATCAATCCTTGAAGAGTAAAGAGTCCACATTAGTAGCCCTACTATTCAACAAGATGATCACTGATCTAATAACATATTCATATGTAATAAAAATTCGTTGTTTCAGTTGAAGAAAAGAGAATTATAACAACTCAATTACAAGTGAAGAAGCAAAATCATAAACACTTACTATCACGACTAACAATCAAGAATATAGGAGAAAGGAAATAAAGGAAAAGCATATGATGAAGGTGAATTTTGGCATAAGGAAAAAAAAGGGATGTAGAATCTTTAAGATTATTGATAAAACATATGAAAAGGGAAGACAGTTTCATGCAAAGTATAGCAAAACTATGAATCTAAAGTCAATATGATTAGCAACTTCTTCTTAACTTGCAAGGCTAGTAGAAATTAGAGTTACCAGAAAACTGATGAAGATTTTTAGTTTCAACTGTTAATCCAGCAGAAGGAGTGCAAATAAATGTCGTGTCATTGTACTTTTAAAAGTAAGAAACAATATAATTGTCAATAAAGCCAGTAGTTCTACTGTATATACAGGATTTAGAGAAAAAAAAAAGTAACTAAAAAGGAAAACCAAACCTTTTCCAAGTCATGATTATCCTTAGCACCAGTAGAGGCAAGTTTATGTATAGTATCCAAGTGGTTTGACAGCTGGACAAACTCTAGCTTAAAACGACCCAGATCTTGTTGAATCATGGAACGATGAGTTTTTTCCAAGTTAGCCACTTGTCTTGCATGTTCTACTCGCTCCTTCTCAAACTTTAGCTTTTTTTTCAAAAGCTTCATTTCTGCACGTTCAGAACTCGTAGCATGTTCAGAAGAAACAGATGCATCAACTAATTTCCTACAAGACTTGAACTCACGTAACTTCTTTTGCAATTCCTCAACTTTCCTTTTATTTTCTTCTAATTCAAAAGACAATTTATCAGCACGGCATTGCTCATCCATGGCCTTCTTATGATAAATCCCTATACGGTTTTTCAGATCTTCTGATGTCATTTGCTTGAAATCCATTGGTTTTTCCTTCATAATTGCCAGATCTCCAACCATCTTATGCCTCATGTTAACCTCCTTAGCTTTCAATAAATCGTAAACCAACTTAATTTCATTTGCATCTCTCTGTATCGTTTCCGACAAAGGCTTATCATTCTGTTCCACAGCCTTGCTATCAGTCTTCTTGTCAAGTTGCCTACAACGAGCTTCAATACTAATTTTCGAGGCCTGAAGTTCTTTGACCTGCTTCTGCAATTCCTCAATCTTGCTATTCTTTCTTCCCAATTGCTTCAATAACTTTTCAGCCCTAGATTTTTCTCCCTCAGCCTGCTTCCTGATGGCTTCAGCTCGCATCCTTGAATCCTCTGCTTTAGACATTTCAGAATCTGCACGCTCTTTCTCTTTGAAAGTATTTTGCTTTTCTACCTCCAACTCTTTTATAAGTTCCATTAATTTAGATGTTTCGCTAGCCAACTTTAACTTTGTTTCTTCACATTCCTTTTTCAACATCCCTAGCTGTTGTCTGCCTTCATTAGCCTTATCCATTTCAGTTTTGTGAAACTTCCTAGAGTCACTAGTCTTACTCCTTTCAACCTTCCCTGTTTTCCAAGCTTGAGCAGCCTCCTCCTTCCTCACTTCAGCATTTTTCTTTTCAGCATCTGTCCTTCTCTTCTCTATCTCGAGAAGTTCTTTTAGTTGGCTAATTTCCTTCTTACACTCAGCAACAAGAGCATTAAGATGCTCCACTTCCCCATGATCATTAACAGCATTTACATTATTTTGTTCCAAAGAAGAAATTTGAGATTTCAAGTCCAAAATTTCCCGCTCTAAAGACACTCTAATAGTAGATTCTTTGTCTTTGCCCTCTCTCTCAATTGAAGCTCGAGCCTTCTCCTCCTCATAACCTACACAACCATTAATAATCACAAAAAAGAAAAAAAGTATAAGAAGAAGAATAAGGTATAAAGTTACATCGACCAAGTGTAGTGTAGCCATTCTTTTTTTTTCCATGATAACCGGGAGTCCGAGCTTTGCTCCCCTATACCCAGGGCACCCACGTTTGTCCCAAGGCCTAGACTCGGGAAACATGATTTTTGGTATTAAGTCCACCGAAAGGTTCAAACTTGAGATCTCTAAGCTAATATAACCAAGAGACTCAAGCCCTTGCCAATTAGGCTGCCTCTTGAGGACTTGTAGTGTGGCCCTTCTTACAACCCACATAAGTCAACAGCTCAACTAAAAGATCCTTTTATATCCCCAGTGTTCTAGGGCGAGGTGCAAGGTGACACAGAAACCAAATTTAATGCAGATAGCGAGAAGAAAACTCTTTCAGAGTATAAAGGCTGAAAACAACCAATTCCATTTCTTACGTAGAACCACTCAAAAGAAAAGAAATAACGGACAGGAATTATACATTTGGCTTCATTTTTTTGTTAATCATACAAATAAGAAAAAAGTCACTGGGAAGAAAAAATATAGCTGACTGGATGAAACAAACTTCCATCAATTGGCACCTAAAAAGCACGGACACTTCATTTTAGTTAACGTGTCCAGACACGTGTGACACTCTGGCACTCATCAGACGCATATCTAACACTTGTTAGCTTAATAGATTTGTGTTTCACACTAGTTATACAAAATTAGTATGGATTTGATACTTGTTAGACGCATATCTGACACTTGTTAGCTTAATAGATTTGTGTTACACACTAGTTGTACAAAATGAATATGGATTCGGTACTTGTTAGGCACAAACACTTGTTAAGCATAAGAAATAGACATAAATGGTAATATAAGATAAAATAATAAATTTTAAAAGTAAAATACATTAAACTCATTTTATTAAACATAAATAAAATAAAATAAAAAGTATATATCACTTTTATACATGAAAGATATTCAAAGTCAATAATCTTATGCATTTTTATGTTTAAAAAAAATTATATTTTAATAAGTGTATCTTTGTCGTGTCTGCGTCTTAGATTTTTATACGATGAAGTGTCACCATGTCCGTGTCTGTGTCTTAGATTTTTAGAAAATGAAGTGTCACCTGTCGTGTATTTGCGCCTCTAGGTTGGCACAAATTAAAGAAAGTTATAAAAAGTTCGTTATGTTGTTAACTTTTTTTTTCAATGAACCATATGTCCTTCTCCATTTTAGTGTTGGCATGTATCACAATTTCTAAAATGAATAAATATCATCCCTGCAACACCCAGACAACCTGCTAAAAGAAGTCTCGTTCATACAACACATAAAAAAGAGGCAGAGGAAAATCATCAAGATTGAGATTCTACCTTTTTTAAGATTGAGATTCTCGGCCTGAATCTTATTGATTTGCTGCTCAAGTAGCTTGACTGCTTGCCGTAAAGCATTTCTTTTCTCTTCTAGCTTTGAGTACTTATCCTTCCACTGCACTCATAACAACCATAACGAAACGAAATGAAACGAAGTACAAACAACGAAGCACAAAAATGCAGAAGATGACGAAAAAGAAGAAGAAGAGAAAGAAGAAGAAAGAAAGAAAGAAAGCATTACCGCTTTACAGCAGGAATTAGACGATTCAGGCTTCGGCACAGCATCCTCCGCCATTTTCAAATCCCCGCAAAATTAAAGGGTTAAATAAGAACAGCCAGATTACTGAACTCAAATTCTTACGAAACCCATAGTCTAAAATCTCCCAAGTTCCGGGGAATTGCTCGGTTAACGTGCAAGAGAATCGAAAATGGACAACTTCAATCAGTCGCCGGGAATGACTCAAGAGCAAGAGTTCAGTAATCATCAACTTGTGAAACAAGTTCTTCAAACATAATAGTTTTCAAGTTTTTGAACGAAAACTCTCTGTCTCTTCGGGGAACTGCTGTGATCAACTTATGACCCCTCCTCCAAAAGGCGGTCCATTGAAGTCGGTTCAAATTGTTCTCTGCGGGTATTCTATAGAAGGAGCAAGCAAAATTGATCAGAAAATTTAAGCATTAGCTTCACTAAAGTGTAAAACCCTTCATCAATCGTTCCATTCTTTGAAATGCAGCGGTGTGGTTGCTAATTGGTTTCTCAATCCATCGATTTCTTCCATGGCGGGAGCCAATGATTTCTTCCACCTCTATGCAATGAATCTTCTTCCTATTTATTGTTTAGGGTTTTGACAGCAAAAGCAAGATAAAGCCGTACCGTACCACGATCCTTTGTTTATAAATCGGTTCTGTTAGGTTCTGACTAAACCAATTGAACCGGTCGATTCGAACCTATATCTTAGTGCAACCGAATCGATTCGTTAATTGAATGAGACCGAACCGTTTCGGTTTTTTGGTTTTCAGGCAGCAACTAGGAAAAAGAATGACACGGGGATAAATAAGTAAATGATAAAACTTTATTTCGTTCAACAAAGGAACCAAGTGCCAAAGCGGTCGTTGCGCTCCTGCCTGCCCCACCTCTTTGGCAAAGTAGGCTGATGGGCAAGACCCCTCCAGCCACAATGGGGTGGGATGTCACAGCTCTTGCCTCGTGGTCAACTCGAAGGGGGTGAAGTTCGACGCAGAGTTTTTGGTTGTTAAGTTATAGCAACATCCAACAGCTCTAGTCCTACGAGTTTCCACTAAAATGTCTTAAGTAGCCTTCAAAGAGTCCATTTATTCTCTCCGTCTTCGCTTTCAAAATATACCAACGCGCCCCTGCCATCTTTCTAAAACAACAAGCGAAAGTATAGTTCCGTAGTAGTTGACATATAAATTTTTTACAAACTTAAATTTTGACACCTATTCGTGTTTCACGTTTTTTTAAGATTATGTAAATATTTTTATAACAACAAAAAAAAATTCAAGTATCTTTTTTTTTCTCATTTCTATTTTTTAATTAAATATATATAGTTTATCATTATTGACTTATATTATGTCTAAAAAATATTTAAAAATAGATATAACGTAAAAAATTGAATATTTTTAATTTAAAATATTAGTTTTGATGTAAAATTTTTACTTTTTAATTTAAAATAACAGAGAACAAGAAATAAAAATGATTAGTTCTATTTTTTTCAATAAAAAAAATAGTAAACAACAAATAATTAGCAAATGTAATTTATTTTTTATTGAAAAATAATAAAAAATAGTAAACAACAAATAATTAGCAAATGCAACTTATTTTTTATCGAAAAAATGAAACGAGAAACAATAAATATAAATAAAAAACAGTAATGTTAATTTCTTATCCCTACTTCTTCGCTCTACTTTTTATAGCATTTGCGCAAATAAAATAAAATAAATCATATTTAAGTGAATATTTAATTCAAATTTATTTATAAAAGAACAAATAAAACAAATATACGTGTGTTTCTGGTTGTTAATATAATACTAATTTGTTGATAATCAATTGGACTGAATTGAAATCTGCAAAAAAAAATAATAATAATAACAATAAAAGATTGAACTGAAATCGAAATATTTACAAGATTTGAGTCATAATTTTTATCAATTAAACAAATATTAGAATTTCAATCATGTGATTGAAAAGCCTCATATTTTTCTTCAATCTAAAGAGTTTACAAAATCTAATAAATCTGTCGTAAATTTGAAGTTAATTTGACTTGAAAAACAAAAAACAATTTGACTAGCCCATGAAAAAAATTATTCTTGATTTTATTATTTTATTTCCTTGCACAAAATGCAGGGATGGTAGAGATTCGAACTACGATCTTTTGATGAGAGATAGGTGTCTTCCTTAACCAGTTGAATTATGTTCAGGTTGGCTTTTGACTTTGATTTTGTAAGATACTTACGAGACAGTAAATAAATTTATGCCCCATTTTTATTGATATACTAATTATATATATATATATATATATTGGGGGCTAAATCTGCTACTGAGCTTTGGGAACTTCTAACTGAAGAAGTTTATAGAGAGAGAAATGCAGAATCCATAGGGAGAACCATAATAAGAATTGAAACAATAAGCAGCAAAGAACACGGACGGCTTGCCATAGATAAAACTATATATATTAGAACAGTGATTTCAAGTTACATAGAAAGACAATGGCAGGATAAAATCCGAGGCACCGGAAAATCGAAAAAACACCATCCCGACGACGCCACACGGCAGGAACAAAAAATTTATGCAACAATAAATAGACACAAGAACAAAGAATAATGTTGAGAATCAATCACAGTAACTTGCAGTCATAACCTATTTTTACTGATACTACTACCTGCAGCAGTGGATGGGAATCATCTTTTTTTCTCGGCTACTTTTGGAGGTGGAGGAAGGGTTCCAAAAACTCTGTCCCATAGTGATGAAGTAATTCCAAAGCCTTTGGTCTGGATCCTGAAGTGATGGCCTAGGTGGTATTTCTATAGAAACAAACCCAAGATATATCAAAAATCAATCAAGCCATTTCTAGATGTAAGAATGCATTGGGGTACTCGCGTAAATACTGATATATAAGTCTGTCTTGTCGTGCAAAACCTATGTCTGGTGAGCTAGAGTGGACCTCGACCATATGTTGTGGAGCAGCCCGTTTTCAAGTCTATTTGGGGTTGGTTCTTGGGGGGTTTGGGGTGTCCTTGGCTTGTAATAGGGACGGACTAGGGAGTATAGGGCGATGGTGCAGGAGGCTTTGCTTTGACTCTTTTTTGGGATAGAGGGGCTTGTTGCTGTTGTGGTGTGGCAAGCTTGTTTTTTTGCAATTTTGTGGGGTACTTGAATTGAGATAAATAGTAGAATTTTATGGGTGATGAGGTCTGGGGTAAATTTGGGATTTAGTTAGATTTAATAGCTTTTTAAGGCCTTTGTAACTACTTGACACTGGTTAGGTGTTATTCTTTTGGATTGAGATCCCTTCTAGTAGGCGGCTCTCCCCTTTTGTCGGGCTTGTTTTTTATATGCTTCTGGTATATTCTTTCATGTTTATCAATGAAAGCTCTTATAAAAAAAAATGTCTTGTGAGCTAGAGGTTGACTGTTCTGATTGCTGGAGTTGATTTTCAATACGAAAATCAAAAGTTATTTGGACGGTGTTGGTTTTCGTCCATTTTGTTGGTTTGGTTTTTGAGGGATTGATGATCCAACCTTATCAATATTCTCCGTATTATGAAACCATTCCTGATTCATTAGGGTGCCAAATGCCACCACTTTCTATGTTTGATCATTGATGGGAGAAGTTGCCCTGAAAGGGACTTATCTCGTTTTTGGGACACTGCCGCAAAAAGGGTCTCTATCATTGAGACAGTTTCCATTGTCCTTCGGCAGTCCCGACTATGAGTGGTATGACAATCTCAGGCTCAGGTCCCTATAAAGTTGGAAACCAGTGCAAGGGGCAGGCTTAGTCAAGCACTTGGATCAGCGAATCCGCTTAAGAAAGGAAATCAAATCAAAGAGCAACAATTCAACATTTACTAGAAACCAACCCAAACCTGACCTTTTCAGACTCATATCAGAATGGATGTAATTCTCTTAGATCAGAAGATTCATATTTCATTCCTGCTTCTAATATGGAGTGAGATATATGCATTATATTAAACGAATGAAACTAAATTCTATGGCATTAAGCAAATTCTATGCTCACCTTAAGGTTTCGCATCATTTCTCGAGACGGTTGGCCGTGGTGAAGGTAGTGGTGGGTAACATCATACATCACATAGCCCAGCAACCCACCTCCAACCAAAGCAGGTGTGGTAGATGGAGTGGCAAAAAGCTTTATCAAATTCCAGAACTGGCAAGTCACGCAAGGAAATAATGAGGATGACAAGGAAAGCATTGATACGAAACCGAGTTCAATTGTAAAAGATGGCAAGATGACTAGGACTGCACATGTGGATGTGAACCTACTGGTCCATAACAACATGACACAAAGAAAAACTTTCAAAGATAAATTTATATTTATTGAACTTGGTTTTTTACAAGTGATGAAGAAATTTAGAATATAGAATGAAATTTCTTATCAAAAAATAAAATAGAATGAAATTCCTTTCTGCATAATATAAGCATCAAAGATCCGAGTCTTTTAACTGTATATCCATTGTTTATAAAAGAATCCAAAAATAATCTTATGAAGCCATGAAGATTTTCAATTTATCTACTAATGACTGTGTTCATTTTCTTCTTAGAGATGCTGTATAAGTATGTCCCTTGATGTATTCTGCAGGTATAGCAAGAAAATGTCGAATAATGAACATTACAGAAATGATCTCATTTAACATACTGGAACAATTTGCCACAACCGGACATGAAGCAAGAAGGAGAAGATCAACATACCGGAAAGAGCAGAACAGCAGTTGCAGCAGGGGGGAAAACGAGTCGTAGGCTATCCATCGGGTGTTTGTGGTGGCAACCATGAAGCAGATAGTGTATGGTGTTTCCCCTAAAGCATCCAAAATCGTTTAAACAATCTTAAATTGAGAGCGAGAACTGAAGCAATAATGAATGTCTGCAGCACGCAAAAAATAATTTCTGCATGTGTCTAAGCGGTGTTTAGGTTACTAACCAATAGCTCTTCGTCTTAATATGGAAAAGGAAACGGTGAAGTGTGTATTCAAGCAATGTCCATACAAAAATTCCAAATACCACCATCAAAGATACATCTGAAGGTGTATGGCCCATCCTGTAAGACATTGAAACGAACCAGCAAACAACCGGCAGCCAAATGGTAGGAATTGCCCACCATGCCGTGCGAGTCAAGAACTGTTTTCGTGTTCAAAAGAAACAAAGAATATTATTTATCATCTTAATCAAATCCTGAGCACTACTTGAGATATGGGGGGAAATCACTTTATTTTGAAAACCAATAAGCTTTCCCATACCTCCCAGAAATCACTCTCGAAAAATCGAGGCCCTTCTTTGCTGACAATGGGCTGGTGAACCCACTCCTGATAATCTTCTCCGAGATGGCCCACCTGAAACAGAAAATTGGAAGTTAATGTTTGCAGTTGACTAACTATAAAGATAACAAGTTGAACCAAATATTAAGCCACCTTTTGTAAAATTTTATAGCTCCCAATTCTTTTGCAGGTAAAATTATGTGAATATAACAGAAGAAACCTTCTTTTACACAACCAGATAAATCAAGACCACCAAATAACATCTATGACATAGCAAGTTTCATCATCATGCAAGAAAAGGTTTGTATTCATCTCGAAAGGCGTAAGTCTAACCTGCCTTTTTCATTTGTATCCAAATTCTAAACCAGATTGATTCATAATTTAAAAGATACACATATTAAAACATCTTTTTTGTTCCAATAGGACTTCACCTGGAAGACAAGTGGCTTATTCAAATTGACAGTGAATCCCTGTGCGACCATCTTGGGCTCGAAGTAGCTGCAGAAAAGAACTAGGATTCAAACAGAGTAACCGACAGAATAATACTGCTGAAGGGCAGCAGTCTCAAAATGTCATTCTGACTATGACATCTTAAATAGGACTGTGCGAGACAAGTGGAGACTACTCTAAGCCTTCTCGTAGAAACTAAGGTAAATTCTATAACAAAGTTATGTACACAAACACAAATGGGATTAATAAATAATAAGAAGGTTGAGTATGGTAAGATAAAGTTTTCATGACAAACAAAAACAACAAAAAGTATAAGGAAACATTTCAAGCTTTGCCTTGTTTCTCTCTCTCTCTTTTTGCTTAGTTAACAGATTGACAATAACTCGAGAATTTCAATAGTTCCTCAATTATCACTTAAACTTCACATAACAGAACCCCAAAAAGGAACATTTTATTAACTTATCTACTCCTGTTTTGTCCAAAAAAAAAAAATCACACACACACACATGTAATTTCACATTTAAATCCAAGGATCCATGTTACCTTTGTTCCTGTTTCAGAGTCAAAAGGTCATAGTCTGAAATCCATTATCAAATTTTTAAAAATGGGAGACATGGTTCCATAACCCATTCTCTACCATCAAGAAAGGGGGAAAAGAATACAATTAAGCCAAGAAAATGAAAACCCACCTCAATCCAGCTGGGGAAATCTTGGCCCATTTTACCAGAATTCAAAAAAAAAAATAAACGCAAATCTGAAGTTCTACAAACTCCATTCTCCCACCCCTTCCTCTTCCTAAAAAACAAAAATCCACTCCACCAAAAATGAAAACGAAAAACAACACCCTACGACGCTCTCCCACAAAGAAAACAAAAAATCCGAAAGAACAAAACGACCCTAGAACCACAGATCTAGAAACAAGACCCAGAGCCGGCCATGGAAAACAAAGATAATAAACCTTGAGAAACCAGCACACACCGGAAAATCACAAATGTGAGTCAGTCGGCAGAAGCGGCGACGATCTCTCCCCTTTCCGGCCCTAGAAAACGACCGCCGCCACCATCACCGCCACGACGGCCACCGCAGAAGGGATGTAGTGGAGGGGTGTCGGTTTTTTCCGTTTGCAAGGAGTGGCAGTGTGGGATGGGACGGCCGAAAACGTCCAGAAAGTTGCGGTATAATTGGGCAACAGATCTGGACCGTCCGTTTCTTCCAACATGCATCCGACGAAACGGCCAGCTGATTCGCATCGTGGAATCTGCGGATGCCAGTCTGTCACCTTTTTCCACACACTACAATCCTTACACCCATCTATCATCATCATCCATGGACCAAATATATATGTTAAAAACTTTTTAACGGTTGGGTTTGGCTCGATTTTTTATTTTTTAACCAAGGTTGAATTCGAACCTACGATTTATATTGTAGGTATTCTTTTTTCCTTTTAGTATAACAATATGTGTAGGGTGGATTCGAATCTATGATCTTGTGGTCTAGATATATGATTTAATTATATTTAGGTTGGTTTTATTCAATGCAGGTTGGAAAAGAACCTAACTTGAAACTCTTTTATTTGATATAATTATTTGAGTTGCTAACGAGTACAATACATAAGTGTCCTAAAGGCGAGCTGCAAGCTCTTTTTTTCACGTGGACTATTTCATTAACTGATATAGATATAAGTAAGTTAGTCTACMATATTTTTTCTTGACAGAAAAAAAAAGAGATGACAATTGATATTTTTTTAGTTCAACAATTATGAAATAGATAATCGAATCATCGACCTCTAGAATGATAATAGGCAAAGTTTTTAAAAACAATTCAAACAATTATGAATATGGGAGATTAAGCCATCGACTTTAAGGTGATATAGATATCCTATCTACTTGAGATATACTCAAGGCTTAGGTTGACATGTAGTTGAAAATTTATATCATATATTAAAAAGGATAAAAAAATATTTGATTTTTTTTTCTTGTGTAGAAATACTGATTTAGTTTCCCAACTTTCACATAAGATGATTTAGTCATTGTAATTTTAAACTGAAAAGGATTTAATCCTTACCATGAAAACTTCCATCAAATGAATTGTCCACGAATAATTTAACGATCTAGCCGAGTGAAAAACTCCATTATATATGAACAAGATAATTAACAGTGAGCAACTAAATTATTGTAAATTTTTAAACTACTTAATACTAAATTGCTTAGAGAAAATGATGAAACTTTTTAATTATAGAGAAAAAATAAGCATTTGATGTTGTTTATAAAGTTGTCGAGAGAGGTTTTTTTTTTTTTTTTGGAATCAAGCTGTCACGTGTCCGAATTCAACGAAAAATCGATTAAAAAAAAGTATGTGCCAATAAGAGTTTGCAATGATTTGTAAAAGTTTTTGTAATGAAAATTAAATAATTTTAAATAATAATGAATACGACAGTTAAAAGATCTAGAAATCTACATCTCACGTTTGGTTTACTCGATAACAATAATAATAAATTTTTGTTGAAAGATTGAAATAATTATCATTAATACTTTTTTTCAGTACAATCATTAATACTTTTTAATACTCTACATTTATGTGTTCAAAAAATACATATATACTCTACATTTCTAACGTATTTCCTAATTTATTGATTGAAAATTTTAGTGGGTCTTATTTAAAAATTGAATTTTTCTACTCGATTTAATAAAAACAATGGCAAATTACATTTTTAGTCTAAAAGGTTTGGAGTACACATCTATGGTCTCACGAGAAATAGTTTTAAATGGTGCCCTAATCTCGTTTGACTTTAGTTAACTCTAACAAAAATTAAGTTGATGTGGAGATTAAGTTGGTAAAACTAAAATTAAGTTGATGTGGATATTAAGTTTCTGATTTTACTTGCACTAGGTCAAATATAACTTTAATATTATTTCTTTCATAACTGAATTAAGAGGTGACATTTTTTCTCATTCTTCTCCCCCTTCATCTCCTTTGATGAACCACGTCGTTGTTGCCTCCCATCTCTCCTGGACTACCATCACCTTCCACCTCTCGCTAGTCATCGTCGCTTCYCATCTCTCGTTGGTCATTGTTGCCTCCTAATCGTTGATTGTCATTGCCGCCATCTTTAGAGGACAAAACCCTTCAGAACGAAGGATTGAACCGTCATTTCAAAATGGTGTTTTGGATATTTAATGTTTAGACAAAAATGTCACAAAATTTCACAAGGAACATATGAATAACTAAATCTAGAGCGTTTGCTACACCACTTCAAATGCCGTGAAGGATAGAAAGACAATCAACAATTCATGACACCGCGAGGAATGAACACGATGAATGCAGAGATTTTCATTCAAAATTTGGAAGTCATTCCAGACCTTCAAGATTTGGAGCAACCTTTGGAATGAAGGAATGGATTTCGTTCTTCGAAGATGGGAGACAACCGATGACTAAAGACATGAGAGGTAATAACAACGTGGTTTGCTAAAGGAAGGGAAGAAGAAGAGGAAAGGTGAAGGAGGAAAATTGGCTTCGTAGTATGGTCACCACACAAATAATATTAAGTTAATTTAGTTTGCCTAGTAAGCAAAGTAGAATCATAAACTTAATACACATCCCAACTAGTCAACCAACAGTCAAAGGAGTTCAAAAACCATTTAGAATAATTTCTCAAACCATACAAATCAAAAGTATCCCAAGAACAAACAGACATTTACTACGAATTTCAAAAATCCAAAAGTATATTTTGCTAAAAAAACAATACATTTTAAAATTGCAGGTGACATCGCACATGCGATGTCAATTTCGTCTTTATTGTTTTCTTTTTTTCGTTGATATTTTTGTCGTTTATTCTTTACTTGTTAAAAAAATTTAAAAACAGAAAAAACAAAATATACTAAAGGGATGGCCTTTTTGTTTTTAAGTTTATAATTTAAAAGTTATACTCATTTTTTTTCTTTAGAATTTTATTAGTAAGATTTTCCCCTCTTAAAATATATTTGAACTTTTTTAGTTAAAATTATATTTTTAAATTTGACTTTTAAAATAGATTAAAAAAAATAATAGTGTCTAATTAAAGACAAACGCTTTCTTATAAGTTAGTGGTATAATATTCTAATAATCAAGTCTTTTTTTAGTACAATGTGTAGGAGTGATAATTTGAGATTTGAATTCACAACTTCTTGATCGAGATAATGTCTTAATCGGTTGAGTTATGATGTGATTTAATCAAAGCCAATTTCATTCCTAAATTCATAAGAGATATTTTAATCTTTGATGTCTAAAAAATAGCCCAAATTGATTTTTTGAAACATTTATTACGTAATAATTAATACAAAAGAAAAGAAAATCTAACCAAACATATATATAAGTGACAATGTTGACATTATGCATAAAATAGACAATATTATACTACCGTGGAGATACTTAGTCTTGTAATAACGGTATTTAAATTGAAAATGAAAAGCATAGTAGTAAAGGCAATTCTTCGGACTATATATATTTAAATAGTCTAAAATAGACTAATAGTATTTTAATCTCTAATTTAAGTTAAACAAATATACCAAATCATAGATGGTATAAATCAGTGATGAATCATGTATCAAAAGAAGATAAATGAGAAGGGATCATCTAAACGTATAAACTCTCTCTCTCTGTAATTTTACAGAATTTTTGGTACAAAAACCCCAGTTGAAATTTTCCAACTCCCAAGGCAACAATTTCCACTCTCTCTAAGTCTCAACCCAACTCCATTTCAAACTTACAAACACAAACATTTGTATCAGTAGAGATGAAAGATAAGGCTTTTTTTTCTTACCATATTCTTTAGCAACAGACTTTCAATGGCGGATCAAGAGACCTTCTCCTTGAAATTTCATTCAATTTCATCACGAAACACCCTGCGGTTGTCAGCACCACCGCCAGAATCCGACCTCCGAGCAGCCCGCCAAGAACAACCACAACCAGAATCGGGTAATTCAAACTCCCTTCTCTTTCGATCTCCTGAATTTTACACGACTCTGCAGCTTCCATGGCCTGCCATTGAGGTTTTCCGTTTTCTTTTTCCTCTTTGCACAGAATGCTTCTGATTTCTCCATCTTGTTCTTGTTCTAGGTTTTCATCTTCTTCTATGTTTACTTGCTCTTCAATCGGCGCTTTATCGGCTTCCAAATGATTGAATCTGTCACTTCTAAATTCCAACTCCTTCTCTCTATTCTGGTTCTCGATCGCTCTACCGACTGATTTCCTTCGCACGAGTTTCTCGAGCATCCTCCGATTCAGTCTCCCTCGTGTTCCGCGTTGATTTCCACACACCAGAAGCTCGGTTCCAACCTTTTTTTCCTTCTCATCCACAAGAAAACCGATATGGTGTGTCTCATCTTCAATTCCATTAGGTGTCTCACTGGCGTTGACGTCCGATTCCACGAGTTGGATCTCTCCGACGGAAGAACTCAACTCAAGTGATTCATTCGGAAAACAATATTCTCTTCCGCGCGAGACTTTCGGAATCGATACTTCTTGGCGATTTCCCGAGTTTTCAACAATCCAGAGATGCATCAGTACCTTGTGGATGAAGGATCTCAGAGCAGCCTCGCCATTCGCGCACGGTTTCAAGAAGCGAACCGCGCGTTTACCGACGAATTCCAGAACTAAAAGCAGAGAAGCAGAGAGAGTAACCCCTACCACAAGCTTCTTCGTGCTCAAGGCCAAAACCGCAACCAGAAACATCTTCACCGCAACCATACAGACGCTATCACCGGCCGCGGCACCGCCACCGACAACGCACGTCTCAGTCCGATTCCGGACCGATTCGCATACACGATCGCCAACTACTCGCGCTTCGTCCAAGATTTTCAAATCATCAATTTCTAGATTTTCACGCCGTAAGCAAGCAGTAGGATTCATTTGCGGAGGAGGCGACGTAGGAGAAGAAGATAGTTGAGCAATTGAGTCGTGAATTTCCGTCTTCGATTTCTTCTTCTTCGACTTCCTTCTGGCCGAGTGCTTCCTCAATCGATCCCGGTGCTTGACGAAGAGATCAACAATAGAGGTCGGAAATCCGGTCTCCACAACAAGCGAACCGCCGGGCTTCGGCGACTGGAGGTCGGCGACGATTCGGGAAATCCGAGAAGCCCTCGCCGTCTTCCATGGAAGAAGGGGCATGATTCGAGAACAAGAAGCGAAAAATTAGAAATCCGTCAGGGGAATTGAACGGCGAATCGGCGAGAAAACGAGGGCAAGAAATTCCAAGAAAAAACAGCGACTGTTACAGAAGAAGACGGATTGATGAAATTGTCTCTTTCGAAATATCTTGACAAGAAGGGAAAATTTGGATCCTTCCCTCATATGGAGAATCGTTGGTATCCAAGATCTGACATTTTGGCACATTGGAGTCCTATTATATCTATTTTTTTATAAATATATTTTCATTCAATGTTAAAGATTTTCTAATTTCCTACGTAATTCCAATTTTTGTTAGGTTTAGTTACATTTTTATTATCGTGAACGAAAACTAAATCCGAGCCATAATTTAACACCGGTACTAAAAAAAACCAAAAAAGAATAACATTTTTCCTTTTGAATTTAGCATTYATTGTATTACTATTTTTTAATAAATATTGTATTATTATTTATTGATAGTTGATGTCATTTTTATATGATGCCCACGTGACAAATAATAAATGATATTAATATCTCCATCCATAATTACAATATGCTCGCTTTGGCCTACTAAGACGATTTAAGAATCTTTTCCACGATTGTTGTATAAAAAAACATTACTCGGACAGAGAAAAGTTTACCGTAATTTATTTAAATCAACAGCTTCAAATTTATTAAACTGAAATCAAATAATGTCTAAAAAGGTTTGCATAAACATTTACTTAAAAGCGTGACAAATGTAAACTTATTAAATGATTATTTTTATTTTTCTTAAGAAAAAAGCGACGTCTAAATTGAAAAAAAGGCCTATATTAATCTCTCACAAGGAATCACGCTACATAATACATATTATATGAAATTATGAATTATGATAACGGCTCTTTGCATGGGCTGAGCTGAATATGGGCCACTTCACCGGCCCAAATGAAAATAGCCCAGAATAGAAACGAACTCTTGGGCCCAAATGGAAAAGGCCCACAAAACTGAGCGCCGAAGCAAACACCGAAATAATCGAAGGTAAGCGAGTTGTTGGGTTTTTTCTTCTTCTTGTTGCACGCAGCGAGTTGTTCGAACTGCAATAAACGCCTCCACTCTTTTAGCTTTCTCATGTTGCTTCGGGATTTAACAAAGCTGAACTTTCTTGGCAATGAAATGGAGGCATGGCCGTAGTCTCTTCCAAATAGCACCGCGTCAATTCCTTCGAACGCTCGCCCATCAGTCAGGTCCCAAATGTTCAACCCCACTTGTGAATTTAACCGAAAAGCTCCACAATCGACTCAACCAAAACGCTGAGCGGAAATATTCTGAAAAGGGGCAGGTGATTCTCACTAATGAGCTTGTGCACACCACTCTGTTGAATTGTCCTTCTGATTTGGTCGCTTTGAGCTTCTTCCTGTGGTGTGCTAAACAGCCTGATTTCTTCCACAGCGCCACGGCGTTTGATTACATGGTGGGTGTGGTTTCCCGCCTCATGAAACGCTATGAAACGGTTAATGGGGTTGTTGGGGGATTGGAGAGTGTGGGGAATGTCACTAAGGCACAGACGTTCTTGCTTCTTCTAAGGATTTATTGGCGTGGAGGAATGTACGAGTTGGTTTTTGAAGCATTTGACCAAATGGGTCACTGTGGATTTACACCAAACACGTTTGCTCGTAATGTGATTGTGGATGTATTGTTTAAAGTTGGACGTGCTGATGTTGCTTTGAAGGTCTTTAAAGAGACTCCCCTGCCTAACTTTTTGACATTCAATATTGTTTTGTGTAATTTATCCAAGATTAAGGATTTTGTAGGTATTGGGGATGCTGTTAGACGTATGTTGAGAATGGGGTATTATCCTAATCCTGGGACATTTGAAGGGGTTTTGAATTGCTTTTGCAAATTGGGTAGGCTGGCAGAGGCATATCAAGTGTTGGGTATAATGACAACTCTTGGAATATCCATGTCTGTAAACATTTGGACTATAATAGTTGATGGGTTCTGCCGATTGCACAGAACTGCTGATGCTTCATCTCTAGTGAAGAAGATGAAAAGAACTGGTTGTTTTCCAAACATTGTGACGTATACTACTCTGATCAAGGCATATCTGGAGGCACAACTGTTTAGTGATGCATCTAGTGTTTTGAGCATTATTGAATCAGAAGGGCATTCCCCCGACCGGGTTCTTTATAATGTATTGATTGATAGTCTTGCTAAGATTGGGAGATACGATAAAGCTCTTAGTATTTTCCTTAGTTTGGATAAACAAAATATATATCCAGATTCTTATACCTTTAGTTCGTTGTTGAATGTCATATGTCTATCCAAAATGTTTTTCCTTCTACCCAAGTTAGTTGATGGATTTTTTGTAGAAGCTGACTTGGTGGCATGTAACTCTCTGCTAAATTATCTCAGTAAGGCTGGATTTCCTTCACTTGCCTTGGAACTATATGATGAGATGTTGGATAAAGGTTTAATGCCAGATAAGTATAGTGTTCTTGGAGTATTAACTGGTCTTTGTGGGTCAAGAAGAATTGATGAAGCAGTTCATCTGTACAATGGTATTCTCTTGAACCATACTGGAGTTGATGCTCATATCCACACTGTAATTATAGATGGACTAATAAAAGCTGGTAAATGTCATTCAGCCATTAGAGTATTCAGGAAAACTTTATTGGAGGAAAATTCTTTGGATGTTGTATCATTTACTGTTGGCATTCGTGGGCTTCTAATGGTTAGTAGACATACAGAGGCTCTTAACTTGTATAACCATATGAAGGAGGTTGGTATAAATCCTAATGGCCATATTTGTAATTTAATGCTCTTCAATTTTTGTAAAGAAAGAAATTTGGAATCAGTGGAACAAATGCTACAAGAGATGATTGATCTGAGAATAGAAATGAGCTGCAATAATTTCGTTAGGTTATGCAACGCGATTTGTAGATCATCATACAATTCTCGTCTGGTTATTTATTTATTAATTGAGATGAGAGATTTGGGATTGTTACCTGCCAAGCTAGCTTGTAAAATATTGGTCCATAAACCCCCCAAAGTTGTGAATGTTTTTGAGAAACATCATGAATTATTGAATGGCTGTATAGAATATGGTCTATTTGGCTATACATCTGGCTCTGAAGAATATACTGATGTTTCTGCTTCTGTGGGCTGAGTTTGAATGTAGAAGAAAGTCGATTATTTTAAAATGATGGTACAGTTGCTATGTTCCGCAACCTAGAGCGTATTCTAACATGCTCCCAAACACCGTAAAGGTACTACTGCTGAATTCTTCATTTTACATTCTGTCAAACATTTTCTATTTCAACTATGAATTATTACTGCTCCGGATTTCAGATATTTATGCAATAATTGATACAACCCAGAACAGAAATTATTTCCCTTTCCTTGAACTGGTATTTATAATGATTTTGGTTTTTCATTTTTAGTTTTCTTCACTATATTCATAATCTTTTTTAGGTACCATCCTTATCTTTTCACTCTATACTGTTTACATAACAATTTGAAACTCCATAAGATTGAGAACCTGATCTGGCTGCAGATTGCATCAGTTCTTGGTGCACAGATACGAAAAGTTTATGATGGCCTTCGTCGTTGTCATCTAAGCCCTCGCCATCTGATTCTACCTCTAATAGAAGGTTCGATCCTATGGAATTTACTTCACGAAATCTTCCCAGTCCAATCTCTAATGTTAAAGTTGATGTTTATTTACCATTTTCTGAAAGAATGTTATCGGCTTGAGATAGTTGACATTGATTTTTGCTTAACCATCGCATTACACATTTCTTCTCATTGTGGCATATAATTTTTCTTCTCATAGGGGCTTTCCTTCTTTTGCACGAACCATGGAGTAATTTGATAGGTCATTTTTGTGCCCTAATGTCATTGAAAAGGTATATATAAAACTTGCCATTCTGTGTTTAATTATTTCAAGAGATGATAGTTTCTCTTTTACTATTTTTTATCTTTCACTATGAAAGCTTGATCATTGAACAATTCTTTTTCTATATCTAGTCTTCCTTTTCTCTCAGTTTGGATTTAGAGTAGCATAAAGAAAGGTCCTTTGGGTTGATTATCATTTCTGTAGCTGGGGTAAATTTTGTTTCTTTCAATACTTACCGTTTAGATTTTCTGTAACTTCCTTGGCTCGGGACACGGCTTTATTCCTTTCTCTCTCTCTCTCTGGGTAATTTTATGCTACCTTTGATTTTTTCTTATAAAAGAAAGCGATTTCTCTTATTCTTTGCATTTCTTATTGCAGCTTTTTATTCAAAGGTGTCAGTTCTATCTGTTTGTTCTGTTTCAAGTGTTGGGGGTTCTATAAAGGACAGGTAGCCGGAATCGTGGCAATGAAATCTCGATACTGTATGATTCTGTGTTTTACTTGCATCAGGGCAAAGACCTCAGATTTTGCAGCAGAGGACGATGAGCCTGCCCGAGTGTTATCACTCCATTATATTTCCATTCTCGGTATGATTCTGTCTATTATAGAGTAGATGAAGTTGACTATTTCAATTTCATTTCAGGAATAGAATAAAAAAGGAGCTTGTTTTACAACCGCAAAATCAACACTCCAACAAAGTTTAGAAAAGGAATCCAAATACCTCACTTTCTCCAAACTGGTGTCTGTTGTGCAATATATAGATGATGAGGAGCAAGAATCTTATTCCCCTCCACCGGAACTAATCCATAACCAGTTGGTGAAACTTTATGAACCCTGTTTTATTTCCTATTGTGGCCCCCAGCTACCATTTGGATATATGTCTTTTTTTTTTCCAATTTTAGGTGGGTCATATTCCTCATAGCTTCAAAAGGAAGCCTAAAATTCTGAGGCAATATATATGTAAGATTCTCTTTGAAAATTCGCACTTTTCCAAACCTAGAAACAAACTGAATTCTAGGATTTATCCTTGCGTTAAATACGTGGAAATTATAGGAAAGGACCTGTATACCCCAGGTCAACCTAGCTTTGATTTTGCAGCGGAGGACTTTGGTTTGGTTTGTGAGTCAAAGACTCTTTATCTAAAACAGTATCTCTAAGAGAGAGAAGTCTTTCTAAGAAACGATTTATCTGAATCTAGATTTTTTTTTTGTTTGAAATCAAGCCTTTTATTGAGGTTAATATTATTCCCCAAAAATCACTTAAAATCTGCAGAAAAACTTGTAGAGATGTCCCTGGTTTTACATTGTCTAATATATGAGCCTCATTGTCTGATAAATGAAATTTTGTTTTAGAATGGGAGATGGAGCTGCTGCCAGGCTCTGGAAAGGCTGTTCTTGTGGCTTTGAAACAGACCCTCGATCAATGGCCTTATTTGTCGTCAAGCTCGAAACAAAGGGCTTTCGAAGATCGTTGGAAGAACGGGTTCGTGTGGTGGAGCTTAGATTTGAGAGACCCTTGCTTGACAACGAATCAAAGGAATGGGTGAATCAAGGCATCAGACTGAAGTTTAGACAAGATTTGTAGGCCCCTGTTTTCTGTGTTGGCCCTGTTTCGGTTCTTTCGTATTCTTTCGATGAAAGCTCAGTTTCTCGATTAAAAAAAAAAAGTGTTCGAATAAAGATTCTATAATTTGGAGGCTGAAGAATGAGATGTGGTTTTTCTTGTTAAATCTCATTTTGAGCTTCTTAATAGTGAAAAATTCATCTAAAGTTCAAATGTAAAAGTTTAAAAGGTTTTGTCCTTCTGGGAAGTAAAATACTTGGGCTCATTGATGGAGCCTCAGAGAAAAAACTTGGAATAACTCTTTCTTAAATTTTGAATTCCTGAAAAAAAAAACTCTCAAATCATTTTGTTCCACTTTAAAAAATTTTCATTTCTGTCCTTCAACTTTTATTTTATTTTATCTATGTATTTCTTAAAACATCCATGATCTCCAAATTTATTATTAGGTTAAAAAAATATTAATTTACCGATATTTCTTAGTATTATATGATAATTCATATAACATTAAAGTCTAAACACATACAATTCTTACTCATATAAATTTTCTTTTGATTTTATTTTTCAAAATTAAATTTTGTGAGGTTGAAAATCCACAGAATTTTCACTCAATATTTTCTTTCCATTTTTTTTTTTTTGGAGATGATAGCTAATTAAGAGGATAAATGTAGGGTCGAGGTTAGAAAATTCGTACTTCTAGTCTCACCCAATTGATACAATTTACTATTCTCGAAAAAAAAGTTCAATTATCATATAGTTTTTTTGTTCACTATATTTCTCGACATGAATAATTACATATGCATCGAAATAAAGAAGCAACCAAACATGACAACATTTATTCCTTTCTCCACTTAATCTTGTGTACCAAAAATACTTCAAAATTTTAGATATATGCATTTGAGAATTGTTTCAAAATAATTATCTGTTTTCTAAACCAAGGTTTCACTGAACTATGTTTATATAATTTTTTTCTTATGGTTGTTTTATTTTTATTTTATTTTTATGTGTTTAACATATGATATATTTTAAATATATGATATTTAGAAAAAAAAAACACAGATTCATCAATATGCACAATAGTATTACCTATCCGTCAAAATTTCAAATTAAAACTTAATTTTTTAAACAAAACCTAACGATCAAGATGCAGAGTACAAAATAGGAAAATAAAACTTTTTTTTTTCATATTTATTTTTCCCAAATGTGTCAATATGATAATGACATTCATAAAATTATAAAGTTTTTTTTTCTCTCAAAAAAAAAAAAAACTAAAAGAGTTGTTTGAGAGTTAAAAGACCCCCACCCTCATTGGAATGCCAATTGGCAATTCCTTGTGTTTGAAGCAATTGATTCAAATTCTTCCTATTAAAAGTGAAACCAAAATGATATAATCTCAACTTCCAAGAAAAGAAAGCAAAGTAAAATATGTTAATGATTGCCATTCATAATTTTCCAAAAAAAAAAAAAAAAAATCTATTTTTTAATCATGTCATTATCATATGTTTTAGTTTTCTTTATCCATCTCAAATAATTGATGATTTTTGGTTATTATTATTATTTTTTCATTATGTTCAAAATAGTTGTTATATGCCCTTTGATAAAGTTTTTTCTAATGAAGAAAATGTGGAAAATTTTTGTTGTTATTTAAAAAAAAATACTAATTTTGTTAATCACCAAATGGATTGTTAGGAAATAAAGAAATGGTTGATTTTTATTTCTTGACTAAATAGAATTAATTTGCTTGGTCATATTTTTTTAAATATCATAAATGGCACTTGTGAGAGGTGGCTATACGTATAAATAATCATATTCAAGTTGATCTTCATCGTAAGTCAGGTAAGCTTCTATTGTTTTGTTTAACATAGGTCTACTTAACTGGATTATTTGTTCAATTAATATTACTATTTTGCGAAGAAATCGAAAAATACAATTAGCAACATGAAATTTTATCATTATGATATCTTCATACCTCATGTCTTATAAGCTATTAGCGAGATTGGCTCAAAATTAGAACAAATCTGCCACTAGACAGGTAGGTTTCAGCACGACAACATTTCAATTATTAACTTTGTGAGACTCGTATCCTTAGACTATGTTCTATGTTGATACTCTTTTTTCTTTCCTCCTCTCATAATATTATCGCATTTTACTCAATCTGACACAACCACCATAATTAAAAATAAAAAATAAAAATAATTTGGTTGTTAATTGATTTTAGAAAGAATATTTTACGACTTACGATCCAACTAATGCCCTTTAGTATCCAAAACGATCCAAATTTAAGGAAAAAAAAAGTAAATATTAAAAAGGTATCTTTATAAGTAGTTTTTAAAAGATACAAAAGAAAGTGATACATTTTTTACAATTTTTCTAAAGACAAAGATCTTACACCATTTCAAAATCATAATCATGATTCCCACAACTTCATTTTCTTCTTACTCACATAAAAAGATTCATTATTTATAATTTATGGTAAATCTTAACAAAATCTTTTCTTTTTAATAAAAATACAAAAACATTACAAAACCTAATACTTCTTTATTAACACAGACAAAACACGACACGTCCAATTAGATTAATTCTTGTGAGTAAGCATGATGTGACAACAAAATCAAACAACTTAGTCAACATTTTATTAACGATAAAGATTAAACAGAACCATAATCTAAAATTTAAGGACATAGTTGAAAATTTTTAAATTACTAGAGTAAAATAAAGAAGGTATTTTGATATTTGGCTTGCAATGAAAGGCATGACCATAATGTATGTGTATAATAATGTAGCTGACACAACACTTGAACAAAACCCAATTTTAATTTCAACTTTATTTTATTTTTAATAATAACTTTTTGGGGTTCAGATCACATGTCTCTTTCCATTACAACTCACTCTCTACCAATCATCCCATACATCTTTTCAAATATTTAAATCAACTTTTAATTTCTAAAACCCCCCTTTTAATTTAGTTTCCTTTTTTCTTTTTCCACCTCTAAAATTTTGAAATTTATTTTTAAAGAGAAATATATTTTATATAATTCAAAAATATCAATGTTTGATTGGTTGCAATTTTGGCCACACCCGTTTCAATTATTATCTTAAATATCTTAAGGATACTTCAGGTCAACATTACTCAATTCATTAAACATCTATTTCCAATTAAAAAGTCGTGAGTTTGAAACCTTAATTCACATATTGTACTAAAAAAAATTGATAGAAGGTGGTTAATTCTAAATTTTCTCGAAACTTTGATAAGTAAATCAATTTTACACCCTCCATTATAATTTCTATTTGAAAATCGTCGATAAACAAGTCTCACGTGTGTGCGTAGACCTCTTTAAATGCAAGATTAACGAAATATTAGAGAGTTTGTAGCGGAACGGCTTTCATAAGGAAAAACATAGGGAAAAAGAAGAGAAGAAAAAAAAAAGAGTCGACCATATTGATTAGAGTTGCAGTTGTCCACTTGATTATAACGTTTTTTTCTAATATTTCGTAAATTTGCATTTAAAGAAATCTATATATATATATGATAATTGTTTATTAACGGTTTTCAAACAAGATGTAAATCGATTCATCTATCAAAGTTTAAGTTTTAATTAATACCATTATTAGTTAAGAGTTTTAATTAATATTCAACATACATATGATAGTTTAGGGGTATAAATTAATTTTTATCCTTTTAAAAAAAATAAAGTACAGTTTCAGCGTTTAAAGTTTATTCATATTTGTTCGTCGTTTTCATGTTTAGAAACTATTGATTATAACTGCAGATATTAATTAATAATAAAACACATCATATCAATTTTCCTTGATTTTCTATTCACGGTAATTAAGGATTAACTTTAGAATATAATATTATTAACACCTTTTTTTTTTAACTTAGAATTTTATTAACACTTGAGGAGACCTAGAATATAATTTTTCAATTTAAAGCCCAAATTAAAAATGGGCACAAATTTTGGGACCAAAATTATATTTCAATATTTTCAAATTTACTAATTTACTTATTTATTTATGGATATAAATACTATTTTAGTTATTTTACACTCAATTTTGCTTTATTTGATTACTCTACTTAATATAATATATATTTTGGTACATGCTTTTTTAATTTTTTTCATTTTAATCTACATACTTTCAAAATTTTCATTTAGTCCCTATATTTTTAAAAAATGAATATTTTGATATCTATTTGTTAAATTTTAATACAAACGAATCCTCTAATAAAATTTATTACTACAGTAAATAAATTTATTGAATTAATGTGGTACTAAAATTTTTAATCTAAATAATTGAGATGAGTAAAAAATGATAGGTCAAAATAGTTAGATACCATTTGAAAGTACAACGATCATTACGAAATAAAATTATGCAATCACTGAAATAACTCTTGGAAAGTAGACGTATCAAAATGATAAAAGTAAATATTTAAACATTATTTGTTTTTAGGTAATAAAATGGGAAATAGAGAGAGAATGAAGAGAGAGGGAGGATTGGGTTTGATTAGTTATTTTTGCAGAAAAGCCCATGAAATTCGCGTTAATACTTAACAACCAACGATAAATACCCCGACATCCCTGTTTCTCCCTCCACCCTCTCCATTCCATTGCTTCTGTTCTGCAACAAAATCCAATTCTCTCTCCAATTTCCCTCTGTAGATCTCCTCGTTTTCTGTTTGTTTCCCGGGAAAAAAAAATTCAAAGATGAGAGAAATCCTCCACATCCAGGGCGGCCAATGCGGCAACCAGATCGGCGCCAAGTTCTGGGAGGTCATCTGCGACGAACATGGCATTGACCACACCGGTAAGTATAGCGGCGACTCTGAGCTTCAGCTCGAGCGGATTAACGTTTATTACAATGAGGCCAGCGGCGGCAGGTACGTTCCCCGCGCTGTTCTTATGGATCTCGAGCCTGGAACCATGGATTCCGTCAGATCCGGACCCTATGGCCAGATCTTCCGTCCCGATAATTTCGTTTTTGGCCAATCCGGGGCTGGCAACAATTGGGCCAAAGGACATTACACCGAAGGAGCTGAGCTCATCGATTCTGTTCTCGACGTTGTCAGGAAGGAGGCGGAGAATTGTGATTGCTTGCAAGGTAATGGATTTTTTTTTTTTTTGAACAGTTGGTTTTGGTCTCCAATTTCGCGCGCTCGCTTCGTTTTTCTCATTTGGTCCCTTTTGTGTTTCTTTGTTTGTTTTTTTTATCGATCTGTGTGCCAGAATTCTAGTTTTATTTACTTTTTCGTTGAAATTCTACCCTATGTCTTCGTAACGGCCCGATTCGGTTCTTTAATTTAGCCTTTGGTGTTTGGAATTTTGGTTTCAAGTATCTTTTGTCCTGACTGCTAATTGCCTAATTTTGTATGTTTTTATTGAGCTTGCTTCTCAAATTAGCTTCTTTTATCTTAGTGGTCTGCGTTCAGTTGAGCTTCTGATATCACGTGCACTATATATTCCCCCGTATTTCTCTTACCCTCAGCATTTATATATATGGAATTTGTGAAACCATGGTTTTAGCTTTGTTTTCGATTCTATTCTCTCTGGATCTGATCGTACTGAAAGGACTATCAGGTTTACAGGTCCAGGGAATTTCTCCATTTTCATCCCCTACATAGTTTGTAATTGTATAAACTGGTTTATCAATTTTGATGCCGTGGGTAATCTTATCTCTTCCTTTTAGTACATATATGTGCTGTTTATTTGTACTATTGACTCTGTTCATCCTTTCTTTTGGAATTGACCAACATGGGGGTACACTATGTTCACAAATGATCCATCATTTTGAAACTTCTGCGTCTAAGAGGATTTTGTAACCCTTTCTTGTGGCGTGGAAAATCCTAGATTATCTCATGCTAATTTATAGAGAGCGTAGGCTTGTTTCAGCACTCTAATTTTTCTTGGGGATGATTGGGGAGATGTGATTAGGTAGATGGGAAATGCTTTCATGCTTAAAAACTGTGTGAGGATCAATGTGTACCCTGATTCTTCTCATATCTTGTCATTCTTTTAAATCTTTGATGTGTCATCTCTCTTTCTTTCTCTCTGCCATATGCATGTGCGTACGAGCACAAACAGAGCTTGCTGACAATGGCTAACTACTTTTTTCCTTCTCATTATACAGGATTCCAAGTATGTCATTCTTTGGGTGGAGGTACTGGTTCTGGAATGGGAACACTTCTGATTTCAAAGATCAGGGAGGAGTACCCAGATCGCATGATGTTGACATTTTCCGTATTTCCTTCTCCCAAGGTTTCAGATACAGTTGTAGAACCATACAATGCCACCCTGTCTGTTCATCAGCTCGTCGAGAATGCTGATGAATGCATGGTTCTTGACAATGAAGCCCTGTATGATATTTGCTTCCGAACACTCAAGCTTGCCACTCCAACATGTAAGCGTCTATGTCCTGCAACTTATATGGAAGTCTTAAAATATTTGTTCGCATGCTCATTGTTATATAAAAAACAGTATATGGATGGGGTTTGTCTCTGAAGTGCTGATATGGTTTACCAAATAGTTATAATACCTCTGCGTTTCCCATGGCTGTACTGTGCAATAGCACAAAAATGGTTGTTTTCAAGTCCCAAATTCCGATCATCATTCACTATCTGTAGTTGTAGTAAATGGTTCTTTTTCCTGATTTACTTTTCCTTTTCTTCCATTTTTTCTGGTCAGAAAATACTAATAATAGTTAAAAGAGAGAAATACTTGTGGGCCAGGCATGTTGCTCACAAGTACAACCACATATTCACATGAATGCAGATGCCAAAAAGTGCTTATTCTTTTAGTACTTTTCTTCCCTTTTTATATTTACAAGGAAATGTTGAACTTATTTGTCAGATTTTTTCTTACTTGTCCAATTGTCACATTGCAGTCGGTGATCTCAACCACCTAATCTCCGCTACCATGAGTGGTGTTACTTGTTGTCTACGATTCCCTGGACAATTGAACTCTGATCTACGAAAGCTTGCCGTCAATCTCATTCCTTTCCCTCGTCTACATTTCTTTATGGTTGGTTTTGCACCCTTAACATCCAGAGGATCCCAGCAGTACCGAGCCCTTACAGTGCCCGAATTGACCCAGCAGATGTGGGACGCCAAAAACATGATGTGTGCTGCTGACCCACGTCATGGTCGGTACCTTACCGCTTCGGCCATGTTCCGTGGTAAGATGAGTACCAAAGAAGTAGACGAACAGATGATCAATGTACAAAACAAGAATTCATCCTACTTCGTCGAGTGGATACCCAACAATGTGAAGTCTAGTGTGTGTGACATCCCACCCAAGGGTCTAAAGATGGCATCGACTTTCATCGGTAACTCAACTTCCATTCAAGAGATGTTCAGGAGGGTCAGCGAGCAGTTCACAGCCATGTTCAGGCGCAAGGCCTTCTTGCATTGGTACACCGGTGAAGGAATGGACGAGATGGAGTTCACCGAGGCCGAGAGCAACATGAATGATCTGGTTGCTGAGTATCAGCAGTACCAGGACGCAACCGCCGATGAAGAATACGAAGATGAAGACGAGGAAATCCCGGCTTGAGGCGCCGTCCATGCAGCAACCTGGTTTGTCTGAAACTATAATGTTGTTGACTTTATTTTTCAGTTTGTGATGATGATATTGCAATTTGATGGTGATGTTTCCTGTTGTCCAGCAGTCTGTAGATTTTTTTACATGTTTTGAGCTGTATGGAGTGGGTGAGGGTCATGTAATATGAGAGATGGGTTTTGGATATAAAATATATCTTTGTTTGAATTAGAACGATTGATTCCTATTTGTACTCAGTAGGTGGGCATATGATGTGGAGCTTTTAAAGTTTAAGGTTTCATTGTCTTTCATCTTCATATAAGTTAAAGAAAGTTGCTAGTAGCAGTTATACTTGTTACATATTTTCTTCATCATTTATAGTCAAATATTTTGGAGATATTACTATTGACATCTTAAATTGGATGCTTTGAACTACCTTTTTCCTTTTGGACCAGAATGATAAATGAAAGGGAAATTTGTTTAGGATACAAGAAAATGACGAGCTCAACGAAGACCAATACAATCCGATAAAATTAGAATGAACGTTAAAAAACTAAAAACTCATCGACAAAGGGTTCAAGAATAGCTGAAATACACCGAAAAACTGTGGCCAACCAAATGAAGAAGGATCCGAAGGAAAAAAAACTTGAAGAACATCCTCAAGCTCCTTTATGTAGTCATTCAACAAGAGAGATTAATTTAAAATGATCCTTCTTGAAGCCTTTGAATAGCCCTTTTTAATTCTTAACCATGTAGTTTGTGTATAGATTGGCTCACCAAGCCATTTTACATAGTTCACTTCTTTCTTTTCTTTTCATTTCTTTTCTTTTCTTTTTAATTGAAGTTTCCATTTTTTTTTCTAGTGTTATTATTTTTCTAATGGTTGATTTAATCGTAGTCTGTTCTTTTTCTTATAAAAATTTTATATTATTCATAAAATATGTTTCGAGAGTCTCACAAGTTAGAGTTTTTAGCACGGATTTGATACGTGAGTTTATTTATACTAGACTATGTATTTGCTAATTAGATTGTATATATAGATTTCAAGTTACATGGAGAAATTTAAGATTTAAATCGTTGAAATTAAAATTTTAAGATCAAATTTAACTCATTTAGACAAGTAAAGTTCAATTAATCACGTCATAGCCTGAAGAAGAGGTTTATACTTGAAATGGACATGCGTGTAGAATGAAATTGAATTAAAAAAAAAAGAGAGTAGTAATTTCCTTATTTATTCATGTTTTTTTTTAATTTTTAATTATTATTATTATTTTGTTAAACTCACTTTGCAAAGTACATAGACAGAAAAATAATTTTGTTTTTGTTTCAGAGTTTTTGAATAATTTATCATTGGATGGCGTCTTCCAGAATTACATAATCCACCTTCCCAATTTTTTTTTTTATTTCTTCCATAAATTTTTATGTGAAATTCTCTCTACCTTGTTCCCATCTTTCCCAAAATATAATTTTTGCTATTTAATATTTTATATTATCACTACTAAACTCTTGCATCTATTTTATTTTAATTCTTTTACTTTCCAAATATGTCATTATACACTTTAAAAACTTTTAGCCTTCTAACGGGAGATTTGAACCTCCAACCTAAGTAGTATTTTGGCTAATTGAGCTCACGTTGGCAAAAATATTACGTGACATTATATTGACAAAGATAGTTCTTTTCTATATAAGAAGTGAGAGATTATTTACATTGATGAGCTTTCTAAGTATATTTGGAGCATGTTTGAAATCAAACGAGAGAGATAAACATCAAATAGAAGTGTATATATTAAAGTTACTATATAACTTCGTAAGGACTGCTCGATGCTTCTTAAGGACTATTGCAATATCATATCTTTTTGCCCTATCTATAGTATTTTTTAAAAAAGTACATCTATTTCATAACAAATGAGAGGAGTGGCTACCATTCATATATTATGTAAATCTAGTGATGGGATGTATTTGATTAATCTTATGGGAAGATTGTACATGTAGGGTGGAGACCATTGTTAAGCAATAATAGTGGCTCCCAAGTTGTCTTAAGATATGAAAGAATGTTTAAGAAAGAGAATGAAAGTTGTTTTTTTTTTTAATTAAATTGAACTCAATTTATTGAGCTAAAAAGAAAAAGAATGGAAATATTGGATTCCATAAGTTAGTGGTAGCCACATACAAATGGAATTGTGCGAGAAAAGGAAATACGAAAATCTTACTTTCACTTGATTGAGAAGTAAAAGAAATAATAGAAATTACGATAGAACAAGGAGTTAAAGATGGCAAATTAGAACCATTTTCGAAGCTATACTCTTCCTACCATTAACTTGTAGGAATATGATCGAATGTGAGTTGCCATAATGAATGCCTTGCTGGCTTGAGGCTAAGTGGAAATATTTGAAGGGAATGAATCATTCAATTCTTCCATTAACGATGGGTGCACGAATGACAACTCCAAATATCATATTACACCTACTTGTCATTTAGCATAATCAATAAGATCTAATTAAGGAACTTCATGTCGAGTTTACTTCACTCTACCATTATSTCATGAAATGCACTTCATTATCTTCCAAAGATTTAGCCCACTGATGAAATATGAGAGGTAATTACTTGTTAAAGTGAAGATGCATTACACGTGTCATTTTATTTTTCCTTTTGTTTTGTAACATATTTGCCACGTACTAAATCTTTATCTTATATGCGTGCCACACGATTATATAGTTAACAACTATGTTAATCCCAAAGAAAAATACATAGATTCACAATTTAAAATTCAATAACATAATAATAAAATTTTAAAAGTTTAGAACCTAAATGGACAGATTATCAAAATTCAGGAAATGAATTTATAATTTAAGCTATAGAATTTTACTCAAATCTCCACACAACTATGATATGCTCAAAGATAATCGAGCATAACCGCTAAAAATGATGAATTTTTGGCATTATGAGGCCACATGCGTAAAGCTAGTTGGGTTCATTTCATGAATGACTCCAATAAAATATGCAATAATTATGGTAAATAGTATAACAAAAATATAGAGATTTCTATTTTTTGAAATTTCATTGAAAATAGGAAATAAGTTTTCAGAAGTTATTTTCAAACTTGATTATGATGTTTAAAATGGGGATTTTAGAAAACTAGAAATGAAAAGAAAGTATGTCACAAAAGAAACTTGTTTACATATTGAAAAACAAAAAAAAAATTTTAAAAATAGATGTTATAATTCAAATGATTCTTTGTCAAGCTTCTTCTGCAAGACAACTTTTGAAAACTATGATGGAGCGATTTAAATTTATTATATAATTATCCTTTAAGGAAGAACAACTCTCCCTTTGACCATGAGAACAAACTACAAACCATGCTCACTGGTTTTTTCATCTAAGAAACAGAAATTAGTTTTTAAAAACAGGTTAAAGATACTATTTTGATCCTGTACTCTCAACTTTGATTTATTTTAGACTTTGTACTTCCAAAACGTTCGTTTTGGTTTTTGTATGGTTAAAGGGTGACTCTTTTGGTCACGTTATTTATAAAATTTTAACACAAATTCTATACGTAACGAAAATCTTTTAACATAAAATCATGGCTACATTTCAAAAAACATATTGAGTGTAACATCGTGTTGAAATAGTAATAAAAAAAGAGATAAAAATAAAATGACAAGGCCAAAACAATCACTTTTTAAAAGTATGGAGACTAAAATGTACCGAAGTTGACAGTACAGAGACAAAAATGAATATTTTAACCTACGAAACAATATTCCAAACAGCCACGAAAAGAGTAAACCATAAACAAAAAGGGTGAGAAAAATAAGAATACAGAGAGACAGATGATTATGGTTTATGAATGCAAGAGGGAGGAGGATAGGTCCACTTGTTCCCTACATGTAAGTGCGCATGGGAAAGAGCCATAACTTTGTTCCTTTATGAAAGGCAACCAAAATCAGATTTTGGGTCACTCCTATGGCCTATCTAAGCTTTCCTTTACATATTTCCTATGTCTTTCTCTAAGATGAAACTAATCACTACAGCACCCTCACGCTGACTGATTTTCAAAGCCTAAGAAGGTAAGTTTATACTTATACAGTGCTTGTGCTTCATTTTGCACCCTACTTCTCAACTTCTTCCTATAAATACCTCAGCTTCTTCGATCCTTCTCCAACAAACTTTGACAACAGTAATTTTGACTCAATCCTTGTTCTAGACTTCTAGACCCATTCTGTTCCTTGTTTCTAATGGCCGGTTATGCTTGTATTTTGGCTATTTCATTTCTAGTTTCAGCTTTCTTTGTTGCTTTGGCATCCGACCAGAGTCCTATTCTGGACTTCTGTGTAGCAGATACTGAAAGTCAAGGTATTTTTCGATCTCTCCTCTGCTTGTTTCTGGTCCTATGCTTGCCCTATTTTACATATTCTTCTGAGTTGCTAATAAAATTGATCAATCTGGAAAAGGTTTAGGAATCTTGACAAAGAACAGCTTCTTTCTTTTCTTTTTTTTTTTGAACTGGGAGCTGGAGCTTTTGCTCCCTATATCCAAGGGGGAGACATCAAGGGTTTTTGGTATTACGCTCAACGGAAGGTTCGAACTTGAGGCCTCTAAGCCAGTATTGCTAAGAGATCTCAAATCTTTGCCAACCGAACTGCCCCTTCTTGTTCCCTAAATCCTCATAAATCTCTGGCTTGGCTAAAATTTTATTGCCTGTTTTTTCCAATCGAAGTATAAGACTAATCAATTCCATTTCTGCTAATGCATCTCATTGTGTTCTTTATTCCAATGTCTGTCTAGTGAAGATAAATATTCTAACTCCCAATTTCCTTTTTCTTTCTTTCTTTCTTTTTCTTTCATACTTGCATCTTTGTCAAATTTGTGAAGTATTATCATTAAAAGCTTCCTTTCTAAGTTATCTCTATCATCATGATAAAAAAAAAATAATAATGTTTCTTAGATGCTGACCTTTTCCATGATTTCACTAGGACTTCACTAATTTTTTTTCTTTTGAATGCAATCACTAAATCATCTAATGTTGTATGCAATTGATTGCAGTGTTACTAAATGGACTGACCTGCAAAGACCCGAAGCAAGTTGTGGCCAATGACTTTTCCTTCAGCGGACTTCACCTAGCAGCTAACACATCAAATTCACTGGGATGTCATGTGACTCCAGTTACTGCATTGGAAATGCCAGGACTCAACACTCTCGGCATCTCAATCATTAGAATAGACTATGCACCGCGAGGCATCAACCCTCTGCACACACACCCCCGAGCTTCTGAGATACTGATCGTCTTGGAAGGCAGCCTTGAAGTCGGATTCATCACATCATATCCTGAAAATCGACATATAGGGAAAGTGTTGCAGAAGGGCGATGCATTTGTCTTCCCTGTTGGTCTTGTTCACTACCAGAGAAATCCAGGTCCTAACAATACAGTTGCTATTGCTGCTCTCAGCAGCCAGAACCCTGGAGTTATTATAGTTGCAAATGCAGTATTTGGGTCTACTCCAGATATTTCCAATGACATTCTAGAGAAATCTTTTCAAATGGACAAGAACTTTATTGCCTACCTTCAAACTAAGTTCTAGATTAGAAAACTAATAATCAAAATTGACATAAGAGTTGATACATGAAATTGTTCTAAAGAATCATTTACATCTGCTTGTTCAGTCGTTTGTCATATGTAGTCCATGCATTGAATTTTCCTAAAAGAAATATCATTTGCAGTTCAAGTGAATCTTCTATTTAGGCTCCAATAATATTAGCAGAATGTGAAAGTGGTTCAAGATGCAACAGCTAAGAAGATATAATAAAGAACCTGAAGAGAGCTGAGCAAGATGGGACAAGTGATGCGTCCTCTCTTCAAGAGAGACATGGAATCACAAAGCCACAACTTCATTAATTGTTCTTATGCTGGTAATTTCTGTAAGTTTATATTTGGCTTGAGAGGAATGATACGATAATTGACAATAAAGAAAAAGGCTTCGACAGTTTCTAAACTTTCTTTTGTGGCCCTTTCTTTCTTGGTGTAAACTTGTCTTTCCACAGCCTCTCTAATGAAAGGAATTTTGAAATCACTAAACATGAAGAATAATATAGTAAAATTTGCTTCCTTCTAATGGTGTTTATACATTTAATGTTATCTTACAACAACCAGAGTAGCCAAAAAAAGGAAGAAGTTATAGTTCCATGATGAATAGTCAAAAAATAAAGTTTAAATTTCCATGAAAAGGCACTACATAAGGTGTCTAGACAATCACCTTGAAGTTGAGATCTGCCTGGCTTCAATATCCTTCAGTCTAAGACTTACAGCTCTTTTATGGGCATCTAGCCCCTCAACTTCAGCCATTTTTTCGACATAGGGGCCAAGTTTTCTTAAACCTTCCTCCGTCAAAGACTGTATTGTCATGTATTTTAAAAATGAGTCGAGCGAAACTCCACCATACATCCGTGCATAACCATAGGTGGGAAGAACATGATTTGTGCCACTTGCATAATCTCCCACGCTTTCCGGGGTCCATGGCCCCAAGAAGACGGAGCCTACAGGATAAAAACAAAGTTCATTATGGAGGACATGTTATGGATGTTAAAAACTGCCTACGATAACAACAATTAACCAATGACAACGAGAAGGCAAGCTGGCTATGCCAACATCTGGTGACGTGCCACAAATAACTCAATGCCTTATACCAAGGCAACATTGGCTGGACAATTAATAATCGACTAAGGTTTTCAAACTCTGGACCTAATATGTATTTAGAAATTTCATGTCAAATTAGCAAGGGTTTAGCCTCCATGGTGAACAACTGAACTGAATGTGTGTTTGATAGAACATTACTACAATCTTTCACAGTCTAAGAAGCATGAGATAGATTATATTGCAGACAAAGTTTTAACTGGGTAAAATATGTAACAGTTACTCTAGTAACCTAAAATCTAGTGAACTGTTGAGTGAAGCTTGAACAAACTAAAAACAACTCTCAGCAGATACCTGCATTCTGAATGAAACTCTCCCACTTTTCTGCATCCTGGACATTAATTATCAAATGCTCGGGTGCATATAAGTTTGAAAAAGAGACTGCCTGAGAATCAAAATAACCATATTTAGTTCCAAACTAGGGATGTAGAGATTCTGAAATAATCAGTAATTGCATTTCGCAAAAATCCAACAACAGGCATAGTCAAGCACATGTTTTGTAACAGGTGGTATATGTACTTATCTTTATCTGGGAAACAAATTCAATTTGGAATAAAGAAAATTTCCAGGAATTCTCGGTTGTTTGCTAGAAACACATTATTAATAAACGTCTACAAATGACCTTGATATATTAATAATTTTTTTAGATAAGAAACATCTCTGTATTGATCAAAAAAGAAAGAAACAAACTAGAGGTTGGGGTAGAGGGAACCCCATCAAACAAACTAAACAATCGCTTCTCAATTGTTTCATTCAGAATAATAGTAGTATTCTTTTGCGGAAATCTCAATTGTTTCATTCAGAATAATAGTAGTATTCTTTTGCGGAAAAGAACTGGTGTCTCCTCTTAAACACCTTTGAAATTTCTATTTGCTTCCCAAAAATGATAGATGATTGGATGGTTGAAGTGCTTCACGGGTGGACTCTTCCTAATAACCTTGATATATTAATAATACTACTATTATTTTAATGCCTCTTACACTGATGTTGGCAGTTAAAAGTAATGCTAAATATCAACTTGATAGTTTATCAATCTAAACAACCTAATCTCTAATTGGAAGGCGTTCCTGTAACTTGCCCATGTGGCCTTCCGCCTTTTGTATATTTCATATCATCAATGAAATATTTGTTTCTTACGAGAAAAAATAATAAGAATAATAATAATAATAATAAACTTGATAACATTATGCTTCTGGCCACACCCTGTATCAATATTGATGTGACAAATTCAAACAATGCATGACTGATTTATTTTTACTAGCTGAAAATGAATTTGAATTTCCATATTTTAAGTTATTTAAGTTTCCATGTTTGATTTCTTACCCAAAAAAAAAAAAAAAGTTTCCATGATTGACCAAAACCTCCCATTTATATTAATGTTTCCTTCTGTGGATACAAGAGAGCATCAATCCAAGATAACAAACCTCAACCATATCACGAGCAAACACAGAAAAACTATGGCTCAGTGCTTTTGAAGCAAACTCTCCCCTTGGAAGACTTTTACATTGTTTGCTGAGTTCCTCTTCAATAGCGTTAAGATCCACACCATCACCGGCAATTACAAGAACTACCTGACTGTCAGGGCCATGCTCCGCCTGCACTTGTATATAATTAACTGAGATGTTAAGTGTAGATAATTATCAGCCAAATGCATAAAGAAATGAGTGTGATAACTGTAGTTCCTCTCTTCTGTGAAGAATCCAAGTTATTCAACCACAGCCAGAGATGAAATATAAGGGAACTAAATAACACATCAGTTGCATGCAACACCAGAGAAGAAGAAAAAGCTTCTTTCACATGAACCGTTGTCCAAATGTTAAGGATAATCTAGAGGAATTTTGTGCTCTTATCTTAAAAGTGAAAATTTAAGAACTAATAAGGTATGTCATCATTAAGGTAATCACCTGGGAAAGCAGATCTGCTGCTATATGAACTGGGCTGGCATATCTATCAGCAATAACCAGAACTTCTGAAGGACCCGCAGGCATATCAATTGAGATCATAGCTTCACTATTCTGTCCCAGAAAAAATGCCCACACGGTAATAATGTTTCTCAAACTTCTATCAAACGAGATTTTTTACCCTTTTCAAGAACTAGTCGAATCTAAAATAACAACTTCAGTGCTGACAGTCCTATGCTTTTAAATCCTTATTAATTTAAATATATTAGCCTTGAAATATCTGTCCTATACCTGGATCTGAGCACTTTCCACTTTTATCAAAGCTTCCCTTTAACCAACTGTTAAAATCAGTTTCTTTCATTGTATTCATGTACTTTCCTTTACTTATGCCACTTCACAATATTTTTCAAAAAATAAAATCAGTAACACCAACATGATAAGTCAATATGACAATAATTGCATAGAAAGGATCGAAATTAGGGCATGCTCCATTTTGAAAATTAATCCCCATAACTAAGAAACTACAATATTAATAGATATTCTTCAGGTTTCCCTTAAAAATAAATTTTAGAACAGGAAACTGAGAAAAACAATCATACTTGAAGAATCATTTTGGCAGCTGTTACATATTGATTGCCAGGGCCAAAAATTTTCTCAACCTGCAAACAATGAAGCAATTAATTCCAAAGGAAGCTCAACCAAAATATTTAACTCATAAAATATACATATACAAATCCCACGGCATCGTAATATAAAACCTTGAATGCATGTTGACAAAAATAGATCAATGTAAAATTGGTTGATTATTATCAAATATTGTAAATTTATATGCAATACCATGAGACTACTTCTACACAAGGCATTATTATCTCATGTTTCAGATATTTAGGACTGAAGACCCTATGACTTGCTTGAGATCGCTACAATCAATCCACTGAACTTCTCGCATTTTGATAAAAAAATCCAAGACAGTGAGAGTTTTTGAATCGTAGAAAACTTGTGAGGATGATAAATAAAAATTGACACGTTTTGTAGTGCAAACATATGGAAAGAGAGAACAACGAATCAAGTGCCTAGACACTACAACAGGTGTTTACAAGGATGTCACTTGAGCTGCTGCCTTCTATAACTGGAGAGACTACATGTTAATTGCTAGGTAAAGTGAATATGCAGAACCTAACAATTTAGCTTTAGCATATAGTGTCCACTGGGAAGGTCTGTCCTCCCCTGTTCCTTCTGGTAGAGCAGATACAGATCATTAAGTTTCTTCAAGTATTTTCTCATGTTCAGACTTATAGATTTTTGGATTAAATCCAAAATAAGTCGATCAGTTAGTAAGCTAGGTTGAATGCTCCTTTTACATGGAATCAGGAACAATAGTGTGTACAGTGTACACAACAAAATAAGATACAGGATCCCTAGATACGATCCCTCCACTTAATAATTAAAATAAAATAATGTGAACTATAATAGTGCAATTTAAATCAGGCTAGGCTGAAAGGCAGCAAAGTTGAATCAGGTTTAAACCAAAGTTTCATTCTCACCTAGGACTAATTTGGGACTGCCTCTAAAGTACAATTTTCTTTGGAAGAATTTAGAAGTTTTACCCTTCTTTTTATGCTCGATGTGAAGTATTCATATGCTTAAGAATTCTAATACGACATAAAATAAAGAGGTGGATACAGCCTAAGTATTACAGAAAATTGGTTCTTTTTTAACCAAATTACAGAGAATTGGTATTGATCATTAGAAAGCTGTGAGAAACCATTAACTTGGCTATAAAGAATCTAACTCTACACGGCAAACAAACATATAAGTGACACAAAATTTGAAGGAAAAAAAAAAAAGTATTACCTTAGGGCAAGATTCTGTCCCCCAGGCCATAGCAGAGATAGCCTACAAATCAAAAAGGCTCCAGTAATCATGGAAATATTTCTTTTTTGCAACTAATATCACAAAACCAAACTCAATGATCAGTGTACCCAATATATATCCAAAAGTAAAAAAAGTTGTTTACAGACCTGAGCTCCACCCGCCTTCAGAATGTGAGTCACACCAGCCTTCTTTGCACAATAGAGCACCTCCTAAAGAAAACGACATTATTTAGTCCCTTTACATGTGATAATTCAAAAGAAATGTGTCTCACTTATTGCTAGGATGTGTTTTTTATCAAAAGAAACTTGAAAAATGTCAGGCGAAAGCAAATACCTTGCATATGCTATCATCCTGACTTGGAGGTGTTGCAAGAACAACAGTTCCACAACCAGCAATCTGAGCAGGCTGATGACAGTAAAAAAAATTGTCAGATGAAACATCCGGTAACTCATACATTAAGGCCACTTCTACTAATAAAGAATGAGTTGAAGAAACATCAGAATGAAATTTGTGGAAATTAAAATAGAATTTTAATATTGTGTCTACTAAGATTACTTTGGCATAAAGATGGTTACCATTGCTATTGTTCATTGATACACAATTTAAATCAAGTTTAAGCTAGTGTGGGACCCAAAAGAAAAATAAAGGGAAAAAAAAGTAGTGAGATTCATGAATACGAGAGTGGCATTCCCTAATGATTTTCAATTTTTAAGCGAGGCATAAATTAGGAATGATTCCCTGTTTTATTAATAGTTCAGTACAGAATGAAAATATGAATAAGAGAAAATGACTCTCATTCCCTAGTTCTCATTTTTAACAGGTAAACATGGCTTAAGAGTTCATGTAAATTGTGTACGATCATCCTTAGCAAAGAATATCCCGTGTTTCTGGTAACTTACAATTGAGAGCATCAAAGCCGTTGAAGGTAAGACAGCAGTTCCCCCTGGAACGTAAAGACCTACAGAAGCAATGCTTCTTGCCACCCGTTTGCATTTTACCCCCTGAAATAGTTTTTGATAAGGCTTATAGATAGATTGTAAGCTCATATAGTTAATAACATTATAAATTATAGCATTACTTACAGGCATATTCTCAACATTTTTTTCAGCCGATATCTGAGCAGCATGAAATGCGTATATATTGTCATAAGCTATATCAAATGCTTCCTTGACAGCCGCATCAAGCTGTGTGAATGCAAAATTAGAAATGTCAATTATCTGATAGGGAAAAAAAAAAAACAACCCTAATGAAATTCATTTCCCAGATTAGTTAAAATATTCAGATGCTGGATTTATTTAATATTACCTCCGGCTCTGGCAGGTCAGAGACACTAACAACAATCTCATTGAGGTCAACTTTGTCAAACTTTGCTGTATAGCTACAAAATATGCAAATTTAGAGAGAGGTTGTATTCGTACATAAAACAAATGATTCAGTGTAAAATATAGTATAAATATGCTGATAAATAAAAGCAAAGAAACACCTACTCTCTAACTGCATCATCGCCTCTTTTTCGAACATCATCAACAATGGGCTGGACCTAAACATGGAATTTCAAATCCGATGTTTTAAACAAAAACCGAAATGTAAGATTATAGATAACTCCAGGGTATGACAAACTGTGCATAAAACTCACCACACCAAATATTGAAGTAAAATCAATACGAGGACGGGCCTTTAGGCTATTGACAGCATCGTGAGTAAGTTCGGATAACTTGTAAGACTTCATTGAACACTTTATGCCTTTACCCAAAATTCCTGATAGAAACAAAAGACTGTAGATGGTGCACAAGAAAAAGAAGCGAGCAGGAATATATGAAGAGGAACAAAAACTTCAACCAAGTCCAAATGACAAGTAACATTTGGAAGCTAAAAACTATGGAGTCTTCAATAATTTTTAAACCAGAAAGCTCTTGAAATCATTTCATTTACTTTGCATAGTTCTTCTTATGTGGCTAAAATCTAGAAAAGATTGACATGACGACAATGTTATCCTGAACCAACAGGTCCAAAATCTAGACAATTCTTGGAATTTGACTGACCAGCGTCCTCAAAAGCCATTATCAATTTCTTATTCAATCACATGCTATAAATATAATCTTTTAAAGCATTCGTTCTAAGCCTCGTGCAGTAAGAATTCGCCAAATCCATACGCGTGTCTGGAAACACAGACACAATACTGAACCATACCTCCGGAAAAGTAAGGAGTTAGATAAGAAGCAGACTTTGGAACACTCAAAGATTGAAATTTCCAACTCCTATTTTGTTGAACCAAGCTATTGCATCTCCAATTCAAGCTTATAATCTGGCTGTCCATAATCACCTTCAATCAGATTGATCAGAGTGTGGCTTCATAAATTAGTGAAATTTATTCAAAAAAATGTAAGGAATCCCATGGTCAACCTAATTTTCGGACACTATAACAGCACTAACAAGAATGAAAACAAAAATAACTCCGGAGAAAAATAAACGAAAGTAGAATTTGAAGGATTACCAGCAGAGATAGACTTCGTTGGCAGCTGCGGCGGCGGAGCACCGGCTTGGACGCGGCGGAGCCGGCGATAATCGAGTAAGATTCTGTATCCCAAAATGAGTGTGTAAGAGATTCAGAGCAGCGGACGGCGCCGGTGAGAGAAGAGAGAGACAAACTATTTCTGTCTTTAAAAAATTTAGTTTTTTTTTTTCAACTTTTTAAAAAAGGACTTAAAATCTTTAGTTATATATATATATATATATATATATATATATTTTTTTTTTTTTTTTTTAAGATGTGACCAATTAACAATCATACGACATAACATAAATATATATTTGTAAAAATATTATTACATTTTACTTTTTAAAAAAATGTCGCCAAAGCGGTTTTTAATTAGTCTAATTGCAATGCTATTTTTGTAATTCCTTCATATTTTAAACTTTTTTAAGAAAAATAAATAACAAAAAATTAATTCTTAGTAAACACAAACACTCACGTCCTCGTATAAAACTAAAAATAAACTCTTGATAATATAAAATTATCTTTTTTTTTTGTAGCCTTGATAATAAAATTATCAGTTCTTATTAAAAAAATTAAAACAATAATACAATTGTCAATTAATTCAATAAAAAAAAATGGCATCGACTTTAGATACAATATAAATTTATAGTTCCTTTTAACGATTTTAGATACAATACAAATTTAAGAACATATGATAAAAGTCTTTTTTTTTCGGAAAGCAGAAGGGTATGATAAAAGTCTTTGCTTTATAGTAATTATCGTATAAAAATCTTAAGGATAGTAAACGGTGATTTATTAGGTACCCTCTATTAATGTTTCTATTTTTTTAATTATTATTTATTGTTTTATCGCTTCTTATTATTCAATAAATAAAAATAGAATTGCTTTGGTAGTTGTTTTTATTTTTTGTTTTTGGTTTTCTTATATAAAAACAAACGAAAATATATTTAGTAATCATTTATTATTGAATGTTCTCTAAGTTTTAGATTAAAAAAATTAACTTTTTAAACTAAATATTAAAAAAAATTTACTGATACATTTGATATACTATGCATTTTTATAAGTCATAATAAAATTATATTTTGGAATGGACTAATAAGAAACTAGAAACTTGATATTTAATTTATCAAACGGGTGCTAAAATTTCCTTAATTTTTCCGAGGAGAGTTTTATTTGGGGTAATGAGAAATTAGGTGTAGATTTGAATTATTTCAGACTCCAAAAATAACTTCGGTAATTATCATCATTGGCAATTAATTATTCTTTTTCTAATAATTGCCAATTGGAGTAGCTTCTTGTGATTGGGTTTTAGACCTTTGTTTTTAGCAGGGCAGTTTTATTTAAATGAAAGTAATTCTTTAAATGGTAAAGCATAAGCAAGAATTGGGTATTCTATTAGTATAACAAAAGCATTCTTCCTTTACAAACTTTTCTACAATATAAGGATATATGATGTGGAAGAAGATACAAAAAGAGATTCTATTAATCAAAAGTAAAAACAAAACTAGTCATCAAAATGGGAGAGATTTCTTAAAGTTGGAGTTCTTGATGCACTGTCATCTCTTGAAATACCTGCAATCTGTTTCCTCTAGCCAAGCTCACATTCTCTCCACCCATGGTGGTCTCCCTTCTGCTGTTTCCCTGCTCAGAATTACAAGAGAGCTCAGTTGTCAATGGCAGCGGGGAGGAGCGGTGGTTATCGCCCGAGTCTAGCGTAGGCTGTTCATCGAAATACAAAGGGCGCCTTACTGCTCGATTTCTTGACGAAACAATGTCAGCAGAGTCTCTAGCTCCATCTTTTAAGTCAAGTGAGTCAAATTTGATTTCTTCAACCTGATAGATGGGACCAAGGTTTTGGAGGAGAATGTTGCAGTTTAGATTTTCATCATTGAACTCTTCATCGCTGCTGCTGCTGATGCTGATGCTCCAATCGCCCGTGCATCCTCCGCTTGACGATTCTTCTTCTTCTTCTGTATTGTCTTCCTTCTCGTCGTCTCCGTCCTCCTCCTCCTCTTCAACCATGTCTGCCCAACTCTTCTTTCCACCAACTGTTGATGAATTGTGTTTGAACTTTTGATCAACTGTAATGTGTTCCTCCTTTATCTTCATCGAGTTGTTTTCACAAGAAGTCTGTTTCCAGTCTGCATCAAGATCTTCAGGCTCATCACTTACTGCTCTGGAGAGTTTTGATCTTTCAAGGCTTCGATCTGCCAATTCTTGAATATTTTCAGTGCTTGTGGGAGGCTCAAATGAAAGTTTTCTGCTTGAACTAATGGGAAAACGATCGATGCATTCGGCCTTTCTCGCTCCATTAATACTCCCCCATGAACAGCTCCTTGGTTGTGTAAATGGAACTTCGAGTTCACCTGCATCAGGAGCTGCAGACCTATATTTTGTCTTGTAATTCGAATTCGTTTCGGTTCCTTCCGATTCAGAAGAAGCATCTGTAGAGAAGAAATTATCGTTACTTTGATCATTCATTGACGGATTCGGAAACAGAACTTTTCTCCTGTTAGAACGTCCAGTCGTTCCCTTTCGCTGCTTCCTTTCCTTCGCCCGGTGTCGATTATTGAATTCCCAAAAGCAGTTTTTCGGTTGAGTTAATGGAACTTCAACATTGCTTTTCGCTGGAGTCGGAGATGAATATAATGTGCTGCAGTTGAATCTCTCACCTACTAGTCTGAATAAACCATCCAGGTTTCGGTTTCCCTTCATCTCAATCGGAATGCAGGAGTTCATTTTCAGCGGATTTTCGATACAAGAACCTTCACTCCATTTATCACAATTCAGATAATTATGTGAAGAATACACAGCTCCCGATGACTTGTTCTGCAAATCTCTGTCACCAACCCCACAGATATCCTCCTTGTTCTCACAGCAGTTGTGGTCCCAGTGATGATCGTCTCGGCTATTTTCATTCATGTACATCTCTTCGTCATCATGAGTCCACTTTGTGGATGCAGTGAGCTGAGAAACACAGGGCTGAGCTTTATGAGTCGTGCTTCCACTGCTGTTATCTTCTTCCTGCCCTGTTGAATTGGACGACGACTTCGATTCTTTTTCAGCCAGCATGTGAGAAGCGCGTTCAAAGGACTTGGCATATGATTCTTCCATTTGCTTGCCTCCAGAAGAAGCTCTTACAGTTTGAAGCAGAGATTTTGCTTCTGTGAGCCGGTTCGTAAGGATCAAACAGATCGCCAAATTGCATTTCTTGTTGTTATCGGCCTCGAGAGACAATGCTTTCCTGTAAAGCAAGAAATATTCTCCTTGAGTGCAATGTCAAAAGCCCTATGAACTACTTATAATGCCTTGGATTACAGAAAACATGACAAAAGCTAGCTCTCACAAGAACCAATTTGGTGGCTCTTTCCCCAACCTTGGTCCAAAAGTAAAGCTAAACCACATCAGATCTAAGTATGCGACGATATCGACTAACCTGTAATAATCTTCTGCAACGCAGACGTTGTCCAGCTGCAAGAAAGCCCACGCCAAATTTCCGAGAACCCTGAGTCGAAAAGAATCGATGTCGGTCCCAATGCTGTATCAACTAAGAAAAGAAAGAAAACAAGTCCAATAGTTACCTTGATTTCTCTTGCTCAATAGTAATTTGGACCTTCTTCCCTTGAGATCTTGCAGCCTTCGTCCTCTTCCCTCCGAAAACCGTACCCTCTTCAATTTGTCTAAGTTTGCATTGAAGCATATTGATCTCTTCTTCAATCCTTCCAGATCTCTACAAAAACACACAACTTCAAATGAAACCAATGGAAAATTCCATTCATCCATGAAAAAACACAACAAATGAAGCTCTCACCTTGTATAATTCAATCAAGACATTGTCAATAGATTCCTGAGAATCATAGGGGCAGAGATGGCGGAACGATTTGATCGCCTCAATCGCCTCATCGGATCGGTCCAGCTGCTTCATCACAACAGCCATATCTTTCAGTGCACTGTCCACTCTATCTCCAGCATTTATAGCAGCCCAAAACAGAGAAACCGCCTTAGTCGGATCTTTATCTATCAACTGCAGAAGCAAAGGGCCCAAAATTTAAATTTCCATCACTTCAAAGCATTGGATATCTTATATTATATCACCAAAAACCAAACTTCAAATTACCCAAAACAGAGAGACAGCCCTTCTCTTCTCTTTATAAGGCCCAAAAATGACTGAAAACTCAGTACTCAAAATACATTTCAATCACTAATCTTTGAAAAACGATTGAAAGAAGATAACTTCAACACTTTCTTTTTGTTCTTAATCAGCGATTCAGCTCAATAAAACCCCACATGATTAAGTTTTTTAAACTAACGACTTATTTGGAAACTTTTTGTCTCTGTTTCTCATTAATTCCCTCGAAAAACCCCAAAATTGTTTGGATTAAATCACCACAGAGACGACGTACCAGAATTACTATCCAAGGCTAGAAATCAAAATAGAGTGGCGAAAAACATTATAAGAAAGAACGAAACTGACCCGAAAAGAGAATCAGTAATCTTCAATTCAAGAACCAGAAACTTCAAAACATCAAAATAAGAAAACAAAAAAACAGACCGACCCAGAACAGGATTTTGTATCAGAAAAGATAAAATTGAACCAGAAATTTAAAATCTTGACACGGACCTGAACTTGTTTAGCCTTAACATATGGAGAGTCCCCAGCGGGAACCTTATGAACGACATGAAAAAGATTAGATTTGTTCACAGAATTGGGGGCCGATCTTTTCCTCTCGGAGAACGGCGTCGTTTTTGATGGCCGGAATGGCCTCGATTTCCACGACGGAGGAGGGGTGGAGAACCCCCTGCCGGGGAAATTGTTCTTGCCGTTGTTTGTCCACATGGGTTCTTCACTTTCCCCGAGAAAATTTGTGCCACTTTCTCGCTCTGGAAAATCGCCAAGAAAACGAGGTTTTTTTGGGGGTTTTTTTTTAATTTTTGGGTTCTTGGGTTAGAGCTTCTTCTTCGGATCTTGCATGGATGTGTTCTTCTGGTTCGAACGAACACAGAGAGAAGTGAAGTGAAGGCGAGAAAGAAAACAGAAAGGTCCTGAGAGTGGAAAATAAAAAAAGTAGCCGTTTTATATTATTACTAGCCGTTGAGAATTTCGAGTACTTCACACGTGTGGGGATTCACGTGACGTATTACATCAAACGTTGCCTGCGGATGGGTCGGGTCACATCCCGGGTTCGGACTTTACATTCTTCTTAACAACAATTCTGTAATATAATAGTGTGTGAACTTGTAGAACTTTAATCATTTGAATAATAATAAAAAGATAACGGTAAGTTATTGCATCTATAGTTTATCCATTTTATAAATTAATATTATGGTTTAAGAAATTTATGTGGTGTGAATTTGCAATGGAAATTAATACTTCTAGTAAAATAAATCACTCGCATAAAATTGGTTAATTTGTATTATTCAATCGGACTTAGCTTCAAACTAATTTTAATCAAAACAATTTAGAAAGTTGACTCTCATCCCATAATTATGAAATTTTTAGAAAAAAAGATTCATCTTACATTTTTTTTCCTTCCCCTATTCACGTATGATATTGTTTCCTGATCCTATTTTCAACTTTTTCTAAAAATTATTTTATCAATTTTGACTTACCAAAATGCGTAATAAATAAAAAAAACAAATACAACATAAATTTTTTACTATTTCATTTGAAATTTTAATCTTCTATTCTGTTTTAATTTAAAATCTTAAAAACAAGAAATAAGAAATGGTTATCCATCACATTTCTATTTCATTGTTTTTCATTTTTCAAATTAAAAAAGAAAAGAAGAGAGTTACTAAACGGATTCTATTTTCCATTGTCAAGATCCAACCACCTTTTACACCAAAAAACAAAAGCCATGTATGCAATGGGAAAATCCAATCGAATGAGCTTGAAAAAAGCTATACAGATCTAAAAGATATATATCAGTGATTGAGTCTTGTTCTTGGTGTGTCATATACTTTTTTCTGTCAATCTAAGTGTATGTGTTTGACTACCTTTCATGTGGAAAGCTGATCAAAATTCAAAAAGCTTCAAGGGATTAAAACTTTGTAAGCTATACAAAATTTCTTTTCAGTTGCAGAGTAGTTCTTCATTTGCTGCTATTCCACTCCCATATGACTTGGTACTTATGAGCTGATTCTGCCGTATTCTCAGTGGGATGTTCCCGTCGAGTTTCGGATCTTCTTCTAAAGATGGCAATTTGGGAAGCATAACCAGGCTCCAAGTGACCCGATCCACCAACCCCACTGAATTCGACCGAGTAGTCGTGTCTCGTGGCTAAATCGCTAGCCCACTGATTGAATTGTTCTCTAGTCCACTCGAACTTGTGATCGTGATTACGAAATCTGCAAGATTGTAACTGCGTTTTGTCGTCTTGATCCCCTTCTTGGCTTGAAAGATTTGATCCTTGGAGTATCACGTTGTACTCATAGTTCGGAGTTGAAACAACGAGAAGTTTTGGACGAAATGAACTCAGCACCAAATTTCCAAACCGATACGCTTGATCTTCTTCCATGTGCTCGATTACCTGTAGTTAACCAAATTCTTTTAGCAATCTCAGTCCTACACTGGCTCATTTTAACAAATACTATTTATCATCCCCTATCTCATAAAAGCAGCACTGAGATTCAGAGTAAAAGAGAGAGAGAGAGAGAGCCAACCGAGCTTTCTTCTTTCTGGCTTAATTTTTCGATGGATTTACAAGCATCAGATTATTCATGGCAGTACCCGACTTGCACCTTTCGTGCAGGAACTTGAACAATGAATATTATGTGCATGATTTAATTCAACATCTTGGATTATACAAGGGAAGAATTAAAAATAAGATTCTCTCCTTTCTAAGTTTTAAGGACAAGCAGCCAACTTAGCACATGAAAGTAGTGATAAGTGAAGAATACCTCTAAGCAAGTACCAATGTCAAATTCACACAATCGTGGATCAAAATCTGTGATAGATCCATCATAAAGAACTGCAGATTTTACGGCAGTACGAGGTACTTGACCGTTGGGTTCTGTACTCAGTTTTGAATGAAGTATCTGCAAAGCAAATTAATAACATATGATAAAACCACGGAAAAAAAGGCACTTGTAATAAAACCAAACAAACAAAGTAATTCACAAGTGTCCTGCCAGCTTACAGGCCCCTCAACTAATTTTTTGAGATAACCATATGTCCCTCTAATATTTGATTTAGAAAACTCGGGAGATTTTAACCTCTTGTCCCTCTAATATTTGGTTATAGAAAACTCGGGAGATTTTAATCTCTTAGGTAGGTGGCCCCATGAGGTTTAAACTTTAAACTCGTGCTCTCAAATTTCATTTTCTTTTTTTATTGGGTTCAATGAACCACTAAGTTAACCTCCAGTGATTAATTTTCTTGCACATTTTCATGATTTGTCTCTATCATAATAATACAAAATTCTCCAACAAAGTAAAACAAAGACAAATGTTCCCCAAAAATAATAGAAAGGTCTTCAAGGGGCAGAGAAGGGTCTTGGGAGGATTTTTGGAGTTCAAATGCCATTAGTTCTTGATTCTCAACGGTTGTAGCTTCTTGTTATTTCTTTTTGGTGGCTCACTTAGTTGGTCATCATTTATGTTTCATCTTTCATTTCCTTTTGTTTGTTTCAAGAAATATATCGATCAATTTTCATTTCTTTCTTTTTGTAATGATTCTTTTCCTATCAAGATGTATTAAACTAACATAGAAAGTGAGAAATGAAGAACAAAGAGACCATGAAAATTTCAGACCTTTGCTGCACGGCTGAGACTTTTCTGAGAGATATCAACACCAACAACTTTCTCCAAAGATGTCTGGTAATTTAGTAAAGAATCCAACAGACTCCCCGAGCCACATCCGAAGTCAACCTGAGACAAGATCTGAAGAGATCAAAAGACAAGCCATAAACCAAAACATAATGTGAGAAGTTTCTATGTACCAAAGAACAAGCATGTGATTCTTTGATATATTTCACAGCAAATTCCACACGTTGCTTTGATAATGGAGGACTGAAAAGAGCCTGCTCCATCCTGTCTTCCAGAGGTTCCGTAACACGCAACAAATTACAAGAGTACTCCAAACGGCACGCATCTACAAGACAATTAAAAAAGAAGAAGAAAAAACCAGAAGGTTTAAGCTGCATATATCTCATATGACATATATGCAACATGACATTCAAAATCTATCTATCATGCTTCACCTAGAGAAGATTGCACTATAAAAGACTATCATAATAGCCTCTGTTATAATAGTTTAAAAAAATACAAAATTATCAGGAAAGAGGAAAGGATTTTCTTCTCAGTTCTTCAAGACAGTAGGCCCAAATAGCATGTTGATTCATCCAAAGTGTCTATCCTCTTGAATTATAACTTGTTACTGCATGAATACTTTTAAGTTTCCCTAAAAATAATGAATACAATCCTAAATCACTTAGTTGAGTAATTCTAATGGTCTTGCCTAAGCTAAAAACCAAGGAGAAGGGAACTTACTTGAATCTAACAAGTGAAGTATCCTTGCAGTTTCGATAGCTGCAGCCAAAATAAACTCTCTAGGGGCCAATTCTGCACAAAAACAAGCAGACTGACCAACAGACATCTGCTGTACATTTGCTTCAAGACACGGAATAACGCATCCGGTCCCTATCTCAAACTCAAACTCATCATTGTTCTCAATAGGTTCCTTAACTTCTGCACCTTCGGCTATGAGGGCTACATTATAACTGATGCATACTAACGATCCATTAGATGGACTAGTACCAGAATCTGAACCTTGAATGTTTACAGAACTGTCTCCATATTCAGGGTAATTACACGGCAATTTCACATCGTTTGATTTATGTGATATCTCTCCTAGAATTCTACTGTTCAAACTGGAATGAGCAGATCTACAGGAAGCTAGTTCTTCAAAAACCCTTTGAGGATTAAATTGAAGGGCAAGTGCATCAGCATAAGAGGTCAATCTTTCCAACGGCATGAGTAAATCCTTGAAATATGCATCCAACCACAAAAGAACTTTCAAAGAAACATTCTGGATCGAATCAAACTGCTTCTTGAACGTGTCTTTTGGCGAGCATTCCAAAATCAGTTCCTGGCTGTTGGAATAAATTCTTGCTTCACATCTGAAGGTATCATTGGATTCCACACATTGCCCTTCATCTTCAGCAATTGCGCCTCCATACGTGTGATCTTGACCTACTGCAGCTGTCTTGGAAGATGCTATAACAGCTGAAATGATAGGTTCCGATAATCTATGCTGACGACAGAATGTACAAAGGACATCCCTAGGGAAGGCACCCCTCCAATTTGCTTTTGTGGTGAATGTTGAAGGCAACTGTGCTGCAAGTATTACTTCTCTGGACAACTTATAAATTCCACTTGGTGTCTTATTAATAAGCATCCTGTAGGTGAATATCTTGTTATACTATATGATAGCAATGTAAAATGGAAACAAGCAGTTCTTAAAGGAATTAGGCAAATAGCAGAATTTTCTCTGCTTCCTGATGAAATAAATAAAACCAGGGATCAGAGTGTGCAATTAAAGTGAGAGAAGCAGAAAAAGAAAGAAGTTAGATAATTCAATTGAAAGCAGAAACCAGAGACACCTGTAATATGATTGCAAGCCAATGTTCTCATGAAAAAGATCTTTATTCTTCCATGTGTACCCAATGTTTGCCAAAATTGCATCCCCATATATATCTTGACCACATAAATAAGTTGCTCTTGCATTCAGTGGTTCTCCAAAGTGAAGAGCTTCTTTTAAATCTAAAAGATCTGAAGATAGATCAGATAAAAAAGTTCCAGAAGCTGCAAAGTACAATCTTGTTTCAGAAGAAGCTCTACCAACAGGCCTATGGAAAAAAAGATGATGGATCAGTTCACATTTATATGAAGATGAGACCGGGAATATAATAATATTAATGAACCATTCTCCAGCATCTTGAAATAGCATGACTATCACCAACCTCGAGATGAAGACCTTGGCTGCATCGGACAAGCCAAGTTCCTTGGCAACAAGATCCAGGTAATAGCCAGTTGGAGAACGGTCAAGGACTATACTTTCTAAAGGCTTGTCGAGCAAACAAGGGATTCGTATCACTTCAATCAAAGATCTTTCAGAAGAGAGAGAGGGCTCAATGACTGATGATGTTATAACATCGGAAGGGTAAGGATTTTTCCTTTGAATTGAAAGTTGTCCTTTAGGAGCAGAAAGAGAATCAGACAATTTTTCAGCTGCCCTCAAGATATATTGGATAACCAAGTATGGATTTGACTCCACCCGAGGGTCAATACATTTAGACAAACTACAAATCTTTGCATCATAAGCAAAAATGGCAGAGATAGGTACTAAACAATGGTCTCCTTCTCTCAGCACAGCATCTCTAAAGTGACCACTGAGTGGATGAAGAGCTGAAAGGAACTGCAACAATTGGAGAGTAGAGAGACAAAGATCAAGAGAATAACAATTTTAAAGAGGTATCTTGGGGAGTCGCTTTAATTATCTTATTTTTCAAAATGCAACCAGCAAAATACACATAAGAATAAATTTAAACCAAATTGGAAAATGAACTAAGATCAAAAGATACCACTTATTCACTTCCCTCAAAAGCAAATTAAGAAACATAAGATTGAAGAATGTAAAAGTTCAGTACTGCAAACTGGATAGGTTTATTGATGCCAAAGCAGCAAGTTCAAGAGGAGCAAGTGTAATTTAAAACTTGATCAACAGGTTGCTCTTGTTGAGACCCTAAGCACTAGCAATCAAGTTATCCTGAAATAATATACAGTTTGTTCATCATAACCCTAACTAACCAATTCAAATTTTTTTAGGCTGTTATAATTAAGAATACATGGGAAGCTGTCAATTCAAGCCATGCAATTTTACTTTTCTTCTCTTCGTAATAATCACAGTTTACAAATTGGATCTAATTTATTAAGGAAGCTCTAAGTGCACAGGTAAGCGAAGGAATCATAAAATAGTTAAACCAACTCTAACCTAATTGCTTAACTCACAAACACAATTTGAGTTCAATCAAACTGGGAAAGAGACAACTAAATTGCCACCCACCACATTATGCATTCATCAAGAAAACAACAAGGGAAAAATTAATCACAGTTATATTCTCTGTTAGAGTAACATTTGCCTTCATTAACTAGCTACGGAAAAATAGAACCTTTCTGATCCATATACAATTGTGCAAATTACCAACCTCATTGGAAAATAAGTGTTTGACACGAACAAGTAATTCATCCCATGCTTCCTCTGCAGTTAGATCATTTGTTCTTGTATGGATGCCCAGCTATAAGAAAAGGAATAAACAATAAACCACCAAAGCCTGATGGAAAGAAAGTATACAATCTTGCGGTCAAATGTAACAGAAAGTAAGCCCTGACAACTACAAAAGTGAATAAATAGACATGTAAAATGTTAATCTCGTGTCAATTTGGATCGAGAAAGCTGAATTGAAGTATTTATTCCTTCTTTTGTTAATCATATAAAGCTTAAGTATGAAGCCCAAGTCAGTGAGGTTTATCATGCTGAACGATGTGTTCAGCCTTCTTTGTATCAAAAGATAGCACTCAAATGGGGAAAATAAAATAAAACAATAAAATATGCCATCAATTCAAGGGTGAAGGAAGATGGTTGATCCATATTATTGATATGAAAAATAAATGTAGATATGTTGATGAGTTCACAAGCAATATGTAACTCAATGGAAGTAACATAAATGCCTGCACATCAAGACAGAGATAATGAGATTATCAATTGGTTTCCCCAAAAATTAGTATTAAGCATACCAGACAGAGCCAATTTTCCCTACTTTATGAATAAAAATAAATGACAGGGCATATGATGATGGACCATCATCCAGTCCACCAAAATCAGGCCAGAAAATTTAACAGGACAGTATACAGAAAACTCCGAAAATGTAAAAAACCAGACCTTTTCTATAGCTAACTCTGCGGCAGATTGTTCAGCATCTCTCTTTCTTCTGAACGTCCCTGACACAACAGAAATGTCTGGAAGCTCCAAATTGCAGCGAAAAAGACAAGCCCCCTTCTGAGCAATGGCCAATCCGGGGCACCCATTTTGAGGCGGCTCGTGTACTTCCTCTATTGTGTAGCAAGCCTTGGTTCCATACTTTTGGTGAATGACAGCCTTAGGCGTAAGCGTTGGCTTCATCGAGGCTCCTCCAGTTTCCATTAGTAACAAACTACCCATTATTACATAAGCAAATTGTTAATTAAGAAAAGAAGTGTCATGTGAAGTGACTACGTCCAAGAAGGGGAATTAGAGCAAGAAATTTAATGGGTTTTTCGTACTTCTTTCTCTTCTCTACCAATTTGTTCACAAACGAAACAGATGGAAAAGCCAGTATCAGCAAGCTTCCCTCCAAAATGCGAAACAAGAAACCACCATTTCCACCACTAAAACCTATTTCCCCCCACATTCAAACATATCGCTTCCTGGAAATTGATCATCAGAACAGAAACACGACAGCCAAAATGTAATTAATGGGTTTCCGTTCAACACGCGGGGGGAGAAAAATAAAGGGCAGAAACAACGTAATACAGAGAAATCAGAAGCTGAAAAGACGAAAACGGGAGAGAAGATGAGAAGAGACTAAGTGGGTCTGAATGAATGAAACAATGGAAGAAGAAGAAACGAATAGACAGAGAGAAAGAGAGATACCCAGATGATCATCGGGAAAAACAAAGCTGCTGAGCCACACCCGTCAATGCCTGGAGCCACAGAGAGAGAAAAATGGGAAACAAGCTTTGGGGTATCAGTAATTCAGTACAACGCTGGAGAAATTGGTGCAGGAATGAATTGTTTTTTTCTGGAGGAGCGTGAAGGGAAGCTTTGTGAATAAGGAATTGAATGATTTAAAAGGCAAAAAGCAGAGAGGAGGGAAAAGCTGTGGATGTTTGGAATTGTAAGAATATTTGGACGGGAAGTTCTATGCCTTTTTGACCTGCATGCCACTCAACTCCAATACAAAAAAAACTTTCGAGCATCCTTGTTTAAGTATCGTGTTCAAGATTTTTAAAGTTGATTTTTTTTCTTTTAAATATAATTATATGGTGTCTATTTAGTTGTTAAATTTTAAAATATTTAGACTAAGTTGTGAAATTGTGAATTTTGATTACACCCAACATAACTTGATTCAATAGAGTTTAAGAGGGAGAGTTAGATAAATCAAATAGGAAAAAACTTCCCTCGTGAACTCCTGAATTCTATCTAATAGCCACCATGCACCTGGATCATGTAGGAATTTAGGAGCTCCTTCTTGAATTTTCAGGAGGAAAGTTTTCTCCAATCAAATAAAAGCGTCAACTTGAACATAGTCAAATCGATTAAAGCAATTCGATTAGAAGGCTGTGAGATTGAATCCTCCTTCCATATGTATTCTTTCATATGTATTGTACTCAAAAATGACAAAAAAGTCACAGACAAGTCAAAATTATTATTTTATATAGTTTATTCAAATTTTTACCATCCACTAATTATAACTTATGGTGATATAAAATAATTCTTAAAAATTAATCTTCAAAACAAATTATTAAACAATAAACAATCTTTGTGAGTTGGGGATGACTTCCATAAAAAAAGTACTTCTCATATAGACACTCGGAAGAATTGGCCAACTAAGTAGAGAAATAGAAAGAACTTTATACTATTTAGAATTTTCAAAATTACTTTTAATTATTTAATTAAACGCGATTAAAATTTTGAAAAAATATTTTTCAAGTCTTCCTAAACTCACCTTTTATAACTTTTGTTAACATCAATATAGATCAACTAGTCATTCTAGAGGTTCGAATATCTCCATCACCTTCCACTCTATATGATAAATTTTAATATATATTTTAAAAATATAATATAATTTCAAATATAGTATTTTTACTCTAAATATAAAAATATAATATTCTTACTCAATACTCAATACTCAAAGATTATTTATGTTTACCAAGAAAAGCTAACTCACAACATTTTCTATCTTTAGGATATGATTTGTCCATAAAATTTTGTCTTCAAGAACTTTTAGGGATGGAATTTTCATAAAATTTGAACTTATTTTCTTTCCAAGAAAACGACCTTATATTTACAAAAGCTCCCTCTATCTTAGCAAAAATTAAACAACAAATTAATATGAAATTTCTTGAGGGCAAAATGTTCTATAAGAAATTTAACCTCAATTGAATGGAAAATTCTCTAAGAACTTCGTACGGAAAGATAACTGTTTTGTCTTTTATTTATTTTTTTTTTATTTTTTGGTAGATTGTCACATAAATAATATTTCAAATTACACTTACATTAAAGTTAAAAAATAATATCTATGTCATGGAATAATATGATAAAGTGAGAATGTGGTCAATATAATCAGTGATAATACAACTGTAGATGAAAAAGATAGGACCTACATCCCGCCTTTAAGTTAAATAATAAGTATAGCTCTTCAGGATCCACAAATCACATTTTAAATTAAAAAAGTAATTTTTTTATATAAAAAATTAATTTGTTAATTAAATATTTTTAAAACAATTATCTTATATTTACTTTTTAATATTTGTTATACATTTTATAAGCCAATAACGATAAAATAATATAAAAAAAAAAAACTAAAAATGAGAACAAGAGATCAGAGTTTCTAAAATTTGTAAACCCTCGACTTATAGAATGCATGATAAATATAAAATAACAATAATAAATAAAACATAACGGTTTTGAATGTTTTATATTGAAAAATTAATTTCATGTCAAACTTATTTTTTCTTTTTCTATTTTAAATTTTGAGAGAACAAGAACAAATCATTATTACCAAATACTTTTTTGTTTATTCTTCAATAAAAAAAAAACTACTAAAAACAACTATATATTTTCTTTTTATTAAACAAGAAACAGAAACGTTACCAAATGAATACACAATGTTCCTCACGGGGTAGAAATCGACTCCTAATTCTAAATAGTAACCAGTGAGAACTCCGCAGAACATTTAGAAGACTACAGCCCCTGAGAAAACTACATAATTTATTATACCCCTTTTCATCCTTGGTTCAAATTACTTACGCAAGTACCACGGTTGAGTTCATCAAGAGTAACAGATGATTGAACTCAATGCAGCTCCGAGTGCAACTCGAACACGATGTGGCTCAGTTTATAACTCGTCCTCGCCCGAGTAAAAATGACGAAAAACACAGGAGAAGTCCTTGTTTTCATATCCATCTTCGCACAGCTTATTGTATCTGACAGATGAAGATTTCATAATAACTAGCATTGTCATATGGGATAAAGATTTGTGTCCAAGATTGTAGCAAAATGAAAGCAGAAGATGAAATCATAAATGGACAGAGCAGAGAAAGGCAAGATCAGATGGGGCTTACATCTCTTGTGCCATGGAGGTCAGTGGATGTCTCAGGCCGATCTCAACAGCAGATGCTGCTGCAAGGTTTAGATCTTTAGCCTGCGTTCAATCAATAAATTATACATCAATTCTCAAATGAGAAAATGCCTCTTGCCAAATAATATCTTATGCTGGAACAATCATATTATAGTATCAGTAAAAGACTTTCAAAGATACTCGAAGAAACGGTGAACTAAGGTTTGTTTAGTACGAGCTTTAGAACGGTGAAAAATGGTATTTAATTAGAAATACTTTCCAATTTTTTATTTTCTGGATTTGGTTATAGCAAAAGGTGATTTAGTCTCCCCTCCCCCAGAAGCAGGGAGGAAAATATCAAAAAAAATCCAGCGAAACTCATCTCACGTACGGTTTTTAATGGTGCAGCTTAGACACTAACACAAAGAAGATACAGTTAATTCAATGGTTGCTTTTGGGTTGCGGACTCCATATGGGAAGGAGCGTCAGCATGAAAATGAAGCATTCTTTGAGCCATAAACTCACTGGAAATACTAAAACATCTGTTGCTAGGAATATTAATGTCATTTTTCTCTTTTAAAGACGGGTTCTAAGTGACTAACCATAAGCTTTGATGCGAACCCACCATCATAATTTCTTGCAGAGGGCACCTCCTCCATCACACCAGGAACTGGATTGTAACTTTCACTGTTATGTGGCAATTACCGAGTATTAATAAACTTACATTAGTAGGGAAGGTTTAGCGTGAGAGAAAAAACCTGAACAATTTGATCTCTTTATATGTCCAAAATGCTTCAACCTATAGCTAGGAACTATTAATTGTTTAATCTTTTATACGAGATATTCGGTTCGTAAGTTTCACAGAAGAACTTCAAGCATCTAGTTCCTGGGCCGATGATTAAATAAATATACGAATCTAAATATCAATAGCAATTGTATATTCCTGACATGCAGCAAACTTACCGCTACTCAAATTTAATTGGGCCATCACGAAACAACTAAGAATTTAAATTGAATCTATAAGGATGCAGATATTACTATGATCTCATCAGAGTAACATACATACCTACTCCAACAGCGAGCACTTGATGAATTGAATACTTTTGTAAGAGTATTTGCAGAAATTCCGAGACACTGGCCTAGAGCCAAAGCTTCTGAAACACCAAGCATACTCACAGCCATTGCCAAGTTGTTGCAGATCTTTGCTGCCTATGACAAAACAATTCTACGAATGAGCAACAGATCTCCTGAGGATGGTATTTTACCATATGATACACAAGTGGAAATTATACTTGGTGGAGAACTAATTTAGGTAAATCATTTGAGAATGTTGAGGATAATTAATTATAAAGAAAGTTACTGCAAGCCATGCCATTTTAAATGGTGGTTTCAAATTCCATAGCTAACAAACTTCAACTTTTTTAGAAATAGATGAGCTTACCATTTCACCACCAAGGCATCTTGAAAGTGAATCATAAAAAAAAAAAAAAAAGAGATAAACAGTACAACTGAGAAACTAGCTTTCTCGATCATTAAGTAACTGCAAAACACCTGCATTTAGAGTGTCAACAAGACTCCAAACACTGTAGCTACAAACATTTATGTAACTCATGAAGCTTTAATCGCTGGAGATTACAAAAATAAAATAAAAGGGGAGAGACAAAACTCACCGAACCATTTCCTGCTCCACCACAATATACTGAACTTTTGCCCATTGAAAGGAATAAGGATTTTGCAGAATGGTAGGCTTCCTCAGAACCGCCGACCTGAGGACATGTCATCTCTTAGTCACAATAGGATGAAAAAAATAATAGGAAGTTGAAAATGAACAATAAGCAAGACGAAAAGGACTCCTAGGATCCAAATTATAAATGCCACCAAAGGTCGTCAAGAAGCTTCCTCCTGACCAATCACATTTCCTATAAAATGACAAATTGGCCACAAGACCCTATCTTCCATGGCCAAGGCAAGAAGTTTCCTATTTAGAGGGGCAATAAACGAAAAACCACCCACGGCTTCTGCCTACAGTGAACCAGTATCCATGTTCATTACTTGTGCTTTATCAATCATGTTACGACAGCCACTTCAGATTACTTAAAAGACAATGTAAGAAAAAAGAAGCTGTTCTTTAGTAAGAGAAGATTGGAACTATGTTAAAGGTTAAAATCTAGCAAAAGACCCCCATATTTATAACCGTTGAGTGCTAGCCAAGCACGTGTTATTACTTTCCTTTTTCCAATTACATTGCTCACAAAGATTTCCACGTTCTGTATCTTGCACACTTGAAGATTAATTAAATTAATGAAACCAGAATACATATGGAAGCTGCAGAAGCCTAAAATGAAATTATACCATGAACGTCAGTTTCCCAGCATCAGCAGCTAAAACCCCTCCAGATACAGGGGCGTCCAACATGGCAGGGTTTCCCCAAGAATCTACAAATACAATCAGTCAATAAAGCAGTTGAAAATTTGTGACTAAAGCAATTGCAGGAGCTGCTTATCAACAAAAACTTGACATTAACAAATTATCAGGATCCTGCCAGGCAAATTTCCTCAATCCTTCCAATCCCATTATAACCATCAATTCAGGATTGAAAAGTTGTGATTTCTTTTATTGGTGGCTGGCTCATTGATTCTTAGAAAATGGATAATGAAGAATTACAATAAAGAATAGAATACAATGGAGAAGGAAAAAAATTATAGATTCAAAGAAAACAAGTCATGATGTTAGTGACCGTCACAGATATGCAACCACTTCCAATTATTTTCCTTCCTTTTCCTCCTAATTTCAACCACCTCCTAATCTTAAAAGGCCGAATGGAACTATTCTGAGTAACTTTCTGTTCATACCAGGTGTGCATGTATCTAATATCAATGTTCCCTCTAAGCATTGAAGTTCTAGCAGTTTCAAAACAATTGCTAATTTAGCCTATTATTTGCTTTGTATTTTGCACCAGCAGCACGCAACGTCGGACAGTAGCAGCAAGCTCTACAGAGAAGGGGAAGGAGAGGAGGTGGGGCACCACATCAACTAGGTTTATTATTAAATACACCATGTCACTTTTCTATTAAGTTGTGTTGGGTAATAAAAACCTATTATCACCAAACCGAACATAGCTCAAGTGGTTAAGACACCTATCTCTGATCAAGAGGTCATGAGTTCGAACCCCTGCCTCCACATATTGTATCAAAAAAATAATAATAAAAACCTAATGTCAGAGATTAAATTGAAGTATTTTCTAAACAGTTGGGGAAAATGTACGATTTTGAAACCTGTAGATGAAATCCACTTGTTACCCAAACCTCAGGGACTAAAAAGGTATTATACCCCTTTTTTAAGTTTAAGAATATTCAAGTCAATTGGATAACTATTCAGGTAAAAAATAAGGAATTCCTGGTTCAAATAACCATCTGACGTCTCAAATGATAAATTCATTTATACCCAGTATCACAGTAAAAAAACAGCATTTCCAAGATAGGCCATATTGTTTGCACTTAATGGTTGATGATCTAATTTCTGAAAATCTTAATTGAGAGTTCCCATGAAAAATGTCCATGAGTCGAACTATCTCTCCCTAGTAGTCTAGAACTTTGATTCAATAACAATTACCTCTCTTTTCCCTTAAACTACAGCCAGATACAACCGCAGAAAGCTCCCTTGATGTTCGTGGATCAATGGTGGATGAATCTATTAATAACCACGGCCTCAGATGACTGCCACCATGGAGCAAACCATGAGAACCGGTGTAAACATTAAGTACCTACATGAATAAGTCAGAATGTTAATTGTTTTATAAAGTAGTGCACTATATCAATCATCTCGTAAATAAAAATAAAACTATGGATGACAGTTATAATTGAACTGATATTTACAGACTGTGAAGGAGTTTCTGATCCATTCTCACTTTGATATTCTACAAGCGTATAACATCATACAACAGAGTAAGGAAGTAGACCATAATATCTTATGAGCATTGAGCAGTAGAAAATAGATGCTAAATGTGTCTATTATCTATCCATAATCATTTGAAAAGACTGAATAATTGTTTGGTGCTTCTTTCTCACAAGTCTCGTTTATATATATATACATGTATGTATGTATATAAAGATGTAAAAGAATTAAAATAATAAAAACAAAATATAAATATTTATTTACAAAAACAGATATGTAAAAAAGAAAGGTAACTAGTTCCCCTGAAACAACGCAGAAAATAAGATCATTACAATAAAACCATGCAAATCTTCAAAATATTCTAAAAGCTTTTTACATCATAAAAACATGCAGAGTAAAATTTGGAATTTCACAAGCTGGAATCAGTGGATGACACTCTATCGTTATTAATCCATTACAATTTTTTTAAAAAAACACTTTCACGTACATAGTAATTGCAAATGTATATCGAAAATCTCATGAATATTGTCATGCACATACCTAAAAAATGCTTATAACAAACCAAACCTATAATGGAACATAGAAGTTCTAACTTGAATGAAGGAGAATATAATGCAAGGTCAAATCATAAAACACGCAAGTCATAGCCTTACAAAATAAAGAATGCAGGTCACTAATAGACCCCTTCAGGAGGAAAGGGGAAAAAAACATGTCACGGCTCACATGAGAAGAAGAGGGTAGCATCGTAATGACAATGTCAGAAGCTTCTGCAACTTCAAAGGGTGTTTCCTTGGTGGAAACTCCCATATCTGAGTACTTCTTCATGGTATCACGGTTTCTAATAGGAAACAATATTATGCACAGTCAGCATTAGTAAAACTGTTGTCGTTTTTTCAATTAGAGAAGCAAAAAGAATGTTTTCCATAGAAAAATAAATCAGATTCAGCTTCACTCAAGTATATTTCCTACTAGATTCACCACTGTCCAACCATGAGAACATGTTTTTAGAGCTTTTGCGTAGAAATTAAAAAGATGAAATGTTTCAATACAATACAAACATAAATTTTGGCTTGGATCATCTTTTGGCTACCTTGTAGCCTCCAGTTGAGCCAAATATAATAAAGTTCCATAGTTTTTCAGTTAAAAAAAAAAAAAAAGATCAAATTATTGAGATTCTATTTGAAACTTTGTAATCATTTGAAATAATTGTTTCCAAATGGGTTAAGTCATTATTAATCCATTACATTTTTTTTTTCTAAAATAAAAGAACAGTTTATGAAAACCTTGACAATAGCCTTTGGCTGCAACAGAAGATTCAAGTGCATTACATGTCATGTACAACCATTTTGTATCCAGCCTTTATTAGATTATTTGCCATTCTGGATCCCATATTTCCCAGTCCAATGAATCCAACACTCTGCAAAACATTGTTGAAGGCACTTTTTCTTAGTCTGAAAACAAGCCAGAATGGGAACGTGAAAGATGATGAGATCCACATTTCGTAATCATTGAATTAAGGAGTGTGAAATTACGAATTGAATAGCAGCAAGCCACATTTTACAGAGTCAGAAAGTAGACGATCTTGGGTCTTCAAGATACAATGTTAAGTACACAAATACCAAATCACAATCGTCAAAGAGCATCAATTAGGTTGAAAGGTTCAAGTTTTCAATAAGACTTCTACAGCTTAATAATAAAATGTAACCCTTTGTCATCGAGTAACAAAAACTGTTAAACTAAGGTCCAAGTCAGACTGAATAAGTTACATTGCATCCTTGAAAATTTAACTCATAATGAATAACAAATTTTTGTGTCACATTACTTCACACTCTGAGATTTCACATATGAAAATCAAAAAGTATGTGAGAGATTAACTTTCTATCATCCTTATCTCTGTCAGAGACAGAGAAAATCTCCATCTTATGTACAAAAAGCAATATTCAGGAGCCAAGAATAGCCGGCATTGCTCGAAACGAGATGATTCCAGAAAATTGTTAATTTACATAGAATTTTGTTGGTTTTTTTAGTTCTGAGAGCCAAAAACAGTTTTATATTTGTAAAAACTAGGAATACGGAGAATGTGTAGGCAACATTAAATCCAAAATCTTGAAAACTGTTTTAAGCGATGTGATTCTAAACAATTAAAGGATCCTTTTTTTTTTTTTGAGACAACAATTGAAGGATCTTGGAAGACGTTAAAAGCCAATTTAATGCATTACCATACTTCATCTACTCTCTTAGTCGTTGTGTTATAATTTTTTTATAGAACAATAACGAAAAACTAAAACAACCTTGATCAACCCAATGAATTATTATAGATTTAAACGTAAGGTTAGATTACATTTTGTCCCTACACTTTTAGAAGTTCTTTTATTGGCCATAGTTCAAAAAGCTTACTAAGAATTTCTATCATAATCGGAGAGTAACAAAATCTAACTTTACAAATCATTTGTAGATGTGACATATAGGTTCCATGATGTGACATTTTATTTTAATAATGTGAGAGATGATAAAATTTGTGTAGATTTTATGGCATTATTGGATTCATAAGCATAAAGGTAACTAGCACTACTCTTTGAACTTTCGTGTTCCTTTCAAAAGTACAACCACAAATCATTTGTCATTCTCGACCTCACAATAAACATTAGTAGAGCATATTAATTAAACCTCGAAATATTTCCACCAGTTCAAACTAAAAGTTTTCCAGTTCGTTGAATTCCCAAAAAGACCAATCATCATTTGCCTCTACGGGCTAGAAATACATTTAAAAAAGTAGAAGATAAAAAAAAAAAAAGAACCCCATCCCATCATTTTTCTCAACAATCAAGCAAAGGCAGACAAACAGATGATTCCAGATATGAAAATAACTTGCCTGGAACGAAGCCAAAGCATCCGCAGAGAAGAATCTACGCACGGAAGGCGTCGCAGTCTCACCCGGAAAATGTTTGAAATTAGATTTGATCATGTACTGCGCAAAAGAAGCTCTTACTCTAGAAACCGCCATTGATACCTCTCTCACTTGTCACTTCAGTTCAGATACGCGTACTGGGCGGAACACTGCCTCCGGCGATGGAAAAGGAATAAGAAATGATCACTGGGAAATTCCAATTCAATCGAACAAATCGAAACCTGTAAATTAATCTTTCGATCAATGAAGTGATCCGGCTCCGTGTAGGCTTCTGCTTCCTTCGAGTCTGCAACAGTGGCCCTCTGTTTTGACCCTGACGTCGGCTCGCCACTTCTCCGGATTGCGCTCACCCGACATGTCGTCGCGGATGTACACCGTAGTCGAACACTCGTGCCTACTAAAATACTATTTTTTTTTCTTTATACTTTCACTTTTATTTATTTTGGTTAATTCAAGATATTTATTTTGATCCGCACACGTCCCTTTAGAAATTTCAAATTTAAACATTTAATAACTATTTTTTTTATTTCTAATTTTTTAGAAATATTATCAAAATTATATATAAATTTTGAAAACAATAAAAATAAATTTTTATTTCTTATTCTTGTTTCTTCTTTGTTCTAAAACATATATAAAAATATATTCTTGAATTCATGGGGTTGGATCCTACAATTCTATTTTTCTTTATTATTGTTCCTCTCATGTTTGGAGAGAACGTAATCCCATAATTTATGGTGTATCTCTCGTCCAACTTCAATTATTTTACATCAATGATATTTATGCTCATGTCTCCACTTAAGGGGATAGCCTTCATGGTAGATCTCAAGCTTTGATAAGGCATGCTTAGAATTTATTTTCATAAACAAGTTGTTTTTTCTAGTTTAAGTATGGTGTCTTTCTTATATTGTTGGTATGTTGCTGTCATTGTTCATGTTTCCATATCATTTTTTCTAAGATCTTTTGTTCCTTTTGTGCCTTGGTCTCAGGCGGTAGGATTGAACATTTTTCTTTTTTTTTTTTTTTGCAATAAATCTAAATTTTGCAGGAAGAAAAGGACTAAATTGCCCTTGGCCTATTGTACACTCCACTGAAGTTCACAAGGCAAAAATCCACAATGAAAGGGGCAAAAGGTGGGAATTTCTTGTATCCATAAAAGCATGTTCTTTTTTACAACTGATCAAACTAACAAGGTCAATGGAAACTGAGGGAAAAGGAAGAAGCTCTTCCTTCATCTACCTCAGAAAATAGAAGCTAATCTAATTCAGAAAATGAGAAGCTAATGAGACATTAAATTCCCAGTGAAGAAACAAAAGAAAAAAATAAATATCAAACAAAAGAAACTCCAAATCCAGCCTCTATCATCTAATCTATATGGAGGAAAGATCCTCATATATAGTCTTGATACCTGGTCTTTCTGATACGGTTCGAATACATCGTAAAGCTATACCGAGCACCTCCTTCATACCCTTCTCTGCTGCTGCATTGCTCATTTCAGGCAACAATATAGTATCAAAACAGTCGGAGCCCCGCCCTTCGGCCACCCGTAGACGCACCCAATCTGTTAGATCAACCCCTCCCTCTTCACCAGAGATCACATCACCAGCGCATCTTCCAGTTAGAAGTTCCAAGAGTATCACGCCAAATGCATACACATCAGACTTGAAGGAGGGCTGTGGCTTCTTGGATGCTGCCAGCTCTGGGGCTCGATAGCCTAACACCCCGGCATCGAGAATCTGTTCGATGGTGCCAGCATGAGTCATGAGGCGATGAAGGCAGTAATCAGCAACTCGAGCATTTAGGTCTGCTCCATCTAGTAGTACATTTGTTGCTTTCAGGTTCCCGTGTGGAACGGCTCGATCGAAATGGAGATAGTTCAGGCCACGTGCTATATCAACGGCTATCTTGAGCCTTTGAGCCCATGTCAAAGGACCTTTTCTTCCTGGACGATCTGGATTAAAGTTTTATTAGCAGGACACCATTTGAAAACAGAAGCAAGAAAGAATCATCTTAGAGAATGGAACTGAAACATTCTTTAGAACAAAGAGCAACTAGGCACAATATCATGCACCAACTATTTGGTTAGTCAAGAAAACAACATCATAACAATAAGATTTATAAGTTCTGATTGATATATCCAAGGAAAGTTTCTTATCTAAAAAAATTAAGAAAAGATTTATAAGTTCTGAATGTCGTGTTCCTGGTTACGTTTCACAAAATCTTTCACACTAGAATGGAGAACATGTGAATGTCAAACCAAATACCAAAGTGATGCATACAACTACCAATATCTACTTATCACGTTCAGGACCGAAACGGAAAAGAAAAAGTTTATGGACACTCCAAATCAAGTCTGTTCAATGTATAAAGTAGTAGCAATGCTACTGAACCACAATCTTTACAAGTTCAACTCTACAGAGAGTACTTTTCTCTTTTCATTTGGCAATGAAATAAATAACAAAAGCAGAAGGGAAAAATGAATAAGGGAAGAGTTACCATATAGAAAACCCGCAAGACTTCCCAGCGAGATATAGTCGGACAGGATGAGCTTCTCATGCTGTGTAGGCCCCCAATAATAGCCTCTCAAGCCAACGACATTCGGGTGCCTGATATTTGCAAACTTTTTAGCCTCCTTAGCAAACTCTTTTCTCTGCTTTGCCACACCTTCTCTCAACCACTTAACCGTTAAGAACATCCCACTCTCTAGTGTTGCCCTGTAAGAAGTTCCATGGCTGCTCCTCCCTAACACTTCAGCTGGGGCCCTTGATAGTTCCTCTGGTGTTAATGAGATCGAGTCGTCAAGGAAATGGAGTTCACCAACTAAACGATCGGGTGATCTCACATCTAGTCTTGCAAGGTTTTCGGCAGTAAATGAATCGCCTGATTCGGGAGACCAAGAGAAATGACTGTTTTTGGCAGGCGAGAAACCAGTTCCTACTGCTAGTTTCTCGTCGGGGCTGATTATCTCAGACGAAGACCCTTTCCTTGAAGTTACAAGGTCCTCAGCCGAAACAACCAGGCTGCTAACAGCTCCAGTTCCACCAACGCCGGAGGAGCTTCGAGAATTACGCCTACGAATGTCCTTAGTCGTGGGAAGCTCAGGTGGAGTTTTCCTGGATATGCAGATGTAATGAAAGAAAATAGCAAGGAGGATAAGAATGACCAATGCAATCACACATGAGACTATTATTATTACTTTAACAATTGTGTTCATTTTCTTTCTCCCTGATCTATCATCTGAACTATTGCTTGATCCAGGACTATCTGGAAGAATCAGTCTTGAATTTCCAGGATAGAATGCAGAACTTGGAAATTTCCTCAGATTTTCGGGGACAGTCCCCGAAAGATCATTATATGACGCATTGAAGTTTTGAATGTCAATAGACAAGTTGCTCGGAAGGGGACCGGTGAAATGATTCTGTGATATATCTAATGAGACCAATGCACTCAGGTCAGACATGGAAGTGGGCAAGGATCCAGAAAAATTGTTGCCAGCAATACTCAGCATTGTAAGGCCAGTCAATGATCTAAATTGATCGGGAAAATAGCCACTTAACTGATTATGAGAAAGATCGAGAACCTCGAGGTTCGCTTGACCTGGTGAAGGAAGCAAGAACTTAACAGCACCACTAAGTAAATTGTTTTCCAGGTGGAGCTCTTTCAAAGTTGGCATTGTGAGCAGGTCGGCTAACAAGGGTCCATCAAACTGGTTAGAGCTCAGATCAAGGACCTGAAGCTTTGGATACTTGGTAATCACACTCGGCAGCGAGCTACTCAGGGTATTATGAGACAAGTTCAGAAAATTTAACCGTAAAAACTGTGGAGTCATCTCGGGGATTGGCCCCGTCAAAAGATTCTGACTGAGATCAAGGAATTCAATGTTCCCCCACTTTATCATCCTTGTTAAATTTCCCTCAAATTTGTTGGTTGAGAGATCAAGCACAACACAATTTCCAGTCAGCAATGGAAGTTCACCAGTAAGCTGATTAGATGAAAGATTGAGGACGCGTAGCGTGGTTGACGTGATCATACTTACTGGCCCTGAATGAGATAAACCAGTCTTGTAAGTGCATAATTAAAGTAGAACCACAAAAAGAGAGTATGTTAAAAGAAATATGAAACTTATTATGATCGTAACTAATGTAACTAAATCAAAATCACGTACCTGAGAGATTGTTGGCACTCAAATCCAGTTCAGTTAAAACCAGAGCATCTCCTTTTAATAGGATATTAGGAATATCTCCTGAAAATCTATTGTTGCTAAGCTTCAAGATTTGGAGATCATACACAAAACTAAAACCGGGCAGCTCTCCTGAAAGCTGATTGTAGCTTAAATCTAATACTTTCAAGTTTTCAAACACCGATAACTCGCCTCCATTGACCAATGATCCAGTAAGCTGGTTATGACTAAGGTTTAAATACTTAATGGAATCAGAGATTCGGGGCAAGAACTTTCCATGCTCTCTGTCAGAGCTGGTTAGCATATTATTACTAAAGTCAACACGAGTGGCTTGAGACAGGAGAAAAAATTCCGCGTCCAGTGCGCCATCGAGCTTATTACCGTGCAAGTCTAGCACCTCTAGGTCAGAAATGAGCTCAAAACCTTTTGGAATCTTCTTGGTAAAACCATTGGAAGACAGATTTAGATGTACCAAGTTTGTCAGCTTAGTCAATGCTGAAGGCAGTGATCCTGAAAATGAGTTACGACTCAAATCCAATGATCGAATTGATTGAAGACCAGCAATTGGATCAAGAGTACCCGAGAAATTGTTGCCAGCTAATGATAGGTTTTGCAAGCTTGTTAACTTGCCAATCCCCAGCGGTAAAGATGAAGAAAACAGGTTGTTGGAGATATCAAGAAACTCAAGACTTTGAAACCTGGCTATATTGTCTGGTATCGTCCCCGTTATCAAGTTGTTCGACAGGGAAAGTTTTGCAAGTTTTGTGAGGTTTGAAAACACATTCAAATCTACATCAGCAGAAATGCCCAAATTATCCAACACCACTCCAGCAACACTTCCACTGTTGCAGACAATCCCATTCCAAGAGGAAGGGCAGCCATCAAAGTCAATAGACTCCTCATTCCATGAACTCACGACAAACCTGGTCGGGTCGTGCTTGATACCCTTCTTGAACTCGAGCAGCGCCAAGATATCTTGTGAAGGGAGCTGACACATAGCAGAAACAAGCAAGAGGGACATCACCAAAATCCTGAAGGCCGTCATTTTCAATGCTACTCAGAAAACAAACGATTCAGCAGATTGGTAAAAAAGAGAATGTAGCAGACTTTCCCCAATACCCCAAAAATGATTTTCGGGCAAAGGGCAAAACCCAGACAAACCAAGCTTTGGATTCCTAGAATCAATGAGCTCAAACCCAAAATTTTACCAGTAAAGGAAAGAACATACAACAACCAAACTCAACAGCAAACTCACAACCCAGATACAGAAGTGCAGTATCTTAATGGCCTTTTAACAACAGCCACACACATTCTAATTTCTACAACATACAAACAACACCAGCCGTGTAGCTTCATAGATTTGAGCACAGAAAACGCAGCATTTCCTCATAAAACCCCCCCTTCAGACCAATGTAGCTTCACCATTAACCAGCATCCTCAAGAAAAATGAAAAACAGTGGACTTCAGTGAAACAGAGAGCATAAAGTTACTCCAAACCTTTCCTCACTGCCTTGAGACACAGTGCAGTGAGCATAGCAAACCCAAGAAGAAGGAAAACACAGAAATGGGTCTCCAAATAAAGAACTGGGTTGCATTAAAGAAGAGGGGCCAACAGATTTTCCTACCCAAAAAACCCTAAAACAAGAGTCATTAAGCTGCTGAGTAGAGACAGCAGAGAAAACTCAAGTTTCTTCCTTTAATGGAGGGCCTCGACTACTACTTAAAACAAAGAAAATGGCTTTGTCTTTTCACGCGATGCCCCCTTTTTGTTGCTTAAGCGAGTGCATGTGAGTGACCCAAAACAAAAAAACCCCCACCCCACTGTTCTTAAAGCATTAAAAGAAAAAATGGGGGAAATTTTATGGGGGAAACAAAAAAAACAGAACCCCTAAATTTAGATTCCTTCTTTTGAGGAGTGTAGTGTCAGCTCAGCTCAGCTCATCAGTGAACAAGTACGCGGGAAAATACTGTGGATTTTCGTGGGTAATTGGAGTATTTACCCGCCAACATAGAAATTGGACTTTGGAGGGTCATTCCAGTATAAATTTGTGTAATTTAAGATTATTAAGTCAAGTCTATCTTTAGCATCTAAATTTATTTTGTGTGAACTGTATAAATCTGAGGTTTTTTTTTTTTGGTGAAAAATCTAAGTTACATGTCTTTCATATTAATAGTTAAATTTTATAAGTCATAAGTCTAGAGACTAAATTTGGCTTTTATGATTTTTCAAAAAAGAAAAAAATAGTTTTGGCTTTTATGACTCTTTCTTTTGATAGATGCCTAAAATACAAACTTAAAAATTGTCCTAGTAACAAAAGAGAAAAAAAAATATAAACTTATAATTTTCAACTGCAATATAAACTTAAAATTTTCAATATTGTATTTGAAATATTAAAATTTTTATCACAACTCATTCTATAAGTAATGTTTGCTTGACAATATGAATTTAGTTCGGTAGTAATGGACACATATTTTTAATTAAAAGATCGTGAGTTTGAATCCCTTCCATCACTCATTTTGCTAAAAAAATAAGAAAAATAGTAGTGTTTGCTTTAATAATTTTAGCCTGTACTCTAATAATGCAAATGAACAATACGATAAATATGCAATCGACATGCAAACTTATATGATAAATAATAATAGTTTGCATTGTTTGTGAGATTATCGAATCATAGATTTATATGTCAAATTGCATGCTCAACTTTTTTTAAAAATTTTTAAGTAAATATTAAAATATCAAGAAAAAATAAGTTATTTTTCATAAACTCCTGAAGCCCTATCTTTGGAACCAATTCTCATATATTGTATTTATCATCATAAATCTTTTGAGTTCCATTTAGAATCTTTTTCATCCACACTCTTTAGATGGTCTCTCTAATATCCATCTTACTGTTGCATTTAATACAAATCCAACACGTAAACTATTGAGAAAATAGAAATAAGTAACTTGAATATATGAAAAATAAAACGTATAGAATGTTATTTATTCATTATCTAAACTTTGATTATGCTCTTATTAACTAATTATATAAATTTAAATTAATATTCTCCCAACTAATTGTTTGAAAATAAACAGTCAAAATATATTAAATTAATCGAGTAATTAATATATTTTTTAAAAAAATCTCATTCAAGTGCCACGTGGGATAATGGGACCCACCAGTCATTTCCCTTTGACCAGGGTTATTTGCTGAGTCATTCCCATTTGTCCAGGCAGGATAGAGGTGCAGTAGGTGCACAAAAAATAATGGTAGACCATGAAGCGGGGCGCACTAAGAAGCCAATAATAATGAAACACGTGGAATAATTTGTCTTTACTGTGCAGTCCTTATCATGGTGCTGTGTTTGCTGTGAAAAAGATTAGATTGAAGAATTCGGAAACAAAGTGGTCCCCACTCAAAAAACCATTTATGGTTTTTATTGAAATTATCTATCTCATAATTTGTTTGGAATACTGTTTTTGGAAATTTGGGAAAATAATTTTTACAATAAAAATATGGCTATTTATGGTTTTTAATAAAATAAAATATACGAACGTACCCTTTTCAAAATTTCCAATTTTATGCTTACTTTTTACGTGCGTTTAAAAAAAATGTTAACATGCAACGATTTGAGATTGGAATTTATTGAAAAATTAGATGGATTCCTATGCAGGAATATTTGCACCCACAATAAAATCTAGAAGAAAAAACGAAGTTCTTCACCGACCCATTCGCGAAGAGATCAGTTGATCTTCACTTCACATAATTGATATTTTGATGATTTCGATAATCACATTTTCCTTGAGAAAATGCCTTAAAGTAAGGAGACTTGATTTCAACCTACTTTGTTCTTGCATATACAATATCTATTGTGCTCAATCTGACACACTAAGATACATAAGTAAGACAATGGATTCAGTTGAACGTATCTAAAAGTAGGGTTGTTGAAACGCACATCGTACTCTACATCTCTCCTTCTCTTATTTATAGAAGGATTCTCCTCAGGTTGACTCAAATAGATCAACTCGTAGGATTGTCGGGTCTATCCGATCGGTCATTTGGATTCACGTTACTTCTTTAGTTTCAAATCCAATGAATTTAGTACATTTACTCGTTTATCCAAACTTTATCTTTTTTTCTCAATAAGTTCTCAAATTCTCTCCACAGCCTAATCTCACTCAATCTCATGAACATCAAGGACCAATATGGTAACAGAATTTTACGAAGAAAAAAACATAAATTTTGTTATATTACGTCTAACAGAATAATATTTTGCAGAAATTAGTTTTAGAAACAGTTATTTAATAATCTAAAATATATTAAAGAGAAATATTTTTCATATACGTTAAAGATTACTAAAATTACCACAACAATAATATTAATAATATTTTGGATATCTTCGTTGGCGTTTCTAATTTTAAATTATAATATTTGAAGTAAATATTATTAAATATTTTTAACGGCACTACACTGAATTATTTATTATTTCAAACATAATCATTAAAATTGGACCTTTTTATTGTCTAATAATGAAGGAAATTTCCTAATTGCGAAAAATAGTTTGCCTTGAAAGGAATGGTCCTTGTTAACATTAAAAAGGTGGTCCAATTGTAAATATTGTCGTTTTACGATTTTTTTTTCTTTCACGAAAATAGTTAACATTATAAAATTGGTAGATATGGAAGGAAATACCAAAAATAATTCTTAAAAAAACACATAAAATAACTCAACTTTATCAATAAACATCTATCTTTGTACTGACCATATCAAATTCCATGACTCAAAATTTGGCAGCTCTTTATTTTATTTTAAAAACATAAAAATAGTCTCTTTTTTATATTTCTCTCTTCTACGTGTCAAAATTTTAACAGTTGCATGGAAGATGTATGGTTTTAATACATTCTATCAGTTTCTATATCAAAACTTTTATGTTTGAACAACGAGTCTCTCCATGTTTTTATATATTCTTATGTAGGCATAAGTCGTGCTTTATTTATTTAATAATGTGGAAAAAACATAAAATTTTATCAAAATGGAAGAAAAAGCATAGAAGTCAAAATAGCAAATATATATATATATATATATATATATATATATATATATATATATATATATATATATATTCCAAATGGTAGGTTGTGGTGTAAAGCTTAAAGTGGGGAGTGGCTTTTTTTCCCTTTTATTGATTCTTTACAAAGCTGTCTGTTGTTTCTTTTAAAGCCATTAGCCACAGGGAAAAGGGTTTCAAAGATGAATAATGTCCCTTTTTATAGTAATAATATATTGGCAAATTTTTAAAATGAAGTATTTGCATTACAATAATGCTAATATATACACATCAAATCATCCATTTTTTCATTTTATAATCTTGGGTCGTGACTAGAGTTTAGTTTAGGAATAAGGATTTTTGATGTAGTTGCAGATATTTTTATTTTTTTATCGAGATTTGTTCGGTATTAGCGTCAGTACAAGATCGAAAGTCCAACTAAAGTTATAAATTTGTTGGGTCTATTTCAATTATTTAGATTATAAAATTTGTCCAACTCAAATTAAATGATCATATTTAGGTGATGATTCAACCCAATTTTTTGTTCGGGCTAATTTGGACTTTTTGAGTCAATCGATAGTAGTTTAAAGATTTATACCCTACTTTCATGCCTGGTGCTCGTTTAACATCATAATTATTTTATGAATACTAAAAAAATATAAAGTTAAAAAGCTATGTTTATATATGTATAACTTACTTTAAATATGACCTTTTGATTATGCAACTCTTTTCAAAGACAAAGACAAAATGCAGGAGGAATGAAACCAAAACCCAAAACCTGTTTAGGAATAATTTATTTTGGTTGGAACAAATTGGATGTAAGATCTATCAAGCAAGAATTTATTCTGATCGAAACAAATTATTAATAAAATTGTACGTGGTATACGAATAAATTATRAAAGAGGTCTAAAAAAATGAAGTAAATTCCAAAGAAAACAACCCTGAATTATTTAGACATGTCAAATTATTGTAGAATGTGAAGACATATAAAAGCTTTTAAAACTTTTCATAGAAAAATAAAAGTTGATATGTTTTGATTGGCATTCAATTGGACAAGGCATCATCCAACTACATAATGAATGCTTCTCTCTCTCACACAAAATTTTCTTTTCATGTGAAGAAGTCAACCCAAAATGTTTGATGATTCTAACTTCAATAAAAATTAAAAACTTTTATTAACAATTCACATACACTCTGACTATACTGAAAAGCTTGTTGAGTGACATTCTGTTTGTTGTTTTTGTTTTTAAATTTTATTAAAAAATATAATCATTTTGTAATTAATTTTGTTTTTTTTCCATATTATCAAATTTGTATAGAAATTTTTAGAAAGAATCAAAATAAGTTTTTTTTTTTTTTCAGTTTCCAATTTTGTTGCAAAACACAAATATAAACAATGTGAGTCATACAATTAATTATTTTTCTTTATTAAAAATAAAGGAACGAAAACAATAAACGAACGAGAGTGTCACTTAACGAGCTCTAAGTTTCATAATCAATTTAAAACTTGAAACTTTACCTCTGTAATGTGATGTAGAACCTATAAATATGGACGATTGTTAAAGTAGAGGCTTAATGGTGTTGTATTTGATGAGAGTATTGTCAAAAGTAGTGAAGATCTCAAGTTTAAAGGTTTAAATACTTTTTTTGTAACTGTATATTTATTTTTGTTTAGTTGGTGTTCATGTATTTTCAAGTTTTAAGATGTTCATTTTAATCKATGTACTTTAAACATTGATTCGTTTTGATTCAGACATTTTTTTGAAAATGACCATTTTGGTTTCTATTTATAAAATTTTAACATAAATTTTATACACAATGGAAACTTACAAGTTTATGGCAGTATTTCAAGATATTTAGTGAATGAAGTCGCATGCTAAAGTTTTGGTCGAAATAAATAAGATAAAATTGAAAAAATGGTTACTTTTTTTAAGTAAAGGAACCAAAATAAAAGTTTCGAAAGTATATGAATTAAAATGAACAAAAGTTTATAGAGATCAAAATAAACATTTCGAAATTACAAATACTAAAATGAACTAAAGTCGAAAATACATGAACCAAAAGAGTATTTAAACCAAATTTCCTATTTGCGTAGAGCTTTTTGGATAAAATTCAAAACAAAATTCATTCAAAGCTTAAATTTGCAGTCAAAATCTTACACTTACATCAAAAGGGGATGAAAACTTTCTTACTATATGTTTTTATTACAATACCAATCAATCAAATGGTTAAAAGAAGTAGAAGAAAGTCAACAATATGAAACAAAACAGAAAAGAAACAACAAAGAAGCCATTTGGTGGCAATGAGAAAAGTAAAAGAAAACTCCCTCAAGCTTGATCAAATAGAATATCAGAGGCCAGATTTGAAGGGCACTTGTGCCTTTGAGATCCAATCTTTACCATCAATGAAGGATGAAACTGTGAACTTTTTGGCAGTTTTGTTGTCAATATTCCTCACACCCTTCCATTTGACCCTTTTGGCTGTGGAAGAACCAGGGCCATAGTTTTGGAACTCTGCATAGAATATGGTGTCTGGTGCTGATGTTCCTACCCATGGCAGCCACCCAGTTGGCTGAATCAGGCTCCCGAGGTAGTTCTGCATGAATACCGTCGTTGAGTAGTTCTTCCACGGACGACCGAGGTACGTTTCGGTAGCTTTCAAGTTCTCGTATGGTGTGATGGAAGAGTCTTGTATGGAAATGCCAGTGTTTTGGTTAGGATCAAACCGGCCTTGAGCAGTGATTGTGTTCTTTTGGCCTAAAAGAGGCAACTTGGGCAAAATGGTGCAGTTCTGCAGAACTACTGCTGAGTTACCAAAGATGAAATCAACCGTGCCCTCGACCGTGCATTCGCGGTAGAATTGACGGTTCGAGTGTGCGTAGAGAGTGTCTTGGTATGCATCCATTTTACAGCGGTAGAAGATCGATTGGTCCGAGGTTGACATCAGGGCGACCGCCTGGTGTTTGCTCGGTCCAGCGATGTTCTGGAAACCCATGTCTATGGCAATAAAGCCTTTGCCCTTTGCAGCTGCACAAAAAACGAAAACATACATGAAAATTAGAGAATGAAATTGTTATCCAACGGACTGAAGAATCCGTTGTTTTTCCCTCTTACCAAATGTTGCAGATGAAAATGTTGGAGTCCCATCTATGAAATTGAGTTTGGCAGTTACAGTGGTGGCATTCATTCCATCACCAATCATCACCACATTCCATTTGTTCTTCCCAACTTCAACATTCTCCTTGTAAGTTCCCTTCTTCACATAAATCACAGTGCTCTTCTTGCTCTTGTCAGGAACTGCCTTGAGAGCAGCACTGATTGTCTTGTACTTCCCCGAACCGTCTTTCGCCACAACGATGTCAGCCTGCTTCCTAAGATCACGCTGAGCGAGCTTTCGGAGTATCGGGCGTGCCCAATCTGCACTGCTCTGATGATTCTCATAACTCATCAACCGCCGTAGATTGAGCGAATCCGTAATTTTCGAAAAGAATGACACAATGGCAAGGCCATTGCTTGTCAATTCAGTAGAGTTCTTCAAGTAATTGGCAATGCTGTTCCTCAAAGTCGGATCGACTTCCTCGAGGCCTTCAATGCACGTCTGCTGGTAAGTAGCAGCCGAAGTTAGCCATGTTTTAAGATCATCCACAGCTTTCAGCAATGTAATTTCAGTAGAAGAGAGTGAGATATTCAAATGATCCAATGCCAAGTCCAAAAGTTCATGGCAACTTTCCAAAGCCAATTTGGTTCTATTGTCAGTTGAATTGGTAATGGCATGCTTGAAAACATAGTCGGCTGCTCGCGACAGTTCGCCAAGCGCCAGTTGAACCGAAAGCTTGCAGATCTGGCCCGGGTCGAGGCGGCTCGAGTTAGACAAAGGTCCGAAAGCATAGTTACACGTCTCCGGATACAAAGTAACATCACAAACTGCTTTGATGGAACTTGAAAGAGCAGAATTGCCATTGCCATTGCCATTGCCATCATCCTTAGAACCATTTCTAGTCCCAAACACAACAGCAACAACAACAGCAACAAGAACAACAGAGGACAGCACAATGACAGCAATCCTCTTCCGGGTCCTCCGGGAAGCGTCGAGCCTCAGCTGGTCGGTTTCGTCGACCTTACCGTAAGGTCTGAGCAGAGACATGCTTTCAATTCCTCACCTTCTTGATCTTCTGTGCAAAACAAAGACTTGTTTTTGGTGAGATGGGAAGGTGTGGATTTGTTAGAACAATATATAGAGAGGAGATTGAGTTCATAATTTGGATTGGTTTGAAGAATTTAACACGGTTTTACGTGCAAAGCACTAGAGAATGAAGTGGGAAGAGATGCAAATACTTCATTTCATGATTTCTGTTTTATATTTTTTGTTAAACTTATTTATTCAATTAGTTTTGTTTGTAGTTCAAAGTTCATACACGGTGCAGAATACTGCATCTCACGTTGCAGCATGATATCAAATTTGTTGAATTTTTTTTTTCCTTCATCACATAATTTAATATATGTATATAAAAACAAATTGCTCGCCTCTCTCTCTCTCTCTCTCTCTCTCTCTCTCTCTCTCTACAGCTAAATTTGTTCAAAATATCTTTATTCATTTTGCTTCAGAGAGAGAGATGAACATTTTTTTTCCTCGTTCAAATTCTCATTACAGCATAAAGCTCTGACACTGTCATTGACTTCTTCTTTCCCGGCAATGAGCCTTTTTTTTCCTTTTTTTTTTTTGCTAAATAATGGTGATTTGATCTGGTTGGACGTTTTTTCAATTTAGTCCTTATTATTTAAATTTCTTTATTATGTTACTCACTATTTAACATTTTTCCATTATAACCTCGTATTTTGTAAATATTAAAATTGGTCGATGATAAATTTATAGTATTATACTTAGATGATGAAATAGTTAAAAGAGTAAAGTTTTTAATCTTTCTTAAATTCTACTAACTCAGTAAGTGACTCACTAACAAAAAGGACATAATTGAAAAGTGTTAAAATTTAAGGACTAAATTAAAAAGATAATCCATCCTTGAGACTAAAACACATCTTTAATTTTTCTTAAAGGCATTATTTATCAAAATTCATCATAATGGACTGAATATCCAATAATTTATACATATATAAAAAAAAGTCAAATAAAAATAACATTCAAAAAAAAATTGGGAAGAGAGAGAACTTGAATTCATAACTCAGGGAGGCAGTGCCAATAATTTATTAACATAACCTATACTACTTTGTTATTTAATTTACTAATACAAAATCGGCTGTGGTCAATCTGAAGGTTATTCTTCAAAATAAAAATTTATACGACAAATGTGCACATTTTATTGTTTTGTTTGGGGGTTGGTGGGGCGTGGGGGTCACGAATTATTAAAATTTATATGTTTACTTAAAATAACAAGAACATTTAGTGAAGAAAATGGAAGAAAGTTTCATTTATTATAATAAACTGATAATTAGTGGGTGTTAATTTCATAGTTATAAACAAATAATCTTGACATGGTATATATAACTGAGATTAATAGTTTAGAATTTTTGAGTTAGAATTACTTATATATTTTTTAATCTACTGGTTTTGAAGTTCTTGTGCAAATGGTAATTAAAAGAAAGAATAAATTACAGCCATTATATAACGAATCTATGAAAGCAAATTGCAAGGAGGACAACCATTTCAACTATGAAAGCATATCCAAAAAATCTACAAAGTTCTCATGGAGCAAAAAGTAATTTTGCCAATTAACTTTAAAAGAATAAAAAGAGTTGGAAGTGTACAATTTTAGGCATGGCAGTAAATCAAGACATTCATCATATTTTCCTACCATTTCACTCATTTCTTTGCTATTTAAGCCAAACACCGTGTTCAAAGATATGGTGGTGATAATAACCAAAATGTTCGAGCCACTGCATTTTCCCGACACGAATCAACCCTAGCGACAAACCTAGAAGCTGCCATCATCAACTTCTCATTCCAAACGTCTCATTTTTAGACCGTACTTAACATTTATTGGTTAGCACCCATCGTTTACACACCACCACAAAAGTTTTGACAACGAATAGAAATAGATAAATTTCAAAAAAAAAAATGAAGTGTTGTACGACAATTAAGAGAAGATGAAAGAGATGGCATATAATTTTGTCTATATATTGTCATGTTGACCTGAGGAGAAATGTGATGAAACAACAAAACTATCACGCATGGTTTCTCTAATATGAACTCAACTCAGAAAGTGAGGAATTTCTTTATATTTAGACGACTCGATACAGGCTCAAGTCCAAAATTCAGGGTTGATTTCAATAACACATCAGCATAACCATAAAAATAAGCAGGGGATTGGAGAAATCTAATAATTTAAGAGCGTAGAGGATCGACATTACGTTATAAGCCACTCATTTTTTGCCACCGCCCGAAACGTTAAATTTGAAGAATATTATATCTCCATCTTGAACCACGTAAGTCTTTCCCTCTTGTTTGTATTTCCCAGCAGCCTGTAAAAGAAGGATGAGAGAAATAATAATTTTAGCCCCCTGCTCCAAATACAATAAGGATAATTATGATGCAAAACGTCATTGTGCTAGTAATTAGGCTAGGCTAGGAACTTATTTGGATCACAGAGATGGAGTTATGCGGTTCTACTCACCGTCTAAGACGCATAAAGTCGATGATAAAGTTGCTTTTTGTAAGTTGTTAATATGAAACTAAAGTGATGGCAGATTAATTATGTTTTGATAATATTGTCATTTATCAGAAAATGGTTAAAGTTCATGGTTTAAAACTCAAAATCTAATACAGCAAGAATCCAGCTTGAATATATATACCTTGACTGCTGACTCACTGCCAAGTTCCTTGAGATCCTCAAATTTCATAACCTAGCCAATATAAAAAATTAGGATAACATCCAACGAATATTCCAAAATGATAAAAAAGAAATAAAAAACAGCTAATAGTATTCTAGTAATAAAAAGCCAGCATGGACATGAAAAAAGGTCAGAAGCGTAATTCGACCCAAAAATCACCCCAGCCCAAGAACTTAGGGGCTCTCTTTATTGACGAATGAATCTACGACTAAAATTGTTTAGATACAACATAAGCATCAAAGGCTCATAATTACCTCAGCACAAATGAACCCTCTCTCAAAATCAGTATGGATTGCCCCTGCAGCTTGAGGAGCCTTCGTCTGTCGCCTAATTTGCCAGCATTTTACCTGCAAAGGTAAATAATATGAATTGGATCAAGCCAACAGTTATCACAGCAAGGTGTGAACTGCACAACAAGCAAGGAAGAATCTGGCACGGAAACAAAACTTAATCTCACAGTTAGAGAACAAGAAATGGGAGACTTATATTAACAATCACAATTTCCACCATTTGGAACAATCAAAGGAGACAAACAGAAGGTATTCTACACTGAAGAAAGAAGATGAAAGAAAGAAAATTTATCTGATAAATACGACTATTTAGTGGTGGTGAAAACTGGAAAAGTGATAACTAAATCAGACGGAATAGGTATAGTTTTTAGATTTTCTTAAGTTTGAGAAATGAACTATGGTTACATTTGTATTTCAATCAAATTAAATTTAACCAAACAAAATTACTCAAATAAATTGAAGTGTTTTCATCGTGATTAAGAATTTTGTGTAATTGGAATAGTAAGTGAACTATTAAAAGGGAAAAAGAAAGTGAGACTTGAAACAAGTACAAAAACATAGAACTCGTGCAGTGCTAGCCACACTGAACCAATCGGGGTTAATCCAATTAGATTTTTCAAATCTTTTGGTTTAGTTTCGTTCACTCGAGTTCATTCAATAACAATGAACCAATCAATTCAGTAGTTCAATTTTCAAAACTGACAGAGTCCAACTGGTTTTCATCCCTATAATTTAGCCGGCCCTAGTTTTGAACTTTTTTCTTAATGGAAAAACTAGCTTTTAAATAAGAATGAAGAATATAAAAGAGGAAAACAAGACAACAGTCCAAAAAGAATCCACCAAGAAACTAGCAAGCTATACAAAAAAGGAACCCCGTCCAAAAAAACCATGCCTAAAGGATGGTTATAAACTAGATACTTTAGAGTTGTGAGAATGAAGTACATCTTATCATAACCCATCACTACCACCCCCCTACTTGACCCGAGTTTGAAGTTAACCCCCGTCCAACACCTGAAATAAATAAGGTCCATAATTTTAACTACTAAAATATATTCATCTTCAGCAGAGAGAAGGCACGCTTCTTTAGTGGTGTACTCCTATGGCTCTGATATCATTCACATATGACACCAAAGAGAAAGCATCAATACTAACTTCAGAACACAAGCAATAGTCGAGAATATTTAACAATCACCAAAGGCAAAAAATGGTAATACTGTAAGTAATCCTAGACTAACTATTGCTTTTAAGAGGCATAAAGTTCATAGATAGTAGATACATGTAAATAGTTATGAAACATATTTTACCTCATCAGGACCTGCAGTGAAAAAGTATATGAGATTGATCGCCGAGAACCCGGTCTTTATGATCTTTGGAAGGCCACTGTAACAATGTTAACCATGTTCATTGCTCAATTCTGTATCAAATTATCATAATACATTGTGAAGTTTCAAAAGCGTTGTGGAGGTAACACTGTTTGGTCATACAGTTTGGCAGGCTTTTTTTTCACCTTCCTCAAACATATTCTACTGGCATATATTTTCACGTGGCATGCCAACAGAATACTTATGTGGGAAAGCAACTCAATCAGAGTAGATGGGTTTGTTTGAAAATAAACATCACCACAGCATGAACTAGTAGAATTTTTCATCAATGCAAGATTGTATATATTTGTGTACTTCATTAATAAAACAAGATATTTGATGTCATGTATTATTAATTATAATTCAATAATTATTTTAAATGATTTAATAATTAATAATATTATATTCATAAAAGATAAATATTATTGCCATGTTTTTAATTATAGTACTAAATTATCTTATTTTTTGTAACTTATTTTTTCTCCTTTTCTTTAATTTTTCCCCTTTTTTAGTCCTCATATAACAAAAGCCAAGACTGGACACTCACCTTTGTATCTTGTTCTCTTCACAATACTTCGCTACTTCATCTGGGGCCATATCAGCAAGATTTCTTTCTAACACACCACTGAAAGGAATAATCGTTTCACCACCGTGTTCCTGCACCCTATAATTTGGAAAGCATTACTTGATTATTTGCAACAAGCAAATCCCACTTGA